ACCTCTGCCTGCTCCCACCTGTCCCGTAACACCGTTTTGACGGTCGCCGATCGCCCTGGGAACAGTGAGCTGGAGCTCACGTTATCTCTCCCGGGGTTTTACTGCAAGAACAAGGGCCACAAGCCCTCCTACGTCCCCTTTCAACGAGTCAACGATGGCATCTGTGACTATGAGCAGTGCTGCGATGGCAGTGACGAGTGGGCCCGTGTTGGCGGCACCAAGTGCGAAGACAGGTGCAAGGAGATTGGCAAGGCGTGGCGGAAGAAGGACGAACAGCGCCAGAAATCCATGACTACTGCGTTGAAGAAGAAGCGTGACCTTCTTGTGGATGCCGGCAGGCAGCAGAAAGAGGTGGAGGATCAAATCAAGGTCATCGAGGCCGAGCTCCAGGGCGAGGAGATCAAGGTCAAAAACCTGGAGGCGGATCTGGAGAAGATCGAAGCCGAGGAACGCAGCAAGATTGTCAAGGGCAAGAAAACGGGCAAGGTGAATGTGCTAGCTGAGCTGGCGAAGGGCCGCGTCGAGGAACTCCGCAGTGCCCTGGGTGAAGTCCGCAAGGAGAGAGATGAGACTCGTTCCCGAGTAAAGGAACTTGAGGAGATTCTCTCCAAATTCAAGGTCGAATATAACCCCAACTTCAACGACGAGGGTGTCAAACGCGCCGTGCGGAGCTGGGAGGACTACGCCGTTCGCGGCACGTCGGAGAGCCTTGAAAACGGTGCTCGGGAACGCGATCTGGATGAGATCGCGAAGCCCGACGATGACCAGTCTGGTATTAACTGGGAGCAGTGGGAGAATGAGGATGATGCGTGTGAAGTCGACACCAGTAGGTATATTCGTTCTGGTCAGGGTGATGTCGGAACTAACAAGAATTTCTAGTCTACAAGCTCGCTGCCTACCTCCCACCTTCCGTCGTTAGCTTCGTGGAGGACAAGGCAATTGCCATCCGAAGCTTCCTCCAAGAAAACGGAATCGTGGCCAAGGGACCTGAGGGCTCCGCCTCCTCCGAGTCCAAAGCTGTGGCGGAGGCCCGTGACGCCTTCAATGCCGCCCAAAAAACCGTTGAAGATTTGCAATCCAAGATCAAGGACCACCAGGCCGACCTTGACACGGACTACGGCACAGCCTCCATCTTCCGTGCCCTCAAGGGGGTCTGCATTTCCAAGGACGCGGGCGAGTACACGTACGAGCACTGCTTCCTAGAACAGACGAAGCAGAACTCGAAGAAGGGCGGCTCATCCTTGGGCATGGGCCGATTTGTTCGCATCGGCACCGTTGCCGTCGACGAACTCGCCGAGTCGGGCGACATCGTGGCTCAGGACAGGGTCTCTCTCCAGTATAGCAACGGACAAGCCTGTTGGAATGGCCCGGCGCGGTCCACCACTGTCATCTTGGAATGTGGGGAGGAAAACGAGATCCTGAAGATCGCCGAAGATGAGAAGTGCGTCTATTCCATGCTTGTCACCACCCCGGCCGTCTGTGCCGGAGGCGAGGAGGAAGATAACAAGGCCCCGCGAGGCAAGGATGAGTTATGAGGGGGACTACAAGAGAGCCGCGCCTACGGTTCATGTTGAATATACTTCGAGATGCATTTGGAACGTCATTTTGTCATAGCGCAGAAACCGTATAGCAAGATTTTTTTTTCTCTTTCTTTTCTGCATTGTATCCTGCAGCGCGCTTATATGAAATCCAAGTGTTCCCCTTTCTCTATGCAGTCTAATTCCCAGCCTGCAGGCCACTACTGCACTCGCAGCCTCTCGGGTTACGCAGCTACGCGCCATGCAACTGACACCGTTGGGTACTCTTGAAACATCAAAACTTGCATTTCAGTCTGGCAATCCGGTGCCACAGTAACGGATTTCATCATATAAGCATATCCACAAGAATCAAAAAAAAAAAAAAAAAAAAAGTAATGCACCACCACTTGTTCACAAGAATCCGAAAAGATCAGACATCACAAACAACGCACTATCCCACCATATAGCTCCAACTGAGGGAAAGACAACGGTCGTCAACAAGGGCCGGCTGATTCGATCACTCGACGGCGAGGATGGATTCATTTAGTGCTAGGAGATAGGTCAGTTGCCATGATCCAGACCGAGAGGTAACATGGAGCGTTGCATGCTGGCTTACCTTGCAACTGCTGCAGGAGCAGGAGTTGCACTCGCCGGAGCAGCAGTGGCACTCGCAGGGAGACATGTTGGCTGGGAGGATGGGACGAACGGGCGTTCCTTCGTGGAAAATATGTATAGTTTTTGTAGTTGGGAAGGAGAGTGAAAGACAAATAAGGATTGAGGCGCTTGGGGAATAAAGAGAATGGAGAGGGAGGGGGATATGTGAGGGTCTTTATAGGCCCTGGCTGCCTACTAATCCAACCCGATAGTTTTCGAATGAAGTCGGTGTTTACTACTCAGTAAGTATGGAGGATGGACCATCTCCGATCATCCACCACTGTCTGGTGATCACAATCAGCCCACGAGCAAAGGAGGGGGAAGCGAGTGGAGTGTTGTTTTCTTTTTTTTTCTTGTTCCCTCGTTGGGATGGGTGCAGTTGGCCATTCAGAGCCAGCAGCCTTTCACCTTCCCTGTCTCTCTCTCGCTCTCCTGATTCCCGTTCCTTTGTTTTTCTTTTTCCGTTTCCTTCGTCGGCCCATGCCGATCCAGGAGTGGTGGTTCAAGGCAACCTCTACCCTTGGAGACACGTTGGAGAATGAATGGACAAGTGGGGAAGACGAGAGGGGAATGGAAAGTGAGGCTGCCCGTGAACAGGCTGGTTGACTGGTTTACTGGTTGACTGATTATCTTCCCCCTCCCCCCCCCCCTCCATGGTTTGATAGTCTCCCGGATATCCATATCCATGAAGCTCCGATGTATGCCTACCCATGCAGATGACGACATGCAGCATCCATACTACCGGAGACCACTAATTAACTGATGACCATGCAAGATCCCATCTTATCAGGGGGCGATTGGAGCCCCGTCATCATCGCGACCATTTCCTCCGAACAACAACCTTCCCTTCTGGAGCCAGCTGCAGAACGACTGCGTTGCCTTGACTTTGGGCGTTACGCAAAGGTCTCCCTTTCAACACTAGAAGATGAGACATGAAGAAAAACAACACAGAAGAATAAAACGGCTAGGGAGAGAAAAAAAAGACGCACTGCTAGCTAGGGCTGGGATGAATGGGAGGACAGCACCCCGGTCCACCCGCGAAAGCCGCGAGGAAAAGAAAGCAAAAAGGAAAGAAACGAAAAGCAAAGGAGAGTTTTCCAATCCAAGGTGGAACTGGGAAAAGTTAAAGCTCGGGGTATCTGCCCAAAGGAAGTGGATTTGGTTTGATTTGATTTGAAATGGCTATTACTGATGCCCCTCCGTCATATGGTCGATCGGCACGAGAACGATGCTTCTCACTCCCACAATATTCATTGTTTCTTATCACTATCGCTACTCCGTATGAAGCAACTTTACGGTGGGATCATTAGGTCGGTTGTCAACGTCAGCGTCGTGTTATTGGCTCTATCTAAGTGGCTTCCGAGTCATGCCCTCCACTGGCTTCTCGTTTCTCTCGGAGTCTCTTCCCCTCGCCACTTCTTGGTATAATTTTATGCCATGTTCCTCCCCTAATCCGACGAACTAAACCATCGCGTTGAGTTTATTTCTATACGAAGCGAAAAGAGTTCTAGTTAGTTGGGGGAAAGAACCACCCACGCGAGGTGAAAGGTCAAGGGTTCAAGACGTACGGGGCACTGGCATTGTCCGGCAGGGCACTGGCAAGAGGAGCCACAGCTGCAAGTGTGATCGGAGCCTAGACGGTATGGTCAGAACTATTGACTATTGATTCGTGCAAAATGCTATGGCCATCAGGAAGGGGATTCCCATGAACCAGAGATACCCCGCCATCTGACCCCACCCAGGATCAGGGCAAACAAAGCCTATGTATAGTTGTCTGTCTCTATAGATGGCGAGGCAAGGGGTTGAGGGACAAGCACACAAGGAAGCAGCCACGTACCCATGATGATAAGAGTGAAGCGAGATTGCAGGAATCAGGAACGTTTGGGATGGATGGAGGTAGTTGGAGGTGATTTGAATCGGCGGGAAGAAAGTGACAGGGCGGGGTATTTATACACGGCGCTAGCTGTTTCACCTTTCCTCTCTCTCTCTCTTTCTTTCTCGCCTCTGCCTTCTCGCACGCCCCCAATATTGTTTCTTGTTATTATCATCGTAATATTCCTAGTATGAGCAGATTTCTGCAACCAGGCCTCCCGCCACGCCCTCTGAATGGCCATGCTGCCCGTGGAATGGACCTCTCAGCTTCTCTAGCTTCAGAATTAGTGTCCAAGTGGAACGAATCGGGCGCTTCTTGCGTCGGTCTGGTTGAGAGCCATGTGCCGCATGGCTAAGCCCTCCATGATGACTCCTTTTTCGCTGGTTCAAACCTTCAAAGTCTCGCACTTCCTGAAGTTTACCCTGATTCTGTCGTCGGGTATGCAGAAGTCCTCATAGTTTCGCGCTACAGTGGCCAACACCTCGTTGGTCTTGTCGATTCCCAACCTGAGTATCCTTGGAATCTGCGGATTTTTCTAAAAGAAACGGTTCAAAGTGTATTCAAACAATACTGCATACACTGCAGGGCGCACGAGAAAAACCGGTGGCCTGATCTTCGCTCTGCCAACAACACCGTTATCATATCATACCCTCTGCCTACCATATTGTGCCCGGGGTGAACACACCCCTAAGCTTGAAGGGTATCACTATCTTTGACTTTTTCTTTTCCTTTGGGACCAAATGTCCAGCTCCATGGGGCTGAATACATTTTCTCAAATATTCCCAACATCATTTCAGTCTGGTTCTTCCCTGCTGACCCTCGCGTAGCTTACTACTTGCGTTCTTGCGGAGTACTCCATACAAATCAACAACCAACTACACAGTACGAAGTGTAACAGAAGATTCCCCACAGATCGACATCCGATAAAGTGAGTTGATCTCACGTAGATATTGTCAATGGCCGGTCGCATTTCTTGTTTGTGCAAGGGGGTCACGCAGGAGGTCGTGCTGGGACCGTTGTCAGGCCGCTCAATTCTCGATCTCTGTCACTGCACCACTTGTCGCGCCGTCTCTGGGCAGTTGTGTTCTTCATACTATCCCCTGCAATCACGGCCTCCAAACCTGGAATCCCTTGGCGAATACCAAGAATCACCTTGTATAAGCCGCTACTTTTGTAAAACTTGTGGTGCCCATGTCTTCGCCCGTCAAAAGCAAACGGAGCAGTACTTTGTCGCTGCAGGACTATGGGAGGAAAACCCACCCCCGTTCCAATTGATACGACATTGGCAGGCGAAAGACACTCGGGACAGAGGCCTAAGCGCCTTTTTTCCTGTCGATCCAGGAGCTACCAGCCCCGGCTGTTATCTGTACGCCGATACACACTGCCAGCAAGGCCGGGAGGATGAAAGAAAGATCGAGGAATGGACCGAGGATGACCGCCGGTTGCCAGCTGGGTGTCACTGTGGGGGCATTGAATTCTACGTCACATCGTCGGATCCCGGCTCGAACGACGCGTCCTCCCCCTGGCCTGACCTGCTGGTTCCCTACCATTCAGGTTCACCCGAAAACCCTGCGGATGTGAAATGGTGGCTGCGAGATGAAGGCAAAAAATATCTGGCTGGCACTTGTGCCTGTCGATCGTGCCGTCTGGCGAGCGGGTTTCCAATTCAGACATGGGCTTTCATACCCAAATCAAACCTCCAAAACGCGGACGGTACTGCGTTATCATTTGGTTTGGGTACCATGAGGCAATATGAAAGCTCGCCGGGGATTTACCGAGAGTTCTGTGGCCGCTGCGGTGCAACTGTTTTCTGGCACTGCGAAGAGCGACCTTTACTGATCGACGTGAGTGTCGGTCTGTTGCGAGCGAAAAGCGGTGCTCGAGCTGAAGACTGGGTTGAATGGCATCTTGGCCGAGTCAGCTTCTCGGGAATGGCCGTGGATCCAAAGCTTATCCATCAGCTGGAGGCGGGATTGAAAATTTGGGAAGCGAATAGATAGGAGTCCAGGATAGCCCCTAGATAACCAGTCAAGTAGTCCAATCTTTAGTGAATTGAAAAGCGCAGTGTTGGCATTTGTCGCAAACGATAGTAGCAGAGGTGTGCAATAGTTAAAGCTGTCAGTCTGGCGTTGGCGGTCAGATTGGTGGTCAGGACATCTTAGCGTGCAGTACGGACCGCGTGTGAGGAGGTTCACCGCCTGCCACAGATAGAAGGTTCTCCTCCGCCGCCCAAAAAAAAGTAGAAAAAAAGGTCATCGCGTCTTTCCCACTACATTGTGGATACTGCTTTAGCGACATCATCGCCTTCTTCACGCGTGGCGCCTGTTGGTTTTCCCCTAACAACCCTATCAACATGCCACCGCCAGCATTTGAATTTCGAGGAAATCATGACCGACGGTCACATCACCCGCGACATGAATTTACTTTCCGCTACTCGCGACCCGGTACATCGGAACGGCCACTGCTACGAAGCAAGCGAGAAACCACCCCCGACCAGCTCGTCGCCCACACAACGAACGACGAGCAACCGTCGATGAAATTCGCGCCCATCGAAAACCTCAGCGACAGCGATGAAGCCGACATGGAGGTCTCCTCGTCAGACAACGACGAGGCTTCCCACCCTCGCAAGAAGCGCGCGATGGAATCCGACGACAAACCTGCCTCGACACCCGCAGCGCCCCCCGCACCCAAGTGGTCAAATCCAGATCCATACACCGTTCTACCGCCGCCAGATGACACTCAATCTAAGAAGGTGGACGTGGTTAAGTTGATCCGCAAGGCTCGCATTGCGGCGAATTCTCAGAAGCCGGCGCAAACGGATGCGGTGAAGGATAATGAAGACTTCATCTCATTTGGCGGCTTGGTCGATGAGGAGAAAGCCAAATACAAGCCTCCAGAAGGTGCGCCCTCGGGCCCGAGGAGCCAAGGTGAATCTGCGTTTGGAAACCGGAAGAGAACATACGACGACGAGATGAAGGGGTTCTCCAAGAAGACGGGCAAGCCGCTGAGCAGATATTCCTCCGATGCGTCAATCATCGACGAGTGGAAACGACGCCCCACTGAAACAGGGACCCCGTGGTTCAGCCAGACGGAGGCTTCATTACATCTAAGCTCGAGGTGAGTTTTCAAACAGGATTCCGGGGTGTTAACGTGGCGGGCTCATTCTGACCGTGATTACAGGCTACATAATGAGATTCTCAGTTTCTACCATTGGGTTAAGCCCCTTCAGTATGAGCAAATCGTTCGGGCCGATCTGGTGTCGAGACTCCAATCCGCGTTCCAGAATCGGTATTACGGCGTGCAGCTTCGTGCCTTTGGCTCGTTTGCTTCCGGGCTCTACCTGCCCACCGCTGATATAGATCTTGTTATGCTCTCGACCAATTTCATGCGTACCGGAATTAAAACGTTTGGCGAACGGAAAGGCCAAATTTACGCTTTCTCTGCGTTCCTCAAAAACTTGGACATCGCGGTTCCCGGTTCAATCGAGACCATCGCACATGCGCGGGTCCCTATCCTGAAGTTCGTCGATAAAATGACAGGGCTGAAGGTCGACCTGTCTTTCGATAACGACAGTGGAATCGTGGCCAACGACACCTTCCAGCAGTGGAAATCAGAATACCCTGCCATTCCGGTTATTGTCGCTGTGATCAAGCAATTCCTGCTCCTTCGTGGCCTTAATGAAGTCCCAACCGGCGGCCTAGGAGGATTTTCAATCATCTGTCTCGTGACAAGTCTTCTACAGCACTTGCCGCATGGTCACACCGCGCCTAACCTGGGCAGTATCCTTATGGACTTCTTTGAATTCTATGGAAACAGGTTCGATTATGAAAAAGTTGGGATCCGCATGGATCCGCCTGGCTATTTTAACAAGGTTAGTCGCGCCCGCATCACGAATTACAATGTATCTCACCAGCTGACGCTTCATTCGACAGAGAGTATACCAGGTCAAGGGAAACAACGACCGCCTTTCTATCGAAGATCCCAACAACGCGGACAACGATATCTCCGGTGGTACCCGGGAGATTGCCCTGGTCTTCAAGGCATTTTCTCAGGCATACCGAGCTCTCAAAGAACGCATGGTCTCCAACGCCTTGTCAGGACAGACCCGGTGCAGCATCTTGGAGGCCATCATTGCCGCGAACTATGATGAGTACACCGAGCAAAGATGGCAGCTGCGTGAGATCTTCCAGACGAACCCTCGGTTTGCTCAATATCATCAACCTCCCACGCCACCTCCACCTCCGCAAGCGTCTCCTCCTCCGCCACCCCCTTTGCCTTCCAGTTCCCCGCCCTCTACGCGGCCCTCGCAGGAACCTAAGGAGAAGCAGACGAAGATGCAAAGAAAGCAGCAAGCGTCGCGGGAGCGAGCTACTCGTCTCCGACGATTGCGACCCGATATATCTTCTATCCCGAACTCTATCAGCAACGCGCGGGCCATGGAACTTGGTGGCTACAAAACCCAGTCTGAAATGGACAAAGACCTTACACTTAAAGAGAAGGAACTTGGCTCGACGATCCAGGGCTAAGGTATGATAGAGAAAGCTGAGCTTTCCACCAATACCCACTGCCGGTTGAACCGTTCCGACGTGTATTATATGATCCAGAGAAACGAAAGACCGTTTCTTTGTACCATAACAGTTATGCCCGTGTGTTTAGATATTTTGGTCACGTATCAGATACCCTTTGTTTTATGAACAGGCGACATTTTGAGGAGTGGAAGTCTTTTTTTTCCTTGCTGGGGTTTGCAGCCATTTCCCTCCCGTTAGGCATCTTGAGCAGGCAGGACGCACTGGTCACTGCTCTGGCCAACAACATTTTTGTCTATTGTTACCGAATGGTCATGCTCGCCAACTTGCCTGTGGCAGACTGGCTTGCTTTTTTGCTGCTGTTCATTTCAATGTCTATCCAGATAAACAACCGTCATTCTGGGCATAGGCCCATCATCTTCTCACTAACAAGGACACAGAGCCGGGTTGGAAGTTATTTGACATTTGGTATCAATATGAGGGTGACAGATGGGTGCTTTCCTGACTTGTCCTCCATTGACTGTTCTCTAGGTACTCGATTTAGTTCAGCTATGGCATCGAAACCCTGGCTGTTCCAAGCAGTCAGTCCAAGAATAAGAAAGAAGAATGTCGGATCCCCACATGTTCGTCCCGTTAGCTGGCATTCGCTAGTTGAATGAACCAGACAGACAGTTGAGTTAGAAGCAAAATCGAATGGCAAACCGATGGGGACGATCGAGTCTTCATTCCCTTCTACGAAAGTTTCCTTTCCACCTCTTTCTCATCAAGGAAACGCTATATGCGATTGCTTGGAGAGGATGCTCATGGATCGGATTTAGGATTGCTGAATGTTGTGTGTTGACAGCTAATAGTTGAGAAGGCCAGGGCTGATTCGTGGCTTCTTTCTTTCCTTGCTCTATTTATTTCCTCTTCGATCTGATGACAAACTCTATATCTAACGAGGCCAGAGGCACACAATAACAATAGATCCAACAGAAAATCTATTTACAAACATCAAATGAGGCCAAGCATTTTCCGTGTCATCATGGAGGACCAACATTCATGCAGTTCCCAAGAACAAAAAATCACACAAGTCTATAAACAGGTCTGCGAACGAAAGTACGCGGGTATCTTCGAGTCCACTATACATCCAAGGGGGGAGTCATTATAGCACGCTCCCGAGCATCCTGGGGGGCCGTCGTCTGCTGCTCCTGCTCCAACGCCGCCAGGTGCTCGGCCGGCAGCGAATTGACGAAATCCGGGCCCGGGCTGAGCCACGTATAATCAACCCAGTCCGGACCCAGGATGGACTGGATCTGTCGGGTAAGCAATAGGATGCGGTCCCGTCGATCGCGAGACCAGGCGCGATCAGTGATAACGCCATCCGAGGGGGTCAGGACGGTCGGGGCGTTCGCAGCCGTCGGCTCCAGGGTCGACGAACCCTGCGTATTGCGGTCCTCCTCGACCTCCTCGTCCCGGTTCTCCAGTCCCTCGACAATGCTGCGCCACACGCGCAGGGACTCGTTCAGCTCGTCGACATTACTCACGCCCATGACGCTCACGCCCAGACGCTCGCCGGTGCCCACGTTCACGACGGACAAGAAGCCCGGGTCGGCTTCGGGGGAGCGGGCCAGAGGCGGGCCCAGGGCGCCAACCTTGCTGCCCTCGCGCAGCCAGGACTCCAGTGCAAAGCGAATGGCGACCACCTCGAGTTTCTCGCCCTGGGAGTCAGCGAAGCGGCTGGCTTCCTGGGTGACGGCGCGCAGGGCGTCCGGCGCCGGATGAAAATCGCCCATGCTGCCGATCGGGACACCCGTGCGGCGCAGAAGGCCCATGCCCAGAGGCGACGCATTAGGGACAACATCGACACCGGCGGCCAGCAGACGCGGGAGACCCTGAGACACCAGGAGGGTGTTCTGCAGGGTGAAGTTGGCGTAGGACATGACGGCATCGAGCGGCTCACCGGTCTCGCGCAGGATCATCTCCGCCAGCTCGCAGAGCACGTCGACGGGGTATCCCGATATACCGACGTAGCGCACCGTGCCGTCGACGTCGCGGATGCGCCGCAACTCCTGCACGGCCGCCAGCACCTCGGCCGGGTACACGAATTCCACGTCGTGGCAGTAGACCACATCCAGGTACTCGGTGTGTAGGCGGGCCAGGCTGCGCCGCACGCTCTGGCGCACCCACCGCGGCGAGTAGTCAAAGGCCGAGCCGGCGACGCGGCCGACCTTGGTGAGCAGCCGGTAGGAGTCGCGCGGGTATGTCGAGCGCACGAAGTCAGTGGCCAACGCACGACCGAGCAGCTCCTCGGCGGGGCCATAGTAAGGCGAAGTGTCGAAGGCGCGCACGCCGCTGGCAAAGGCCCGATGAACCAGTTCGGTAGTTGGGAGCGCATAGGGATCCGGGTTGTATTGCGAATTGAATGTCGCCGTGCCCATAACCAACGGCGGGAGCGTGGCCGACAAGGGAACGGAAGGACGACCCATTTGATCGTGAAGTCGTGAAGTCGTGAAGTCGTGAAGTCGTGACGTCGTGGAAGGAGGAAGGAGGAAGGAGGAGGGAGGAGGAGGGAGGAGGAGGAGGAGGGAGGAGTAGGAGGAGGAAGTGGTGGTGAAGAATGTCAAGGGGTGAGGGGTGGAAAAGGGAAATTTTCGGCTTTTGACTCCTAAACGCCGCCGAGCGCAGTTCCGCTCGGAAGGGGTTTGCTTGTCCTTAACAATGGCTTTTTATAAAAGGATCATAGTCATCGCCTTCAACTCTCTTCTTCATTGTACATAGAATATACACAAGACATTTATTTATAATACATGAGTCAATCCTAATCTTTCGGAATGTAAGAGCGGAGAAAATGCCGGAATCGAAGGAGGTCGCTCAGACGGCGAATCCGTCTTTCGGCGCAATAATAGAGGGTAAGAATAAAGGAGATCTAGACTTCTTGCCAATCTAGGTCTTGGAATCACCAAAAACGCCTTGCTATGCTGCAGATAAAGAATGCCGATGGGGGCAAGAGATGCGCGAGGTCACAGTGTCCGTGGCGTGTGCCCTTGGCGTGCTGAAGCTTCGGGATCGGCTGGAAGCCGGGGTCGCAGTCGGAATGAAAACGTCGCGGGGTGGTTGTAATGAATAGCTAGGAAGCAGATCACCGATCCTTGTACACCTTCGGCTTCCAGCCCTCTTGTAGTTCTTTGTCGTGGGCCACCTTTCGCTCGGCTTGTCGGACTTCCATCTCTATCCTCTCACGGGCCCGAAGAATCTTGCTTTGAAGGTAAAAGCTGCCACCCTTCTGGGGGTCGTTGAGATCGAACAATTTCTTGAACCTCTCCATCGTCTGCTCCAGGTTGGCCTCACCCCCCTGCGGAGGTTTCACGTTGAGGATCTTGCATGCCTCGTCCAGCGTCAGACCCGACGACGTGAAGCCCCCCGACTTTCCGCCCGCGGCGCCTTTGCCATGCTTTGATGCGGCCGACGCCTGCTTGTAGGCCTCGGCAAAGGCTCGCCCGAAGACTCGGGCACCGGTAACGACCACTTGAGTAACGAGGCGATGGGCCTATTCAAAGAGGTGGATATCCATCAGCACGGGTCCCTTTTCTCCGGGGTCGCTCATTTTGAGGAGACTCTGCAGGAACCACTTACCATGTTGGCGAAGGGAAGAGAAAGGAAAGCTTCAATTAAGAAAAAAAAAAACCCCGATGACCGCAAAGAAAAGGTGGACGTAGAGATGGCGAAGAGGACGGGGGTGTTTGGGCGGTGGAAACAAACGGAAGGATGGAAAAATTCGGCGGGATTTAGTCCGCGTTCCTGCCCCAGGCACTGAGGCACTGAGGCATTGAGGCACCGAGGCCTTCGACGCTAGGGGCCTGGGGCCGGAAGTCTGGGCACCTCAGGCCGACAGTCACATGTCCCGAGCAGAAAAGCTTCACTTCTTTTTTGGGTGAATTTTGCTTTTCCCCGCAGACGATCAGAGCGCGCTGGCTTCATGCGGGTCCTTCGCTGTTCTTGAGCTCTTGTGCCTGGCTCTCCTCGCCTCGCCTCTCCTCCACTGCTCCTTCTTTATTCCTTCCCTCCCTCCTTCCTCTCTTCCTCTCTTTCTCGCTCTCTCCTCTTTCCCCTCACCGCCCGCGATGACCTTGCTGAATGCATATGACGTCTCTGTTGGATGGCAGCTCTCGGTATGTCTACTGCCTACTTCTCAACCCCATCCCTCCTCGTGTTCGGTCCCATATCTGCAGGGATTCCTTTGCAATTCCCCGGAGAGGAAGGTCTGAGGACCCTCGCTCGTACGGATGCTCATGCTTTGATAGACGATATTCCGTGGATAGATTCCATGGCACCCTCAACTTACTCGCAGGACCATACGGACCCCCAGCCTCCGACGGTCGCTGCCTTTTCTCCCACCACCATTTCCGGCTCGTCCTTGACATCCAAGCAACGTTCCAGCATCATTGTTCACCGTAAATCTCCGCTGCTGGTAGCCACTCCGCCGCCCGTCACGCGAGCGTTGGCCTACTCGCACCCGTTCATTTTACCCCTGAATAAACTGGTGGGCTTGTTGACCTGGACCAGCGGCGATGCATGGCAGAGCTTCCTCCTCGTGTCGGCCTTTTGGGCGATAGTTCTATATGGCGACGCCATCATTCTATTTGCCGGCCCGCCGTTGCTCGTAACCGGCCTCATCCTGGGCATGTACTGGAGGCGCTATTCTCCCCTGTCATCGAGAGCTTTCTCCGGGGACAAACCGGGCCATCAAAGAGTTGCTTCCGATGGCTCCCTGCGCCACCATGACAGCCTTGATGAAATCGTGGAAACCATGCGCACCTTTACCACGCGGTGCAATATCTTGTTGGAGCCCCTTTTGGAGCTGACTGACTTCCTGTCCACTCAAAGGACTGCCACCTCTGCCACCACCAGACCGGCTCTCACCACTCTCTTCTTCCGCATCCTGTTCGTGACCCCAATCTGGGTTGCGTTGACTCTACCTCCTTTACATCTCATCACTACTCGTCGTGTCATCCTAATTGTAGGCACCGTCATCCTCACTTATCATTCCCGCCCGGCGAGGGTGTCACGCGTTATCCTCTGGCGATCCCTAACGGTCCGCCGCATATTTTCCATAGTCACGGGCCTTTCATTCGCGATGAACGTCGACAAAATGTCATCGCGAACGCAGAGCCATGGTCATGCCATGAACATTGCAACCCGGCGACACAGAGATTCCTCAGGCGTGCGCTTTACCTTCATAATATATGAAAACCAACGTCGATGGCTTGGAATAGGGTGGACCTACTCTCTGTTCCCCTCAGAACGTGCTTCATGGACGGATGAGCATCTGAACCATGTTCCCGCCAAAGACGAATTCGAGCTGCCCGAAGTGCAAAATGGCAGCGCCAAGTGGCGCTGGGTAGAGGGCAGTGAGTGGCGCATTGAAGGTGCCGACGAGTCACACAGCAAAGCAGACGCTAAAACCTCTGATGGCGGTGGTTGGATCTACTATGATAACAAGGTTAGTCCTTACTCCCTTACATCAATGTTCCACCATGCTGGTACCGTTAGCTGACTGTAGGGACACCTTTTAAAAGTGGAACGACGGTCGTCGTGGCCAAGATGGCTGGGATCGATATACTCGGCGCAGAAAATGGTGTCGCGATGCCGAGCTGGTGGAAATCCCTTTAGGATCGGAGAAAGCATCTGCAGAGGCTACGTCCGGCTTAACCCAGGCATTCGAGCAGCAGAAACAGAAGGAATCCGGCGTTCTTGACGTTTCAACAGCCGATGCTGATTCCCAGAGTCTCGCCCCGTCTACCTCCTCCAAAACGCGGAGACGGCGGTGGTTTGGGAGCTCGAAGAGTGTAAGCGACAAAGCCAGCAACATCTCCTCTGCACCAACAGCCTCCAACAATAACTCGTCCGTAGATCTCGGCAGAATAACGTCGGCTCCTGGTTCCAACCTCGGCAAAAGCACCTCCAGGCCGATCAGCATCCCGGCCCGAAAACTATCCAATTATTCCCGGAGTTCCAGCGGCAGTCATGGCTTGGATGGAAGTGCGCAAGGAAGTAACGCTACCAGTGAAAGTACAAGTATGCGAGAAAAAGAGATTGCCCACGCGCAAGATCATCTCGATCGCTGGGGTACTCGAGCTGCTGGGGGCACTGAACGGGCGGAGCGAGAACTGGGCTTGGGGGACGAGGTTAATATGGGATTAAGTTGATACCTTTCGTAACGAAAATATAAATTGGTCAAGTGATTTTGAAGAGGATTTTGGGCACTAGACTCGGGAACATCGACCATTATAGTTGCCGAATGTTTCATAGTGTTAATATATTCATGCCAAGAATGAAACTCGACGGCGAGAAGATCACCATCCCACGTAATAGATACAAAGAAAAAATTTTATACATCAAGAATGACAGTAATCTGATTGCCGGGTACATGTTCTTTCAATACTCCTCCGAGAATGCCACCCTAGGCAAGTATCAAACCCCATTTCAATTGCTCCAATACATCCAACCAATGCATATGCGCCCCATGCCACAGGATTCTCAACAACTCCTTGGCTCGCTTGACATTCCCAATCCCGAAATTAGCCTCTAGTTTTGTAAGTGACTCGATGACAAGTTCTCTAGCCTCAGGGTCCTGGGTTTCGCAGCCAGTGATAAAAAGAGGAAAAGTGAGAGCAGAATATTCGCAATGTTGATCGAGTGGAAAGGATTTGATACGCTCTAAGCAACGCTCGAGAGCTTCATGCTTTGACAAGGTAACCAAATCCGGCCACGACGAGGGTAGACACTGGGTAGTGTGGTCTTGACTACTCATTCGATTCAAAGTGGAGTGGAGATAGATGTATGCCGCGTCACGAAAGCACTCGGCCACCATGCGAAGGCGACGCAGAGTAGCCTCTGTTGTTCCTCGGGGTACTGTGTAGTGCGTTGCGGTATGGGTCCAGTCGCGGAGAGATGTGTCTCTGAGGGGTTTCATTTAGCTTTCCGGTTCCTTGTGGCATCTCTCCCTTTCCGGCGGGGTGAACTTACATCGTATGTATCTCCAATCCCAAAGCCACTGGATCCTGACTAAGAAGAGGCAGGTCTGCAATCCGCGCACATAACTTGATGATCTCTTCAGTATAGCCAATATAAATGTCTAGCTTGGTGAAACTGAAGTTTTCTGCCCCGGGGATGAGGGTAATTTGCCGGCGATTGGTGATTTTGGCCACATTGTGCGCGTACAAGAAACTATAGCGACGTAGTGTCAGTGTCCATGAGTCGCCTCGAATACTTCAAAGGGAGAATATTCCATACAGTCCCCAGAGAAAATCTGCTGTGTCCTTGTCAAACGAAGCCAACCCGCCGCGGGAGATGACTAGCTTTTCCAGGGCATCCAAATGAACCGCCCACTGCTTGACGCTCCCCCGCACTATTTCATACTTGCAGAGTAAAGCCACAGCTAAGATCGACTCGTCAGGAAATTTCTTGCGCGGAAATTCGGTTAGCGCAGAGCGCAGTCCGCTCATTGTACGGATGTAGTAATTGGCCGCGGCGTTCTGAGCATCCAGGCTGTTTTGAGAGCGGTTTGCAAGGTGAACTGCGGAAACGGCGCACAGCGCCTTCATCAAGAGGGGAGATGAAAAAGCTCGGGGAATAATCAATGATCGTAGCGGATTTTCATCACTTTCTAGATTGGCCAGTAGTTTCGAACCTTGCTCCATATGGTATTGAAGATAGTGGGTTTCAAGAGTCGACAGGTGGCTGAGGTGCCCGGGGGGTTTTGGAGAGACCACTGAAAGGTCTTTCATTGACGCATCATTGGATGCAGCGTCATCATTCTCGTTAAGATCACTGATCTCAGTACTTGGCGAACGAGTCTCAGTGTAGCCGGAGTTCAACGGAGAAGAGGCGGCAGACGATACATGGCAGATGGACAAGGAAGATCTGGAAAAATCCCGGGATTCCATGGATGCCGGAGAGCAGACTGACATAGGCGATTCACTGAGTCTTCGTCGCTTTGGTGGCATGGCCGACTGAAACACATGGGCCGACGGGTCTAGGGGTTGCGCCCACATTGAGCCGTAGCCTTCGCAGGTGAACCCCAATCGCACGCAGTTGCGGCAGCTACTCATCCAAATTAGGCAAGCTGACCGGTGAGCAATGTGGAACTGCGGTCTATATTTACCTGGGTTTTGCTTCATCACATCGTTTTCGGCGCCTCTTGCACGTCAAACAACCCGAGCGAGTCCATTTTGCACCGGTTCTTCTAGATCTTTTATTTGTGGAGGTTTGAGCATTGTCGCTTTGGGAAACACTCGAGGGAGTGCTAACGGCAAATTGATTCATGCTGAGGATTTATGCAGATGTACAGTAGATCATCGCATGCTAATCTTATCGTACCTATAGGCGGGGTATACTGTAGCAGGAGATATTGCACCGGCTGCGGACCATTGGATTCACGGGGTATACCCAATCGGAACCTTGCTTATGGGGGCTTTGGGGGAATCATTATCGTCTCGGAGTAAGTGGATGGAGTAAGTCGCAGTAGTTAGCAGTTAGCAGAAGCAGTCAATCAGAACAAATTCCGCCGCGATCCCGTGACCCTGGGGCAGTCACGGGAGGGGGCGACCAGCACTAGGCCTGAAGAGGAATGGCAAGGAGATCGTGACCACCGACCTCATGTGATTCGCTGGCGATGACCAACTCGCAATTCTCCTGGCGAAAGTGCCCAGACTTACTCAGTGGCCAAGATGTTTAGCGTCAGTCCATTAAACGCGCCCCACCGCCGGCGGTTACTTGGCCCAAAATGGCATGTCCATCCAGCCCATGGTGGAGGAGCCTCCTCACAATCCATACTTCCGTGTCATCGCCGTCCTTTCCCCGGCGGAACAAGGCGAGCATGTTTCTATATAAAGGGCTAGAAGGCCCTCATCCAAAAGGGTCATTCAAGCAACTTCTCTGGACCTCTCTTCTTCATCCTTCTGCTCTACATACCTACCAACACCATGGTGCTTCATCCATTCGATCCTGTCACGCCTGAAGAGATTCGGCTGGCTGTCCGGATCTTGGAGGCTGCTTTCCCAGGCATTCCCCTTCGGTACAACAGAATTGATATCTCGGAGCCTATCAAGAAGGATGTTCTTCCATATATCGAGGCCGAACGGCTGAGAAAGCCTTTGCCACCCAAACCAGCGCGTCTTTTGTATTCTTACTTCCACCGTCTTGACAGCGGGGTGTGCTGTAAGACTTTAATCAATGCAGACACTAAATCAATCATCTACACGAAAGAACTTCCAGAGGGGGTGCAGGTAAGCTCTCTCTCTCTCTCTCTCTCCCTTTCCCTTGTCCCACTCCGCCATATTGCTTGATGTCCTCCCGCTTACAATTCCCTAGCCACCGATGGATGTCGACGAACTGGCCGATATTGAACGGGTATGCATGGAACACCCAGCAGTTCAGGCCGAGATCGAGAAACTTAAATTGCCACCGGGCATGTCGGTGTGCAACGACCCCTGGATGTACGGCACCGATAACGACAACGAAAAGCGCCGGCTGTTCCAATGCTTCATGTACATGGTTGCGGTGGACCACCCCGAAAATAACCATTATTCCCTGCCGTGCAAGTTCTGTCCTGTTTTCGACGGTCCCACTAAGAAATTGGTGCGAATCGATTATCTCCCGGGTGGTGTAGACGCTGCTACTGTCGAGACCCAACCATGGAAACCTGTCAAAACGGTTCAGTATGCACATGACCTCTTGGACGAACCCCTCCGCCAGGACCTCAAGCCGTACATTGTACAGCAGCCGGAAGGACCGTCATTTTCTGCAGACGGTAACTCCATCTACTGGCAGAAGTGGCGATTCCGAGTGGGGTTCAACAACCGCGAGGGAATGGTTATCCATAACGTGACCTATGATAACCGCAATGTCTTCTATCGCCTGTCGGTCTCAGAAATGACTGTTCCCTACGGAGGTGAGTAAGCTTGCGTGGAAGATGGCCATATCCCTGATGCTAATCAATGCTCCCTTGTTTGTTAGACCCTCGGGCGCCTTATCATCGCAAGCAGGCCTTCGATGTTGGGGATGTTGGTTTCGGACTCAATGCCAATCAGTTGTCGCTGGGGTGTGATTGTCTAGGCCACATTAAATACTTCAATGGTTACAGGGCAGATGCGAAGGGAAACCCGATCCTTCTGCAGAATGTTATTTGCATGCACGAACAAGACAACGGCCTCCAGTACAAGCACACCAATTACAGAACTGGGACTGCCAGTGTTTCGCGTAACCGCCAGCTTGTACTCCAGATGATCTGCACCGTTGCAAATTACGAGTATATCTTCGCCTACATTTTCGACCAGGCGGCCAATATCGAGCTTGAAGTCCGCGCGACTGGAATCCTGTCAACGGTCCCCTTCGACAACGAAAACGGAGAAACCGTCGCTTGGGGTACCAACGTTGGTCCGGGAGTCATGGCTCCCTTCCACCAGCACATGTTCTCCATGCGAATTGACCCGGCCATCGATGGCTTCAAGAATACCGTCTATTACGAGGACAGCGTTCCACTTCCCGAGGATGAGAACAACCCCTACCTTGTCGGATACACAACCGAGCAGACTGTTATTCGGAACTCCAGCAGTGCGAATACCGACGTCAATCGCCATCGGGTCTTCAAAATCCGCAATGACAACGTCATCAACCCCGTAACCTACAAGCCCATCTCATACAAGCTGGTAACGGTACCCAGCCAGATGTTGCTCCTGAGCAAGAACGCCATGGGCTACCGCCGGGCCGAGTTTGCCAGCAAACCCATCTGGGTCACCAAATACCAGGACGATGAACTGTTCGCCGCCGGCGAGTTCACCAACCAGAGCACCAAGGCCCATGGTGTTGAGACCTGGGTGCAACGGAACGACAAGACCGAAGACGAAGATGTGGTTCTATGGCACTGTGAGTATATATATATACATGACTCGAGAATCTCGGACTTGAGAAAGAGAGACCAGCATAACTAACGATTGCATTGTTTAGCATTCGGCCTGACGCATAACCCCCGAATCGAAGACTTCCCCGTCATGCCAATGGAGCGAATTAGCATGATGTTACGACCTGACGGATTCTTCACTAAGAACCCGGCGTTAGACGTACCCGCATCGACTCAGTCTTTCAACAAATCCACTCTCCATAGAGAACCGGCGAAAGCTGACGCTTCATGCTGTTCTAGTGCCGGGGGCAGCAAGGCTAAGCTCTACAAGCGAATGGACTAGGAACTTATCATCACAGTTCACTAGTCGGTCTAGCAAGCCATTCGTTGGCTTTTATGACAAGGCCTTTTTTGTTGTATGATGAACATATGTAGCACAGCGAGCCTTTCTCTTATTGTACATAAATGATACCAGAAAAGAAAGGAGCCAGAATTGGTCGCCATCCATAATTACATATCAGATTGTCTATCTCTCATTAGTACATACATCTCTTCTGGTAAAGATTTACCACCCGCTTGCCCGTGATCGAGCGAAAACGGGTTCTAAACCAGAAGCATCTCACACGAAGCGGGTTCCTGACAACTGATTGCCCGAATTTCCATTCCTTGCTTCTTAATCTTGCTAATAAATCGGAGTCTGTTCGATCCATTCTTCGGTTTGATTCACCAAGCCCCGGGGGCTATGTAACGGGCCCTTGCGCCAAAAGGCGAGAGCCCGAGGCAATTTATCAGATTACTGACGTTCAAAGTAGCACTGACGCGCCTAGTGAGACGTTGCATTTACGCCTTGTTAGGAACGTGAGCGCTGGGGCGGGCGCCGTTGCCCACGTTCTGAGCAGCGGCCTCACGAGCCGCGTTAAGGCCGAACTGGTTTTGGATGCCTTCAACGCGGTGAGTAGAGTTGATGTTCTTGACCAGAGTAAGCTGCCAGCAGGTAGCACCGCCCTGGCGGGAGGTGATGGTGGAGGAGGCCAGGAAGTATTCCCAGATCTGTACGCGGTTGATTAGAACATAACTCGAAGAAACCTAGGGATTTCCCCATCATCCGGGGGTTATACTCACGCGGAACCATCTTTTGCCGTACTTGGCTTCGACCTTCTCACGGTTACCCATCCAGTTGCGGTACCAGCGCCAGAGAGTGGCAGAATAGTGAACACCAATGGTATCAACAGCCTTGATCTCGAATCCAGCGGCCTCAAGTCGGTCGACGACGAAACCCAGGGGAGTACTAGCGTCAGCACCGGGGAAGATGTACTTGTTCATGAAAAGACCCCAGATCAGATCCTCGTACTGCCAGGACTTGCGGATACCAGCGATCTGCAAGAAGAAGACACCATCGTCGTCCAGCATATCGTAGACCTGAGACAAGAAAGTGCTGAAGTGACGCACACCGACGTGCTCGGCCATCTCCAGGCAAGTGATCTTCTTATAGCCGCCATCCACACGAGGAGCATCACGGTAGTCCAAACACAATACACGGCTCTGGGAGTCTTCAATGCCCGCGGTGCGAAGACCCTTGTTACCCCAGGCAGTCTGGTTACGACCGAGCGTGATACCGGTGACTTGGGCGCCGTAATGAACCGAAGCGTACTTAGCGAGGGTACCCCAGCCACAACCCAGGTCGAGGATGGTATCACCGGGCTTCACACCGATCTTTTCGCAAACGACAGCCAGCTTGTTATCCTGAAGCTCCTCCAGGGTTTCTTCCCTGTTGACATCGCCAATGAGACCAGAGGTGTAGATCATGCGGGGACCCAAGAACCAAGCGTAGAAGTCGTCGCCCCGGTCGTAGTGGTCTCGCACCTGCTCTTCGTCTGGGAGGTAACGACGTTAGAAAATCTTCCTCGAACTTTCGAGGTACTTTGCCTCGGAAAGATGATCTCACCTTGAGAGCGGGAGTGAACGAGCAATTCGGGAATGAAGCCGAAGAGGAAGTGCTTGAAGAGACCCATGGTGAAGCGGAAGTTGGCCCAGTCGTGTCGGAATTCGAGCATCTCCAGGGCATCACCCTTGAAGTCAACCTCGCCGTTGAAGTACTTCTCGTAGAAGACCTCCATGGGGACCTTGCTCTTTCCGTGGTACGTGGCGCGGTCATGCTCGCTGTGGAAATCCAGATAGTGCTCAACGGGGCGACCGGCATACTTGGCCTTCTCGTTCTTGCGGGGAGAGATGGAAGAAGCCACGGACCAAAACACCATCAGGATGGGGATGGTGGTGAAGATGGCAAAGAAGATGGTGGTGTAGAAACCTCCACCGACCTGGCGAGCCGAGTACCAGGGGACGAGGAGAAGCAGGGAGAACAGCAGGATGTTGGAGAAGCTGTCACTGCCAGCCGAATCCGCCGGGACGGGGGCATTTTTGATGGCGGGGTACTGTGCCAGGATATTCCAATGGTTAGCCCTATCTGGAGATGATGGATTCCGACGGAATGTGCCATGATTGAGCTCCCCAAAGACTTGCAATTGGGGGCATGGCGTTCGGGACCTACCGAAGTTGTCCGCACACCGCAGTCCTCAGCTGGGGTGGTACAGGGGGCGGCCGGAGTCTGGATGAACTCGAAGTCCTCCAGAGACTCGGGGTGAATATTTGTCGCCATGACTGGGAAGAATTGGCGGCAAAATTGGGGTGGAGGGGGTTTAGGGGAGAGAGGAAGAAGGAAAAGAGAAGAGAGTAGGAAGAAGCAAGAGTGTCCGGAGCTGGGCCAACGGGGCCGGGGGAGATCCGCTGACGGGGGCAGCCACCAAGGCGAATTATTTCGGAATTGTAACGCGACCGTTGTGCTACAGCATTACAGATTACTACAATTAGCTGGAGCTTCCAGGGTTGGGCGGCCTCGACTTTGTTTTTGTGATTTTTAATCGTATTTGTATTTTTATTGTTCTTTTTCTCTTTCTGGTCGGGAGCGGTGAAGTACCTCAGAAGTACCTCCTGTCCGCGGCCAAAATACAGGTACCTGGTCCGTACCGTATGATTACACCTGTGGAACTGCAAATTGCAAAATGCACCAGAATCGAATAGAATAACATAAACTAAAGCCCCATACACTGTTGGGTATATCCATGGATACATCAATCCAGGACAAGCTGGTGTTGGTCGTAAAAGAAAACAATAATAACGTCATACACATTATGAAACGCCCCGATGCCTCCCTGCCCTTCCGAGAACCCGACCCCCGATGACCATTCGTGCGCCGCAATGAGAATAAACCGTAAGAGTTAACCTGGGAAATAAGGATGACCCGATTTTACAGAGTCAGCTGGAAATTCTGCGTTTCTTCATCTTCTTCATAGGTCGGAAGCTCGGTCTCGACTTCCGCAGACACCCCGTCCGTTTCGAACTCGCCAAAGTCCGCATCCAAGACGCTGTCAGAAGGTGCCTTGTCGGGCTGCACATAGGTCTCCGGCGACAGGATTCCCTTGTGGACAGGCTGCGCTGTGGCATCGGAAGGAGTGCCATGCAATCTCGACGACACGTCCCGACCTTTGGTATATCCGACGGTTGTTCGAGAGCTCGCAGTCGCCGCCGTATGGCGCATGGACGATGGATTGGTAGGAGCGCGTGGCTTTTTCGACGAAAACAGAGATGAAGTCACTCTCGGTTTGATCTTGGGATTGACGGCCTGCCTCGTTCGTGGAAGGGAACGGTCGGTTCCCGACAAAGCCGCGGCAGCATCCCGGGCACGCACAGTCGAGAGATTGCTGGTCTGCTTGATCCTCGTACTGGGAGCTCGCACTCGACGGGCCCTCGAGGCATCCTTCCGGAGCGACTCGTCGCGTTGCTCCGCTCCGCTGGCTTCCTCAAATCCGATATTTGCAATTTGTTCGAGAATCATCTCATCCATCATCCTGTCGCACGCGATTGAACCCTCCTGCAGTTTGCGATCTCTCTTCGTAAGACCGTCATTTCCAACCTCATTATCTCCATACACGCTCTCCAGACCAAGCGCAAGATTCTTCGGGTGAAATTGAGGGAACGTGGTATCGTACGTGATATCGTCGGGAATATCGGGGAGCTCTGTAGGTCGTTAGCGACGGGAAAGCTCCTGTGGGCAGGGAGCAGAGCGATGGCCTACCTTTCGGTTTAGGCGGCATATATTCAATGTCAGGAACATCGTCCTGGGCCGGTTTATCCTGAATCTTTGTTTGGCTCTGCTCGACCAAGGGAGTAAACTTTTTCACTCTCTGCGTGGAGCCTCTTTTCGTCGTTCTTTCCGGCTTCACGGTCCCTGCGGGAGGGGCGGGAGTCTGTAATCCCTTGGCTTTCGCATTGGTCGTTTTCATACCCAGAGGGGCGCGTTGACGAGGGTCTGCTATACAATGCCGTTAGCTGCGCGAAGTCATAGTCAAAAGCATCCAGCTTGCTGCGGTATGGCCTTGTCCTTGCTAAGCATACCCAGTGGTGTGACAAATGCATCCTTGACCGACAGCTTCCCATTTTCCTTTTGTTTACCGGTACCCTTCACGGTTTTCTTCCCAAAGGCCAAGGGGTCGTTCTCATCATTCAGCGGGACTTTAAAGGGCGTTTTCGGAGCTCGAGCTCCCGGAGTTTTCGGCTGCAGCTGTTGGTTCAGAGGCTTGGAGGCGGCGACGGTTTGATGGGCATGTGCCAAGTTCTCTTGATCCCGAAGAGCCAGCATGGCGGCGGCTATGCGACGAGTTGTTTCATGCAACGGGATGAGGTGGATCGATATTGAGGGAGAGATGGGACGACGGGTGAATGGTGGGATGAGGATGCGGTGAGGATGGAAGTTCCCTTGGGTGATTCTAGATTGGCAGGTGTTTTTGTCGACGGTTGCCCGTGGAGACGCGGGAGGCTCCCGGGGCGTCTCCTTCCCAATTCCATGGGACGGACAGCGCGGAAGGAGTCCCTAGAGTCCCTAGGTAGTCCGGAGGTACCCTAGGACTACCGTAGGTAAAGTAACAATACTGTATGACGGGCGTACCGGGAGAGGTGCTGACTCAGGGGGCTCCCGTGACTGGTAAGTACCTGACGGCCCGAAAGGGTTTAGAGCGGCTGACCGCCAGGCAGTCGGTCTCTTTCTCTCTCTCCACTTGGTCTTTCCCTTTATTATTTCCCATCATTTTCTCCTGGTTTCTCGCTGGCGAAAGCCTTTCAGTCCCGTATATCTGCCGCTGCTACATCTCCATCTTCTTCAATACATACTTTCTCGCTCCCTTGCATAGACCTCTTTCTCATCACTCACCATGGACAAGATCAAGGAAGTGAGTTGACATTCCCCTTCCCTCCCCCCTTCGGCGGGGTAGCTTGGAAGCTCCTAGAAATGCACATGCACATTCCGTTGTCCCGACTGCCCCGTCCCCTATTTCCTATCTTTTGGCCACCTCATCCATACCAGAGATGGGTTACCTGCCAACTCGTTGAGATCATTTTTGGTCCCGGTCTCCAGTATCGAAACTAACAGATAATGTTCTAGAGAATGAACAACCTCCGCCTGGAGGCTGACGATGCCCAGGCCAAGGTTGAGGAGTTGAAGACCAAAGTGAGGACGCTGGAACAGGAGAACCTTGCCAAGGAGCAGGAAATCACATCCCTCAACCACCGAAACCAGCTCTTGGAGGGTGAGGTGGAGAAGCTGGAGACCTCCGTGAAGGAGGCCAAGGACTCTGCCACCCAGAGTGCCCAGCACGACACCCAGAACGAAGCCCTCCAGAGACGCCTGCAGCTTCTGGAGGAAGAGGCTGAAGAAGCCGATCGGAATCTGCGCGAGACCAACGAGAAGTATGCCTCCCTGGATCAGCCCCTTATTTACCTTACGTGGGACCACGTTGCTGACAATGCCCGCGTGGTAGACTCCGTCAAACCGACGTCAAGGCCGGCCACTACGAGCGTAAGGTCCAGGCCCTCGAAGCCTCTCGTGACCAGTGGGAGAGCAAGTACGAGGAGATGGCCAAGAAGCACGCCGAACTAGAGAAGGATCTCCACGACCTCGAGGTCTCCATCAGCAACGTCTAAGTACGGACTATGGGTACGGGCGTAGAGTTTATCTGGAAATATTCGATTCGACCTTGATTCCAACAGACTTCCTTTTCAGTTGCCTGCGTATTGCAGTTTCATTTACTGCCATCCGTCGACGGGAGAGCCGGCTGGACGTATTGCCTCCTGTGCATTGGCGGGACTTGTTGCTATGCCGCTTGTCTGTCCTATTTGTCCCCATTCTATTTTGAACCAAACATATACTTTCTCATGGAAAGGTACATAGAACATATTTAATTGAATTGCCGCCGGGGTTGTATCCGTGCCCGGCTGATTAACTCTGTACTTCATCCTCGCTCTCGCCGGGCCTGAGCCTTCTTGTGGTTCGACTGGCGCTGCTTTGCCCGCGTCAGCTTGCGATCCTCCTTGCTTTCGTACCGGAACTTTTTCTTCTTCTTCTTCGGGGCCTTGTTATCGGATATCCGCTTCTTTGTCGGTTCCGCCGACTGTTTGATCTCGGCTTCGGGCGCCGCCTCTGTTTGCTCGTCCGCTTCACTCGAGTCGTCATCCTTTTGAGACTTCAACAAGCCTTCTCTTGAAGGATCCATCTCTTCCACTGTCACCGTCGTGTATTTGTCCTCGTCGATGTACTCTGCTTCGTAATCCACCGCCGGCGGCTCTGCAAATCCTTCCCATTCCTGATTTTCCTCCTCGTCATCACTGCCAGATTCGGACTCGTCGCTGCCACGATTCTCGTCGTTGATCTTCTTTAATTGCTTTCTATGCTCTTCGATCGCACGCTGGAATCCTTCGGTTCGTTCTTGCCGAATCTAAACGGAGAGCACACATTAGTCCTCAGGCTTACTTTGGCCCGCGTTGTCTCAAGGCGGGCATGATGACTTCGTAACGAACCCGTTTTCTTTGCTCTCTCTGCGCTTCTTTATATTTTTGCTCTGCCACTTCCTGCGCATGTTTCACCCGTTGTTGCTTTCGTTTGCGAAAGCCCGTTAGGAATGAATGGCGGGCGTCGGGATCGAAATTGATCTCCTCGGTCTTGCTTTGCACTTTTCGCCGTTTCGCCACAGGTCCCATGGTTCTTACAACCTCCTATTATAGACGGTAATTGAGAGGGAAAGAAGAAAAAGTAACAGGAAAAGGAACGCAAAGTAAATAGACACCAGGAGGGGGAGCGTAAATGTATTGGGGAATAATAGAAGTTTTTTCTTTCTTTTTTTTTTTTCTCTGGGCCAAGCTAAGGTCCGCCGCCTTGTCGGGCGGCTCGACCGCCTCCGAGACCAACGGCACCAGCCTGGCTCCAACCATCATTCTGCGGCTTCTCGGACAGCACCGCGCCTGTCTAGATACTCCCAGGCACCATACATACGACCCCTTTCGCCACGATGCATTTGGGTAGGCTCTCGCTGCTTGCTGTTGGAGCAGCAACTGTCAACGCCTTCCGGGACACCTCCCCCTTTTTCCTAGCTTCGACTTCCGAGTGGGTTGTGACCTCACCAGCTTCTCCGAACACCGCAGCTAACAAGCTTACTCTGAAGGATCCTAGCCTCTTCTGCCCGACTGAAAACCGCGACGTCGTTGTTACAGGACCTTTCTTCTGAGCTCAGCTCCTGTCCTTCGGACTACTATGTCATCGCCTCTCAACCCGGTGTGCATAGCACCGATTTCTCTAACCGCAAGTCCGCACCCCGCCTCGGCGCGAAGATGACGGGGAAGGATAAGGACATCCGGTCGACGATGACAATCCATGAGGTTGCTGGCGTGCTGGACGCGAAACAGATCCAGAATGTCCTTGAGCGGGAGTGCGGCGCCCAATCCACGGTCGTCGATAAGGCTTGTGAGTACCTCGAATCCGATTGAGAGATGCGTAATGAGACTAATGCAAGTTCTTAGCTGGCTCTCCTCCTTCGGATCTGGGATCCGCTCCCCGCGTCCTGCTCATTGACTTTCCCGTCCTTTCCTCGGGATCTGATCGAGCCCAGCAACTTGTAGACAACGGTTTGTCCCACCCATGGTTCGGTGATAACGAGGCCGGAATGTTTGCTAATGCTTGACTGCAGATGGACTTTTATCCGACATCATTGAGCGGCTCCCCGAGTCAAAGAAGTATTCTATCCTATATGTGACATCGCCAAGGGAGTTCGACGAGTCCGATCCCAGCCTCTATCAGTCAGAAAGCAACCCTTACCAGGACCCCATCCATATGGATCTAAAGCGTGACCATTCGGTGAGGGCTCGTCAGGTAAAACCCGCCTCCAACAAATCATTGTTTCAAGAATACCAGTACTTCACACCCGGTACGTTTTCGCCCGCTCCACGCGGTTCCTTGGGGATATCATGAGAGTGTCCCACTTGCTTACTATGCGTAGGCATCTTCATGGGGTTGATGGCTTCCTTCGTCTGTCTGGCCATCTTGTATGTCGGTCTTAGTGCTCTCATGAGCTTACAGGTCCCCTATGCTGCCTTCGAGAAGGATAGCTCCTCGGCTGTGCAGAAGAAACAGCAGTGATTACAGTTGATGATGACGCCGGTTCTGTTTCTTTTTTCTTTTGGGCATTGTTTGGGGATAAGCATTGACGGCTTTTTCTTTACCATTGGATGTTTAGCTGTCATATAAACTGTATCTGTATGTTTCTGTGTTGTTGTCACTTTTCGTAGGAAGATGCATGAATGCATTACATATGCAACCCACATAAATATAGGCATCACGTGCCGGGTTCCGCCTCCGCAGTCGGTGCCTGGGGCATCCGGCGTGGGCACGGGCGCCAAAATGGCTCGTCTCTTCTCTTCTTTGCCTGCCCGCTGATCTCTGCGTCCAACTTGCATTCTCAGCTTTCGGGCCTGTCCCTCACTTCTTCGCCAGATTCCGCCCGGCATAAATCACTGGCCTGATGGTGGCAGTCCTTCATTCTGTCATCTGATCTATCTTAGACGCTCGTCGTCTCATCTCTACGTTGTTGATTGTTGACCCAGTGTTTGAGTGGAGCCTATCCGATAAAGATCTACGCCCCCATTGCCTGCCCGCCACCTACTGCGCAAGTCTTTCGTTAACTTGAACGTTGCGAAATTTTGCGACAATCTTTGATTTCGCCGCGGTTATCTCCGTTGAAGCGCTGGACACAAACCATCGACATCTACGTCCTCTTCGTCGAATCGGACCATATTTAAACTGGCCATGGTTTTTCTCCCTGTGGGCCCTCGCAAGGCCCGCCGACGCTCAGCTCTCGTGCTCGTGCTACTCGCTCTGATCATCTTTGCTCAATTATCGGTGGCTCAACGTACCAGTGACGATCGGGATCCAGCGACTACGACGGCCGACGATGCGAAAACCACCGACGCTGCGACCACTACCAATGCTGCGACCAGTAAGAGCGATGAAACTGCTACCACCCACTCGCGATCTAGGGATTCATCAGCGACGACAACCACCGACTCCGAATCGAAATCTACCGAATCTGCGAGTAGTTCTTCGTCATCCTCGACGAACAACCACCCCGTGGTGACGGTGCCGCCAACGAGCGATGCGCCCTACATGCAAAAGTCCGACACGCCTGAAGGCACCGTGTTCATTGCCGTCGGGGCAGCCTTGGGATTCATTGGACTTTCCGTTCTCGCCTGGCGTGGGCTTGTCGCATGGTCTGTGAACCGATCCGTCCGTCAGGCTGCGATCGCACATTCATCAGAAACAAAGGGGCTGCTTCACCACAAGAGGAAGAAGCGATCGAGCCATGCGCACGGAGCCCCACCCGCCGTATCGCTCGAGAAGATGAGTGGGAAACATCGTTCAAGCCACTCGCACCGCCGGTCGTCCAAAGTCCCCAGCTCCAACACCGGATTGTTCTTTTCGCCCACTGCCGGAATGCACAGCGGCGGAAATAGAGGCTCAAGCTATCTTCCCGCCGGATACTATGCTGCCGGAAACGCTGCCGCTGGCGGCGGCGGTTCGACTACTCGTTTCTCAACGTCCGACCTGTCGGGCATGGGTCCGCAATCTCAGGGCTATTCTCAACCCAGATCAGGTCCAAGCCCACCGGGGACGCCGCCTCACCCTGCAAGCGGTGCGTATGACCCTCATCATCATCCCAGCAGGCAATCGTACGTCGGTGCCTCTACTAGCAGTGTGAACCTCTCCTCTCCTCAGCCAGGAAGAACACCGAGTGCATACTTAGAGGATTTATTCGAGAACCACCCTCCTCAAAGACGGCCTTAGATTTGCTCTTTGAACAAATGCTTCGATGAGCCACGACAGCCTTGACGCGGTTTATCTATCGCTTTGGTACCCTTTTTCTTTCTTATGTTGAATCTTGGATCGTTCGCCTCCTGTCCATGTGCTCATATCTTGTATATCCTTCCAGCATCTTTCCTTCCCTATGAACCCTGTATCTAACCTCTTGATTTTGTGATATATTCGGCGACGGAGTTTATTGGAATAACGCTTAACGGTATTTTCTTTGGAAGACTTTGCATGATTATATTTTTGATTTTTCTTGATTTTGTCTTTTGGAGGTGAAAACGGGGCCCTTCTCATGTAATTAGTGATTATCCATCCAACCATCCCCCAGAAATCCCAATTATGAAAGAGAAAAAAAACAAGGACCGAAACGATCTTTTTTGTGCACAAAGCAGCTCCGGAACGCACTTGCCCATATGTTACAAGCTGAAAGGACAGTGAATATGAGTCTATCGGAAAGCTAGCCATCCCCTAGCTGAAGGTGTAGTTATATAGAGAGAAAAAAAAGGCGAAGGTGAAAAAAAAAAAGAACAAGCGATAGTCGGCTTCAAAGGCGTAGCAAATAATGACAGTAAAAAACAAGGCGTACGTAAGTCAACAATAACACTCGGTCCTGTCTACATGTAAATACAAGTCATGACATTTATTTTCTTTTCTTATCGAAGAAAAGGCGATTTTTCGAGGGTTCGGTAGATGTTGTCAATCGGCGTCTCGTTTGCCGTTGAACTCCCCGAGAAGGATATCGTCGGGTGCCGGCCCACGGTTGTTCCTGACTATTTGAGGGAGATGAAGTGTTAGCTCGACAGTTCGTGATGATCATTCACAAGGGTAGAAGGGGACTAACCCCATTCGGTCTCTACTCGGAGGAAAATCCACATCCATCGACGCGCAACCTCGAGGAACATCATGGTAAAAAGACCCCCCTCGGTCTCGGTGAGCCAGAGGAATCCTGGCACGAACCTAGAAAGCCATGCGAAACGAATTCCTAGATCCACCAAGATGGCAGCATAGTACTGCCGGTCGGAGAAGTAGCGATGGCGACGTAATCCATACGGATGGTCTGGGTCGAGGCGGGATGATGTGAAAAGGGACAGATCCCAATCCTTGGTCACATCCCAGTAGAAAGAGTAGGCAGAGTTGATAAAAGTGCAGAGGTATCTAAAACATCGATTAGTCGAATCGTTCCACGCCGCGCAGACCGCAGTAATACGTACAGGAGGCGGGATAGACTCATTTCACTATATCCGTACATCTCCAGGGGGTTGTAATTCCTCAATTTGGCGGAAAGAACGATGACGGGAAATGCAGTCGCATATTTCAAGGCGTTAGCCAGGTGCTGGAAGCCCGTACTTTCTCTCTTGGGGCCACTCCGACGGACCCGGATGTACTCGATTAAACATTGTCGAAGTCGGATAAGACTGGGAGCCGCAATGATGAGAGGGGTGAGATAGTCGTTGCCGCATTTTCGATGGGGCTTGGATGTGCTGGAGACATCAGATCCAAAGAACATGCAGAAGGTAACGACGAAGTCTCCCAAGACCTTAGCGTAGCTAGTCAGGGCGTCGGCCAAGAGAATGTCGCCAAATTTGCCATCCTGGGCCTCCGCTAGCCCACCAACACTGATTCGCCTCAAGGTGGTGAGTAGTCGGTGTCGTCCGGTTCGCGCAAGGCGATTGTACGGGAGAATGATAATGATGATGAAAATGAAGAGGTATGACTGGGGAATGTAATCCAGCGCTTCCACTCGTTCCTTAGATCCATGTGTGGCGGCCCAGAATATCAGCAGGGTTAAAACAAGGGGGACGGTCAGAAGGGTCGCTAAATGGTAGGTCGAGGAGTAATGGGGTCGTTGATGGGAAGAATGCCGGGCGGGATATCGAATAAGGGCAGGAACATCCTAGAAATGCAATCTGTCAGTTGGAATTCTCGTGGTCCAAGGTGGGGGAGGGGGACGGTTCACCCACAATATTTCTCTTCAGGAGATAATGCAGATTAACACCCCAGCCCCAGAAACCTAGTTGTAGAAATCAATATGGCGATCTGAAAGAGAGAGGCCGTTAAATTGGCAGAAGGTAGCATACCAGCAACCAGAATCACAGCCACGCGACAGGGGAATGAAAGGACAAGACTGATGTCGTCCAGTTGAGCATGCTGATCAGGACCCATATTCCATTGAAGCGGCGCCGGGAGATTCAGCACCTAAGCGGAGAGAAGGTCAAAGAAACAAGAACCAAAAAGCAAAAACCGAAATAAATGAAACGAAAAAGACAAAAAATAGAAGGGAGAAGAAGAAGGTAAGATAGGGCAAAAGAGCGACTAAAGGTGAGTCTGAAAACCGAAATACTCATTCATGACTAGCAGCCCAAAGGTGAAGAAGCTCAGGGACGATTTCAGAGTCCAGGCGGCTCCGCGCGGCATTCCTTGAGGCCACGCTTACCCGCTTGCGGCCTAGTCGCTCGGCTTCCAAAACGGGATCCATTGTGGTCACGTTAGTAATCACGTGAGTCAAGATCACGTGGATTCTGCCGAGGTCCCAATGGTCGACCCGCCGTCCGGGGTAGAGAGGAGAGACGGCGAGCGAGCGAGAAAGATAGCCGATGGCCGCCGCCGTCGCCGATGAAGCTATCCATCTCCCCATTTGCCCCGTCCCCCTTCTCGCATTGCTCCTTGCACCCCATACACCAGAATGACAGACGAAGATCTCTCTCTATCCACTCCTCCGTCGTCGTCGGTCCCCAGCCCCTCGGCCCATTTTTACCCATTTGCAACGTCCCCGGACATCATCCGTTCCCATGAGAAAGATGTCTTTCTCACGTCGAGTCTGGTGTATCAGGCTCAATCCATAGCTCGATCCCTCCGCGGAGCCCGATTTGCTCACACCTACTCCGATACCATAAAGAATCTTACCGAAATTCTATACTTTTCCTTAACAACATTGATCGGGAACCGGACCTTGGGAGAGGAATACTGTGATCTTGTTCAGCTGGAGGATGACACCCTCAGACTCCCATCTATCGCGCGACGTGCTGGATACGTCATGAGTAGTATCTTGTCTCCATGGATTCTGCAGAAAACCCTCCCCATCCTTCGTCAACGACTACGCGCCAAGTTAGAGCGCAGTATCGCTCGACAACAACTCAAGGCCCAGCAAACTCGGGAAACCCTGAATGACTCGAAGAGCAAGTCTACGAAGAAACCGGGGCTTTTTACAAAGTTGCGCATTCAGCAATATATCCTTGAGCATCTTGACTCAATCACGTCACTTTCTCCCATCTACGCTCTTAGCATCGCGACCTTCTATTTTACTGGGTCATACTACCATCTGTCGAAGCGCTTTGGGGGTCTCCGCTACGTGTTTACGAAAAAGCTCGAAGTAAATGAACAACGGGTTGGATATGAAGTGCTGGGTGTGCTACTAGTCTTGCAGATTGCTGTCCAGAGTGTTCTTCATATTAAAAAGGTCGGGGTCAGTCTGCAGCAAGAAGAAAGTGTCGAGATGGGGTCAGGCGATTCGAATCCGCAGGACAAGTCCTTGCTTCAGTCCATCGAAAATCCTTCTTCACTCCCGCATCTACCAGCTGATAACGCTCGGTATGATCTAGGGGAGGACCCTAACACCATCCCCTGGGTTCCCTCGGGTCAGCAGCGCAAATGCACGCTTTGTCTAGAATCCTTCAAGGATCCAAGCGTGACAACATGTGGCCATGTATTCTGTTGGACATGCGTCCGAGACTGGGTGCGCGAGAAGCCCGAGTGTCCCCTTTGCCGACAAGAAGTTCTCCTATCGAAAGTACTGCCCTTGAGAGGGTAGCCTGTTGAAGTATCAAGACTCAAACATTTTAACGTGCGCATCTATTTATATACGTTTATTTGTCATCGAGCGTCTTATATTTGCATATGAGTGTCATGCCTCTCTTTATTCTGCTTTCTTGTCTCTTCTTGAAACCAACGCTTAGACAAATATACCCATTGTATATGTAGTGGCCCGTTCAATCCATGGAAAGTGTGTTCAATATTTGACTCTACCCAAAAGACTTCCTCGGCGTGAGTTGAGAACTTCATTGTATACAGCAGTAAAAGTCTATAAACCTCTTGTCATATATGGTCGCTTCTAAATTGCAGACTTTGGTATCCGAAATGTCAAAAAGAGGGAATCAATAGAAATGAACGACACAGGGTATTCCATCGACTTCTGTACTTATGCGTTCATGGAAAACCATGAATGGTCGCGTACTCTTCCTCACGCTTCCAAATTGACATGCTTTGTGTCTTCCTCGGCTGGCGTGTCTGCTTTCTGGTCGACTAACTGGACGTCATCAGAATCGACATTCTCGGCGGATCCCTCTACTACTCGAATTGGTAGGTCCAACTCGGCATGTGCAGGTAGAGGGGGCATGGGATCTAAAGATTGCCTTTTGGCATTCAGAGTATCGAACAGACAGATACATGCATATGGATCAGTGGCAGCATCTGGAAAAGGAGTGTCAATATTGAGTAGGCAGATCACACCAAGACGATGGGCGTGGGCGGACTCACATTGTACCTGGGGGTAATTAAGGGCAACTGTCCAATCGCTGCAACGGACAGACTCTTCTTTCACCAACGGTAGCCCAAAATGTTCTTCCACTTGGTCGTTCAGACTAACAAGTCTCTTATTGATCAGGCGCGGGTTCGAATGACAGTGTTTGACCAGTTTGTGCAAATGACTGAGTTCAAAAATGGCGCGAGCATCGATCTTCAGGAATTTTCGCAGACGAGTGCAATCTGCTTTTATGGATACTCCAACTTTGGTGATGTCTGGAGACTCGAGTATTTTCTTCAAAGTAGGCGCAACCAGGTCTTTAACCCCTTTGGCCGGCTTAAACATTGCAACTTGGAATAACGCGATGCGACTTTTGTTCGCAAGTTGTATTAGAGAGACGTTGTTTTGGAGGCTGTCGGAGGCAGAGACCTGAGCTTTCCACTCCATATCAAATCCAAGGACTTCATCCTCTGCGAAGTACTTTGCTACCTTCTCCGTGTTTTTCAATGATTTGCAGTAATGTACAATGATGTCTTTCCCCTCAGGACTCTTCTGGGAGCTATAGCTCCAGAATTCCGGCACGGAATCCGGGGTTTCATCAGAGGTTAAGTCTTCAAGTGGCGGCATTGATTGGGGTGTCTCATCTTGAACCAGAGAGATAGTCCGACCGATACCAGCATATTCGCCGGGACCAGTAGGTTGTGCAGCTATTGGTTCAGTGCAGGCATTGGATGAATAGTATCTGTTTGCTTGCCCCATATTGTGAGGCCTGCATTTGTTGAGAACACCAATCCTTGAGTTTAACGAACAATGGGCAGACGCAAGGACCGGTATCCTAGATTGTGGTTTGCGACAATGGCTTGAGATTTCAGAAAAGCGCGTTCGTTCCTTTGAGGGAGGATGGAACTTGCGCTCAAGAATAGGGAAAGATAGTCCGAGTTTCGGTTCCCTGGTTATTCCCCGAGCAACATGGATTACTATCGCAGCATCCCTATTGAAGTTTTTGGTGTGGTATAGCATCACCGACAGTTTCTTCTGCTGAGATGCTTTTTTGGTATACGAATAAATGGGAGAAGACCGAGAGGAATAACCTAATAGTCTTCGATACACTTTAAATGCAGGCCCATTGAGACAGCTAGAGTTCAGTCAGTAAAACCCCCAAATAAGGGAGATAGAACAGCTCTGCATACCTGGCACTGACGGAAGACAGACTAACGCCTAATGTACCGACACTATAGCTTCCGGAACTCACACTAAGCCTTCCGGGACAAGTCTTAAAGGTTCCCATGTTTTGCTGCAGCATGCATAATGACTGAATCCCAGCAACAGAATCATCGAATTACTAGAAGGCGTTAAGAAGAGGTCATCATGTCAAGATTCAGGAATAAACAAACCCAGAAAGAGGCCGAAGCCGCGGCAGTTGACCTGATTGGCGCTAGACCGGCGGAACGGATAAACCCGACGTCCATGCGGTGCGCCAAGATTGTCCGACCGGCAATAATCGAAGATCTGCTCTGCCCAACCACATCAATCTCTATATCACCTGTACCTGAGGAAGGTGCCGAGCTTTATTACCCCCGGACGACTCATCATTCTTATTCCCTCTCATAGTCTCAGTCATTGTCTCTACCGCTAGACCAGAATGGCGTCGCAACTTCTTCCCCTAGGTAAGTGGCCCGAATGGCTTACATATACATGTGACCCCTCGCTAACCAACATGCTAGAACTGATTGACAAGTGTGTCGGCTCGAGGATTTGGGTCATCATGAAAAACGACAAGGGTTAGCAGTTTTGTGTCCTGAGGATGGCGATGTACTAATACCGGCACAGAATTCTCCGGCACTTTGCTCGGATTTGATGACTACGTCAGTAAGTTTTAAGCCCATTATCCAACTCAGACTTCGTTCATATGCTGATTTACTCTAGACATGGTGTTGGAAGACGTGACCGAGTTGTGAGTCTCTTCAAGCCCCTCGATTCCAGGGGTTGATGGTTCAGGTTCCTACTTCAGCCTGCCTCGCTAACACGACGACCAGCGATTATACCGGAACCCAAATTAAGCTCCCTAAGATTTTGCTCAACGGGAATAATGTTTGCATGGTAAGCGCTATAACTCCTCGAACTATCTCCATTCTTTTCTCACTGACCATCTACCCTCAGTTGATTCCGGGTGGCGAAGGGCCGGTTGGTAGCTCATAAGCCCATGATATCCATGTCTTTCTTTTTCTTGCGATGATGAGAACCACTTTGAATGACCGTCAAAATTATGTCAAATAGAATCTGCTGTAATAACAGAATTATGATCTCTGGCCAATGTTTTCCCATCGCCAACTTGGTCTCTGTCTTGATCTCGTCAGGAGAAAGGCACCAAGGTTACCTAGCGGTCTTTATCGAGTTATTCTTGATTTTGGGCTTGAAGGTTACTGTTTTGTATCTTGAGAACTTGCATCGTTGACGTGAGCAGTGACACCATAGGGAAATTCCCCAGTCCGTCTTGACATTGTTAGCTATGGGTGGACATTAGTGGGCAAAGTTCTCTAGACTTCACAGAAATGTCGAGGTGGGAATAAATAAGAGAAGAGAAAGAGTACGGTGTAATGCGAGAGAAGAAAGATATTGGAACGTTACTCTATTATTCAATACAGGGGGAATTCAGCATTTCTAAGAATGAACTTTGGCTGACAAAATGAGAGCTCGCGCCGAGAAAGTCGAACTAGACGGTCATTGGGTGATTCGAGAGACCACAAAGCCTGACATTAAGCTGATGGACAGACGATTTCTGAGAGTTGGATTTGGTAAATGCCTTAGATATGTCTTATGGGTACTAGATCTGGCAAACAGTCCCGAAAGGGAAGGACAGAGGACAAGACACAAAGCGGAAAATCAGACAGAAATGATTTTAAGAAGCAGTCAATGACAAGGCGAGCTGGAAAGGATTGAAGTCACTACTCCGTAATGCTCAAGGCCCTGAATCGGGGATAGAGAGGCAATTCTACCACGACGACTATGGCAACGCATGATTCTGATTCATGGATGATATGCAATACATTGTTGCCTTGGGTCGACCCACAATGGGGGATCTGGGGTGCTTGGGCCGGGCCGGTCAAAGTTGGGGAGTAGGGACGATCGTGAGCGAGGCAGGGGAACAATAATTACAATATCAAGAATCAAGATGGAGGTGGTTCTACCCCGGATCCCAAGTGGAATCTGTTACATAACAGGTTCCGCCAGCCCCCGCGTTTTGTAGCGACGGGCTGCGGGGAAAAGTAACTCTAACTTACTTTCCCTCTAACCTCGTAAACAAAATCGGTCATTAGAATAACGTTCGTCTTCCATACCATCTTGCTAATCTGCTGCGCGATTATGTCGTTGTTGAAGACGGTAAGGATTGACGAGAAGCCATGCATGTTGGGTGGAATCTGACCGGCTACCTCCCGGTTGATGGACCGAACTTGCATATCTCCGTCGTGGAACACGGGATATCTAGACTGTAGGTTCCGTACTCAGATACTCGGAGATCATAGCGATGCGGAGAATAATACGCATCCCGTGTGTTCCAAAAGTTGCGGAACTCCGTTAAACCTGGAGTAGCACTACATATGTCAACGCAGAGTGGTCATTGGTCAGCCGCCAGAAGCCTCGATATTCGAGTAAGGATGGTTGCACCTGGCGACTATTCGCTGGAGCCGTCTAGTCTCCCCATGGCGCTTTGGTAGCCACGAGTGGCGCGAGGCTTTTCTAGGGGAGCAATACGGCGAATGTGATGCTAGTGCTAGGTCGGTGAACGAGGAGTTCCTCACCTCCATTCCATCATCTGGCACTCGATTGGTTTTTCATGGTTTCAACAGAAATGAAATCATCTGGAAGCTACCAGTGTGGAACTTGAGTTCGTATTTCGGGAACGCCGTGGAGGGCTCACAGACTTTTTAGATCTCTCGACGACCTGGTGTCCTGTAAACCCTCCATGTTTCACTTGGTTGCGCCGAGGCAACATCAAATGTGCGGTAAGCCAAAGACATCCCGCCCTGCGTCTATTTGAAAATTGCTTGTGACCGGCAAGCCGCATGTGCCTTCAGGGATGAGGGAACTGCCCCAAGTAAGACTAGAAAAGGGATTCACTACCGGACAGCTATTCATGTAAAGCTGAATGCCTGAAGGAAATTATGACATGATTCCGCCCCCCCTCCCTTCGGAAATAAACTGATTCGGAGCTGACACCATAGACATTCTTTGCTATATTTTTTTTTTTTTTTTTTTTTTTTTAAAGAAAAAAAAAAAAAAAAGTCCGAATCAGGATGAGGGGGCCATCGAGGGTTTGCATTAGCCGGACTACGGCGACTGCCCGTGATGGATGTTTTCTCCCGTGCTTCTATGCATTTGCTGGCCGTTGGTAGATTAGTCCTTTGCGGTCTCTCGTTGGTTCAAAAAAAAAAAAAAAAAAAAAAAAAGCTTTATCCCAAACCATGACAAGATCCCAGAGAGTCACAGGGGAGCCACGAAGAAGGCCAGGATGATTGCGCGCGATATTTGGGAGTTGAAAGAAGTGAACATGGGCAAGCCGTCCTTTGGGGGACAAAGGCGCTTTGGGCCGAAACGTTATCAGCGCCAACTAGTAGTGGTAGTGAGCCACGCCAGCCGGCGTACGTCAAGAGGAAACAAAGGGACCTGCAGGAGGGACTCTCTTATCTCGATGGCTCGACAGGAACCCTGATTGGAGTTCGGGGTGGGGAAACCGACCTGGATTGGTTATCTTGAAGCACTTCAAGGGTTCATCCGCACGGGGGCCAATGCTTCGACTGTTGGATTTTTTTTCTTTTTTGTTTTTTTTTTTATCTTTGTTTTTTGGTTTCCCCCCTCCCCCCGAATCTTCCACCGCAGTGGCAACAGCCGGTCATATCCGGATGCAGCTCTACAACTCGCTCTGACATTCTAACAAGAACGCTACCTACAAGCGGCGGTATTCAAGCCACCAATAACAGGGGGTAGTACGGTGTATTTGCCCCGTATAATTCAAGAACAAAGCAGCAGGATTTGCTCGACCAGATCTAGCCCTTTTGGCCTGCGATCCGTGTAAGGCCCTGGGGATTCGGGTTGCATCCCCAAAATTAAAGGGATTGCCGCGTAGTTGTTACCAGAAGCCATTATGAATCGATTCTCCGATAACTAGATGAACTGATAGGAGGCTAATCAACTATCAGCAGAAGTGCATATCGGAGAGTGTAACGTTGGCTGTGAAATCGCATTAGATCACACGACAAGAGCTGGTCGACTCGTTCCAAGGTTGACTGGTCTTGTGTCCATTGGTCGTTCAAGGCTACTCGGTCGGCAGGACAAAATATCAGATTATAAGGCATACCTCCCCAACCCTTAGATATTCAACTAGGCAAGGTGGTCGAGTGGTTAAGACGTAAGACTTGAATCCTCTCCTGGATGTTATCTTATCCCTTCGGGGTCGCGCGTTCAAATCGCGTCCTTGTCGATTTATTTTTTCTTCTTCCATTCATTTCTTTTTTTGTGCTCTTAGGACCTGTGGGATTAAAAAATCATCCCACTTCACTTAATTTTGCTCTAGACTAGAATATCTTGCATCTCCAGGTCACAGTCTCTTGTCTCCTTTTTTATTTTCTTTTTCTGTCCTATCAGCGAACCCTGGTCGGCGACTTCTTGGGTGGCGCGGAGGTCCCGCATGTCCGGACTTATCAATAGAGCATGATGGATAATAAGTCAATTCCCGTCAAGTAATAGTAATGCGATTACACCCCCGATAGTCTAATCAGAATTAAATTAAATTAATCCGACTGGGTATTTTAGGTTTCCCCATAGTGAACCACGCCGTGGATACCTCTTCTGGATCCGTACTGGACTGCAGCACAACCTACCTACGGTGTATGCTTCTCCTCTCATGGATGACTGGATGTCCATCTGCCTCGTACTAGCTCTCTAGCACTGTCCATCGGTCAGCCCGTCGTGCGCATAATGCTAGCCCGGTCCTGGTGGTTGTTGATCCGGTTGCAATCGTGACCCTCGTGGCTTACTTGCTTGCTCGATTTAAATACTCCCTGGCTCCCTCCAATCTCCGTCGCTTTACTCGATGCGCCCAGCCATTTCCTTGCCCTCTTGCTTCGACGAAGTCAACCCTTGTGCTTGTTTTCCTGGCCACTTTCGTTTATTGGCTGAAAAGACTTGATTCACTGGCTGATACCTAACAGTCATCTCCTCTCATCTGCTTGGCTGTTTCCTCCGCCGCTTCTTCGCTCTACCCCCCTTATCTATCCTTACTTGACTATCGTTCCAGAGATCCATTTCCCTTGTAATTCTTACGACCTGCGGTGCTCACGGCTTGTCCTTGGACTGTGGTCCCTCTCCAGTTTTTGATCTTTGCACGGACCCCTGGTGAACGTATCCATGGAGAAGGACGCGATTGAGCCCAAGGCTCAGCCTTCGGTGTCCGCTGACACACCTCCGCCGCCAACTTATGGCGAGTCAGAGGTCACTCGAGGAAGCGTTGGTCGGCGGATATGGGATAGTTTCAAGAGGGATCCCAATGCTCATGTTCATACCTCGTCTGGAGCGAACGGGAAGTCCTTCGATATCGAACATGCGGCGGAACAGACCGCTGCCTCCCCGCTGCAGCGCAGTCTCAAATCCCGCCATCTGCAGATGATCGCTATCGGTGGTTCGATCGGTATGTACCCCTGTCTGTTTCGCTGTGTCCGATAGTACCGCGCTGACCCCCCTTTGTGTGATTGCAGGCACGGGTCTCTTCGTCGGTTCCGGAAAAGTGTTGGCCACGGGTGGTCCAGCATCGGTTCTTATCGCTTATGCCTTGATCGGCTGCATGCTCTATTGTACAGTTCATGCTCTGGGGGAGATGTCAGTCATCTTCCCGGTTGCCGGTTCCTTCGCCCACTTCTCGACCCGTTTCATCGATCCTGCCTGGGGTTTCGCCATGGGCTGGAACTATGCTGTGCAGTGGCTTGTGGTTCTGCCGTTGGAGATTGTTGCTGCATCAATTACAGTCGACTACTGGGAGTCTAGTGTTTCCAACGCAGCATGGGTCGCTATCTTCTGGGCAGTAATCGTTTCCATTAATATGTTCGGTGTTAAGGGTTACGGCGAAGCCGAGTTCGTCTTTTCTCTGATAAAGGTCATTGCAGTGATTGGTTTTATGTAAGTGGACCCGACCGGGGTATCGCCTCATATCGACGGGAACAGGCAAACTGACGCGAGTCCAGTATTCTCGGGATCATTCTCAACTGCGGTGGTGGTCCTGAAGGCGGATATATCGGTGGAAAGTATTGGCACAACCCCGGCGCGTTCCACAACGGCTTCAAGGGTCTTTGCAGCGTGTTCGTCAACGCCGCTTTTGCCTTTTCGGGTACCGAGCTGGTTGGCTTAGCTGCTGCCGAGACAGCGAATCCTCGGAAGTCCCTCCCGACCGCTGTGAAGCAGGTGTTCTGGCGTATCACCCTCTTCTATATCGTTTCTCTCACTCTGATCGGCCTCCTCGTGCCATATAACAACGACCAGCTGCTGAGCGGCGCTTCCAGCTCCGACGCCAAAGCATCCCCCTTCGTGATTGCCATTAAGAACGCCGGAATTTCCGTGCTTGATTCAATCATGAACGTCGTGATCATGATAGCGGTTCTGTCCGTTGGTAATTCGTCTGTCTATGGCTCCTCGCGAACTCTGGCGGCGCTCGCCGAGCAAGGACAAGCGCCCCGGTTCCTGGCTTACATTGATCGCAAGGGTCGTCCTCTCCCGGCCATTCTGATTGCCTCGGCCCTTGGCCTGCTTGGTTTCTTAGCGGCCTCGGACAAGCAAGAAATCGCATTCGAGTGGATGATGGCCATCTCGGGACTATCGTCTATCTTTACCTGGGGCTCAGTCTGCCTTTCTCACATCCGCTTCCGGCGTGCCTGGAAGGTGCAAGGCCACAGCCTGAATGAGTTGGCCTTTACCTCCCAGCCCGGCCTGGTCGGATCTTGGATCGGATTCGGGTTCAATTGTCTCGTGCTTGTGGCTCAGTTCTGGGTCGGCTTTGCTCCCATTGGATACAAAGATATGACGACGAGCGAGCTGGTCAACAACTTCTTCTCTGTGTATCTGGCCGCCCCGGTTGTGTTGGTCTGCTACATCCCATACAAGCTCTATTATAAGACGCCTTTCCTCCGCGCGAAGGACATGGACCTGCATACCGGGCGCCGGGATCTTGATATCCAGTATCTGATCGAACAAGAGCGAGCTGAACAGGCGGCGTGGCCGGCGTGGAAGAAGCTTTACAAATTTTTCTGTTAGCCATGCTTTTAAATTCTCCGAGCAATTGAGCAAGCGCGAGAGCTTGCGTTTCCTGATCTATTTTTGATTTCTTTCCTTCTTCTTCTTCTTCTTCTTCTTCTTCTTCTTCTTCTCTCCCCCCTGCTTCCTCTTCCAAATGATGTATGATAATAATGATAATGGCTATGCTTTTATGGGAGCACTCCTTGATTCCACCCCAGTGGTATGTAGATAGTCAGTGGCCCGTTATTCTCCAGCTGGAGAACGGTCCAGATGGGCGCTAACGCCGGTGGTACAGTAAAACGGGTACGAGGGCGAAAATCATACACGGTGGTTACCACGGGGCAGGGTACGTTAGCGGTACTTAAATCCAGAGTATTGCTCGGTACTTGACAGAGGTAGCGCCAGGGTAACCAGGCTGTTGCGGGCCAGGGGGTAGCAAATTTACCATGTCTCAGTCGGTAATCTTTCACGGCGCGACCAAAAATAGACCAGCCGGCGGAGAACACGTGAGTCGGAGGCAGCAACGGGCCTACCAGTCCGACTAGTTTCAGACCTTCAGCCTTTCCAGACGGTAAATTACCGATGAAGGATCCCAAAAGGACCGGCGGGAAGAGAAGCGCCCATCAAAGATCTCGCTCGGCCAACAAAAGCATCTGTTGTCATCTACCTTACCTATCTACTTCTGCTCTCACCCTTACGGACACCTCCTTCGGTTTTCTCTCCTCTCGCCTCCCCCTTCCCTGCTCTCTCGCCGCCCTTCTTGTGACCTACCTAACTCCTAGATTCCCGCTCGCAGGCGCCCTCGCATAACTACTACTCGTCGGGCCTATGCTGGTTCGCTTCGCAGCCGCTTCGTGTTACGATAGGAATCGCAAAAGCTTGATTCCTCCAGGCGCTGGGAAAGAAGCTGGTCGCTCTTTCTACCCCTCTTCTTGAGATTTCCTCGTTGCTCTTCGGGCGTCTATTTGGCTAAGTGCCCGGGCTGGCTTTTTGGGTGACTTTCTTTGGGTTTCCGTGCTCAGCTCTTACATTTTTGGGGGAAGTTTCCATGCCCCTTTACCACCCGCGCAGTGTGCCATACTAGATCAACTCTCTTTGAATTGGTTCGACTTGTCATTCAGCGGTCACAATGCCTGGCTTTTCGGATTCCTTCTGGACGCCCGACTACGCCACGGGACTCGGGGTGCTCTACGGGAAACTTCAACAAGGCGTTGTTGAAAACAAGCAGGTTTACACAATTGCCTCCATGCGTGCAGATGCCGAAGAACTATATGGTACCAAGCTTGGGGATATTGCGCCGAGCGTGGATCGCATGACGACCGGATTTGGGAAGGATGATGGGGCCAGTGTGCGAAAGGTGGGTGGATTGTCCCCATGAGTTGATGGCGGCTGCCTTCCCTCTTCGCTTCTGTCTACTAACATGGCAATATTTTCATCACAGGCATACGAGGGGGTTCGTACAGAAATGGTTGAATCGGCCAAAAATCATCAGAAGATCGCATCGAACATCCGTGAATTAGTCGTCACGCCGTTTCGGCGCTGGTGCGACCAACACGAGGCTCGGATCCAGATCTCCCACGACGACCTTCAGTCTCGCATCAAGGAACACACAAAACAAGTGGAACTGGTCAAGAAACTGCGAAGCCAATATTTTAACAAGTGTCGCGTGGTGGAGGATCTAGAGGAGGAGAACAAGCTTGCCTTCCAGGCTCCTGAAACCAGCCCGAAGGCCAACGCTCCAAAAATCGTCCTTCCTGAGGAGCAGGAGCCGGAGGAAGAGCCACTTGAGATTGGGGATCACATGTACACCCCCGAAGATCTCAAAAAGCTCCTGCTGCACATGCTGGACAACATCAAATTGGGCGACGTTAAAGTGCCCATTATCGGAACCTATCAAAACACGTCGACTGGCGCCGATATTGTGGAATACACCCAAAAGCATATGAATGCCACCAGCGTGACCTACGCTGAGAGAATCGGACAGGATCTTGTCGACGGCGGCATTCTCCGATTAGTGGGCAATATGGGCAGCACCTTTGCCAACAGCTCCAAGATGCGATACCAGTGGCGTCCTAGAGTGTTCCAAATCACCGGCATCCCCGACAAGAAAACACCGTTGATGCGTGTGACCTCAATCGCGTCGAGCGAAGACGGCAGTGAATCCCCGATCTCCTCCGTTTCGGAAATGTTGGCAGTCTGGAATCCGCTCAACAACCCCCATCCGAACGAGACGCCGGCTGAGAAGCTGCGCAGGGAGGCGCGTGAGGCTGATGAGCGATACAAGGGTGCTATTCGGAAATTGGACCAGATCCGATGCAAGCTCGAAGAAGAGATTGTGGAAAACCTCCGCTTTATGGAGCAGTGCGAACTGGACCGATTGAAAGCAATCAAGGCCGTTGTTCTGGATTTCTCCGGTGCAGTTAGCAACGTGATCCCTAACCTGCAAAGCACGGTGGATCATATGATGCTGTACCAGGAAACAATTCAACCACTTGGGGATTTGAGATATCTTCTCGAGAACTACCGCACGGGAGGTTTCGTGCCCCGAGTACAAGCCTATGAAAACTATTATGGGTCCGTGGAAGGTGAGTGTCTACGGTTTCAGTTCATGTACAGACAAGTTGGTTGCTAACATGGTCAGATCAAATTTTCGGTGTGGATCTTGAGGCCAGGGCGAGGGCCGACCGTAAACGCGTTCCTATTCTGGTGACCACCATTCTGACCTATTTGGATAACCGTAAGTCAGCGTCACTACATCGAGGAACCCGATTGATGCTAAAGGAGTTTCTATTAGGATACCCCGAACTCGAGGGCGATGAGGCGCGGCGCGCAATCTGGCTTTTCGATGTTCCTCTGTCAGCAACACACCACCTGCGGGGTGTTCTGAACAACACCAAGGTCGACTACGGAGAATTGTTGCCGAAATATGAGATGCCAATTATCGCGAGTGTATTGAAATTGTATCTCTTGGAATTGCCAGGTATGTTTGGGACTCGTTGGACAACTTGAAACATCTGCTAACTCGAACCCCAGACTCTCTTGTTTCCTCCCAAGTTTACGAAATTGTCAAGACTATCTATTCTACCACTGCTCATGAGACCACGGAAGAAGGACGCATTAAGGTCTTGCAGAGCACTCTGGGCCAACTTCGTCTTAACAACATAGCTACCCTTGACGCCATCATGACTCATTTCACGCGCCTGATAGATCTCACGACTGCTGACGACGCCTACGTTTCTTCCCTTGCTCAATCATTGGCTCCTTGCATCCTTCGTCCACGCACGGAAAGCAGCCTCACGATGAATGAACGGCACAGTTATCGCCTGATCCGGGACTTGTTCGCCCACAAGGATGCCATCTTTGGCGAGCTGAAGCGGCAATCAAGTGCACTTGGACTCGGAGGGCCGTCCAACAATCGTCCACGCGCTATTAGCACTGACGAGAGCAATCGTCGGGCAGCTATGGAGGCTCGCGCTCGCGCTATCGTTGATCGCACTCGCGCTAATAGCCCGGCGCCTCCTCAGAAACACCGTCGTGACCGATCCAGTGGCGCTTCTGAGACTAGACGCTTCCCCGTCAACGTCACCAGCCCGACCGAGAGGAGGCCCATCGTCCGAAATAGCCTTGATGTTCCCAGCAGCAACAGCTCTCCAACGGGACCTGAGCAACTGTCTACCGCCAGCATCAACACCGCCGAGCCTGTCACCAATGGTACCTCTAGTGACTCTCAGGCCTCCGCCGCCGCTAGTGGAAGCCCTTCTTCTGGCACGTCTAGCCCCCCACCACCGGCTGCGCCTGAAGATTCTCCCACGCCCACGCCCACGCCAGCCCACGATGCCGAGAAGCGCGCTTCCACTCGCTCTAGTGGCATCTACACCCGGAAACCCGGTCTCGGCAGCAGGTCCAGCTTCCCCACCGTTGCAAGCGGGGAGTCAGAGCCGGGCAGCCAGAGAAACAGCCTGGTTGAGAACGAACCCCCAAAAGGCGTGACTCTGGAAGATAAACCCATGGATGATTAAATGCGTCGACGTCGATACTCACCTTGAATTGATTTGCAGCAACCAGAAAGGGACAAGAAAAAGAACAGAATCTCCAAATCATACGTTTGCACGTGGAACAAGACTTTCATTTTTCTTTCCTTGACGGTCTCTCCCACCTTTAAATAGCGGCTCAGCATATCTGTCGTCTATCATTACTATGGAGCTTTCCCCATCTTCATCGTTGGTGGATAGATAGGTATGTGTGACCACTTGAATTCTCATACTTTCAGCAGGCCTTGTAAGTTGGGATGATTGTGGTGGCAGCTTCTACTCTTTTCTTTGTATTCAAGTATAAAGTCTATCATTATACTTCACATACCCAATTTTTTCTGTATGTTTATATTCATTTGCTTTGTATGCATAAATGCCACCCACTACTTTTCATTGACTTTCTTTCTTTTTTTGTGTTTGTTTTTGGCTTTGCTGTCTACTATGCTTCATTCTGATGTTTTCTTTCCTTCCTTTATCAATACAAGCGACTGTATGATGTTGACTTGTAGAGCATTCATTCATCTACAATAACCAAGACAAGAGGACGTAGAAGTGCATCGTGAAAGGTTCTTTATAATTTCGTCATAATACCATAGCCAATGTAGTGAGCAATGTTCGCCATCACTCGACTATGCAGTGCTGTACCCAAGTAGTGTAATGTGTGTATCTATCGCAACGCTATGCAAGGTGACAACGATCACCATGAACAAAAGAAATCAAACATGATAGAGTGGACTCAGGCAAGTGAGACTCTGGGTATCACAGACCTTGACCCCCGAGTAAGCTTCTGAGGATACCCTCACCTGGCCCTGTAATCTGACTCTCAATTTCTTTTTGAGAAACAAAGCAAACGAGGCCCTGCTCATCCAGCGTTTTACTCGGGGTCATAGGCCCATTGCCCGACTTGGAAGGAGTGCGTCTGACGTCCGAGCCACCGGCAACCGTACCCCCTCGACCTCGACCCTGATATTCGCCCACTAGCCCCAACGTCTCCAGGTTGCTGATAACATCCTTGAATTCTGTCGCAGTAAGCGGGTGGAGAAGATTGTCTCTGCGACACAAGACGCAGTAGGTGTCGAAAATTTGCTTGATGGTCGGTACGGAATGCCGAGTCTTTGACGGTGTACCCAGGTGCTCTCCTTCGCGTTTTTTCCGATCAAGAGCAATCAGAACACAAATTGCCGCCTTTTGCTGAAGATTGAGATTTCTAAGTCGCTGGACTGTTCCTTGACCGAAAGCAGAGGAGGTAATGCGGGCTACGTGAGCGATGCTAGCCCGTGGCGCTGTGAAGACTGTGTAGGTTGACGTCGGATTGTGCTTGGTCTTGGCCGGAGATGAGAGGTTATTGTTTTCGACGAGAATAGTTTTGGAGGGGGATTCTGGGCCGGTAGCCTGCTTTTCAAGCTTTCCGAGAGTTTCCTGCTCGATGAGATCGATGGCACGTTTGACCAATTCAAATGCTTTTCGTAAATCTCCGGTTTGAGATGCCACTTTCTTCGCGCACAGCATGATGGCGGCCGGCTGAGCAAATGGGACGAAGGCCGGGTCTTGATGCTGACCTTGGGGTAGCAGTGACCGAAGCCGATTCGTAATTACACCCGCAATCTGACTGGCGTTATATGGCAGGAAAGGAAGAAGTTGAGGCTTCAAGTTTTTCGCTTTCAGTTGTGGTAGGGATCGATCGGTCAGATCCAAGGCGTTAGCAATGCCAATAAGCATAAGCTTAGACTTGGTGTGCAATGCCCATTCAAACAGGGATTGGAGGACTCCAGCATCTGCTGTAAGAAGATGGTCTATCTCATCCAAAGTGACCAGGAAGAAACCATCTTGTTTCTTACTTGGAATGAACAGACTCTTCAGCCGATCGGCCTCGCTTTTTTTGAAGATCTGATCATCTTCGCACAGATCTTCAATAAGTTTGCTGTAAACATCGCGCGCAGTCCGCATGCTTGCGCAGTTGACATGTGCAACCTTCACAGATTTGAGGTCCAATCCACGACACACCTCCTGGACCAAAGCACTTTTGCCAGTGCCTGGAGGGCCACTAACGTATAAACAATCACCCTGGCGCGATTTCATACCGTCTTGAATAAACGACGTCAATTTCTCCCGCTCTGCATCTCGACCAACGATTTGAACCGAATTTGCGCCTCGTGCGAACAATTGCCTAGCATCGGTATATATTGTTTGAGTCGTCGTAGGAGTAGAAGTCTGTCGAGGAGTGCGTGGAGTGAAAGATTTCCCCCCAACTTGAACTCTATGCCTGGGTGTAATGGGCGGAGAATCTAGAGCGTCCCGGAATCTCGACTTGGACGGGGTTTTGAGTTGAACGGGCTTGGTGTTTTCATCTGTGCCGATTAATACCAATTCAACGCGGCCAAGTGTCGGTGACTTACCATTGACCGGTTTTGAAACACGGGATGATTCCTCCTCCTCCTTTTCTTTCTCCTCCTTACCCACAGATTTAGACAGCACATTCTCGTTGGCAACCTCTTTGGTATCGGCTTGATAGTCCTGTTGTGACGCGTCCGATTTTTTTGCTCTCGATCGCAGTTGGCGAGATGACGACAAAGACGCCTTGGAATCTTCCCGAAGAATCCGCGGGGGTTGTGTGCGGCGCTTGCTTGCGCTGCGCAATGGTAATGACGGAGCTAACACGAAAGGAACGATCAGTATTAGTAGTTTGATGGATCAAGAGAGCAAGTGCAATGGCGTACCTTCTGTGTCAATAGCACCGCGTTGGCGCTTGCCTAGAACCGAGGCTGCCATTCTGGGAGAGCTACCAGGCGTAGAAGAGGCAAGAGCAGCTTTGGGGAAGTGGATATGGATAGATGGCAGCTAAGAAAGGTTGAGGAAGTACGGAGTAGGAGGAAAGCGCTAAGAGCATACTTTGACCCAAAGGAGGCATAATCAGGTCGCGTCGACACCGCGTTTCGTGTCGCGCGTCTAGACCCGTCACGTGTGCCGTGTTGGCTCTCGGGCGCGGGGCAGAGACCATCGACGCAAGCAGCGGGGCGAGGCGCTGTCGGGCGCCGTAGCCTGGATACCCGAGAGTGGCATCCCGCAACAAATGCGTCACCGCCCGCCTGGCGGATGATCACATCACGCATTTCAATATTATTCCTTACGGAGTATTCCTCAGTCCTTCTTCATCCGCCTAGACTAGCTCGCTTACGGACTCTGCTCTGTTTTCTCTCCTTTCTTCGGCTCCACGTCTGTTCCTCACTTCTCGCTCTCTTTGACCTGCTGTCATTCATCGTTCTCTACAATCGTCCAATAGTTTGCAGCTGTTTGCATCACAACCTTGCCCCCCTCCCCAGTCGATAAAGCTTGCTGCAAGCGCTCTTCCATCCTAAACAGCTGACGACACCCTCCTTCCCTCGTGTTCATATTCGAACTCCGATCAGACATCATCGGAAACGCTCTTTGCCCGCCATGGACGGCGATGTGGTGGCCCAGTTTACTGAGATCACCGGCTCGAGCCCTCAGCTGGCGACTCAGTATCTGCAACTAACCGATTTCAACATTGAGCAGGCCATGCAGCTTTATTTCGAAAATGGCGGTGCGCCCTTGACTGAAGAACCGCTACCATCAACTTCTGCCCCTCATGCTGCCCCTCACGCTGCCGGGCGCGAACATGAGTCTGGGATTGTGAATGTCGATTCGGATGACGATGTTACGGTGGACGAAGCCCGGTCGGCACCTCCGAATCAACTTCCACATGCTTCTACATTTGATGATGATGCTGCTATGGCCCGTCGGCTCCAAGAGGAAATGTATGGTGGGGAAGATAATTCCGATGGGGTGCGTGCTCCAATGGCCCGAACGACGGAAACACTTGTAGGCCCGGAGGCAGAGATGGATGACGGCGACATGCACGCCAGTATATTGGGTCAACTACGTGCTAGCCAACGAGGCAGTGAGTATACGGAGTTACTCCTCTTTATTCTTCCTTATATGCTTCTATCCTTCCATGCAAGTTGCTTACTAGCTTGAACATTTAGATCGGCCCGGTATCTTCAACCAGAGAGACAGCGCGTCGATCTGGACAGGAGACGATGATGAAGACGAAAGGACCCGTCGTGAAAGACTCTCGGCGGCAACGGGCGGGGCCTCCGACTCGTCAAACAAGTCGAATATGCTCGCTGAGATGTATCGTCCGCCATTCGAGATCATGTCTAGGCTCCCATGGGATCTGGCCCGGCAAGAAGGACGCGACACCGAGAAGTGGCTCTTGGTCAATATTCAGGATTCGTCCGTCTTTGACTGTCAGGTGCTGAATAGAGATCTTTGGAAAGACGCCGGGGTCAGGGACACGGTCAAAGAACATTTCATATTCCTGCAATTCTCCAAAGACGACCCCCGGGCTTCTCCCTACTTGCAATACTATTTCCAGGGTAGCGACGTGTCCGACAACTACCCTAACATTGCCATTGTGGATCCTCGGACCGGAGAACAGATGAAGGTCTGGTCGGGGCCGCCCGTTATCAAGGCGGCGGACTTTCTGATGCAGCTTCACGAATTCCTTGACCGATACAGCCTCAAGCACAATGTTCGAAATCCCGTGGCCAGGCGCAAGCCCGAGCAAAAAGAAAAGAGCATCGACGCGATGACCGAGGAGGAGATGTTGGAGATGGCTATGAGAAACAGTCTCGGAACAGACGCAACTCAGGCCCCTAAGATGGAGGATCCAGACGATCTGACTCGCAGTACCGAGGATGTCAAGGGCAAGGGCCGAGTTGCCGATGCGGAGGATATCGATATGGACGACCAAGGTGAATCTGCCGCTGCCGCAGCTTCTCCGTTCTTATCCATCCCCGACAATCGGCCGCACACCGAACCTCCTGCAGACCCTGCCACGACAACGCGCATTCAGTTCCGCCATCCGTCTGGGAGGGTCATTCGGCGCTTTTTGTTGTCTGATCCCGTTCAGCGGATATACGAATGTCTCAAGGCTGAGCCGCCGTTGCCAGAGAAAGCAGGCGTGGAGTTCGAGCTCAACTCTTTGGGCCGCAACTTGATCGATTCCCTCGGTATGACTGTGGAAGAGGCCGGTTTGAAGAATGGAACCGTGATGATTGGATATATGGAGGAGTAATGCAAATGGTCTCGGTTGAGGATACGACATATTGATTGATGAGACATTGAAATGAAGCTTTCTGGGCCCGCTAGAGTCCTCCCTGTCTTTCCCTGATATTTCATCGATCTATCTTCCCGGGATGGTTTTAGCCAGGGCTAGCAAATACCCGGGGTGTTTAAGACTCGAGGAATACTTTATGTCAGATCAATCGATGATATGATAATAGTGAATATAGTTACTCGATGGGAGAGAGATAATCTGAACACCGCCTGCCCGACCGCCCGGCAGAATCAACCCCGCGCGGGCACCAATCAGTCGCCCATCCCTTCTTGCCCTCTTCCTCTCTTCCTCTCTCTCTTCCTCTCCCTCTCTCTTTCTGTCCCTCCTCCCCCTTCCATTCAGAATTTCTCCCTTTCTCTCTCATCCCCTGTCGACTAGACCCACTAGCCTGCTTTCTAGTCCGGTACTCTCTGACGTGGACACCCGTTTGTCTTGAAGCAAGGAAACTAGCTCTCAACCCGGCGAGACAACCGCTCGGGCGTAGTTATTGTTATTTATTTATTTATTTACTTCATCTCCCTTCATGGCCGACTGCCCCAACTCCTGTCGGGCAAGGGGTCTCTCTATCTCAAGAAAATAGTAAGTGGAATAACCAGATCACCATCACTATACCCAAGCATGATCTGCAAGTCAATTTTCAATAATACAATCCCTTCGACGACCCTACCATCAGACGTCTTATTTCCGTTTGTGGTTCAACTAGAATTCCACCCGTTCCGCTCTCCATTCTCCCTGGCCCGTTCTAGGCCGTCAATCGGTTAGTTGTTCATTTGGTCGCTGCATCCTAGATCTGCACTCGATCTTGCTGTTTTCTCTAAATGCGTCATCATAATCAGCCTTCGCATTCCAGTTTAAATATGCTTCTTGAGTCCTTTTTTTTTTTTTTTTTTTTTTTTGCACGCTGATTTGTTTGTCTCGAACCTCGATCTGTGGCGGCTGTAACCTAATGTACCATTTCCACATCCTACAGGACCAAATACTTGCCGATATCATTTGCGCATCTTCAACATGGAAGGCTTAGTGGACCCAGAGACAATCTACATGAAGCAAAACTGCATCGGTCCGTACCAGCCCGCTTGAGAGTGAAAGGCGTTTCCCTAATGTATATGCAGGAGGTGGAAGCTTCGGTCGTGTTTATAAAGGGTATCTATTTACCACATCCGGGCCTGAGTCTCTGAATCCATTCCGTGGATCATTCTAACGTACTTTCCCCACAGACTCGACAGACGCAGCGGTGATTCTGTCGCGATTAAGATCATCGACGTGGAAAATGCCGAAGACGAGGTCGAGGATATTATTCAAGAGATCGCCATCCTATCAGAACTTAACTCCCCCTACGTCACAAAATACCATGGTTCGTTTTTGAAGGGATCGAGTTTGTGGATTGTCATGGAGTTTTGCTCTGGCGGTAGCTGCTCCGACTTGATGCGTGCAGGGAAACTCACTGAAGACTATATTACGATCATTATCAGAGAGCTTCTACGAGGGTTAGACTACCTACACAGCGACAAGAAATTGCATCGTGATATCAAAGGTACAATTGATTTCTCTCCACCCTGCTAAATCAACATTACGTTGACCTCTAGCAGCTGCAAACATCCTTCTCACAGCCAACGGCCAAGTAAAATTGGCAGACTTCGGGGTGTCCAGTCAGCTTTCGGCTACAATGACCAAGAAAAATACGTTCGTGGGCACTCCTTTCTGGATGGCACCAGAGGTGATAAAACAATCAGGCTATGACTACAAGGCCGACATCTGGTCCCTAGGGATCACAGCCATTGAGTTGGCCAACGGGGAGCCTCCTTACTCGGACATCCACCCCATGAAGGTGTTGTTTCTCATTCCTAAAAATCCACCCCCTACTTTGCACGGTAATTACAGCAAAGCCTTCAAAAGCTTTGTCGAACTGTGCTTGCGCCGTGATCCTCGAGAGCGACCATCTGCAAAGGAACTGCTAGAGCATCCTTTCATAAAACGGGGACGGAGGACGACGTATCTGACAGAGCTTATTGAGACCTACGAGCGCTGGAATATGAAGAATGGCAACAAGAACGCCGATGACGATGAGGACTTTCTACCCGAGCCCTCCTCGCCTTCCCCAAGGACCGAAGAAGATGATGATCTTTGGGACTTCGGTACTGTTCGCCCCGTTGGACGACCACCGGGATTGAAGCCGATGAAGGAGACAGACGTGAATACCCGTGATCGCGAAACAGCCGAGTGGGATTTGAAAGACGAACCCCAGAAGGGACCCACTCATGGTATTCCGCAGAGGCCGATGTATATGAAAGACGCTCGAGCTCCTGCACCGCAGTCCTCACCAACCAAGGTCCCACTACCCCCATCACCAGTGAAACAATCACAGGCAGAAAGCTCACCTCAGACGCCTTCTCGCCTTCAAAGGCCAGTTCCTCAACACGCAAGGGAAAGCCCTGGCAGTGATTATGACAAAGCGCTGCAAAAGTCCCTTGCACAAGATCTCTCTTTCTTGCAACTCGAAAGTTCCCCCAAGGCCCCCGCGCCTGCGCCGAACTATCGAAATGCCGCTCCGGTCATGCATGAGTCTAAACCTCTGCCCGCAAAAGCGCCCACACAGTCCACACAACCCACCCGGAATACCCCAGACCAGCATCAAAGGTCAGTTCTGGAATCACGCTCTCACCATCAATTGCCTCCTCAGCCACAGCCGCGCCCTCTACCGACTCCACGGCATATTCCACCCCAGCCAAACCCGCAAAGGCCCCAGCAATCCCCCTTACGTGACCTGCACCCACCCGCTGCCAAGCCGAATTTCCATCAGCTGCATCAAACAATCGACGCCAGTTTACAAAACCAGGGAGGCACAGCGCTGTCGGGCGAGGTGACGGCACTGAACAGTGTCATCCTGCCTGCTCTCAAAGCGGCCACCCGCCGTCGTGCCCGTCGCCTGGAACTTCTCTCGCGCAACATGCCCCTGGAGGGCAGTGAGAACCGAATGGATTCCTTTGAGCTTCAGTCCCGCCGAGAGTATGTCCATGGAATGATAGAATCTATGGTGAGTGATTTGAGCGGTATGTTTGCCCGAATTGAGCGCTGGGATAGCGAAGCTCCCATCGGAATGGGAGCACATGTCAACTCGTTCCTGGAAGGGTTCCTCGAAGAAGTTCTCGTTCGGATCGAGCCTGACGAAGAGTCAGCTTCGACGAAACAATGATGACGCTGGAAACCGGCACTTCATTCCTCTTTTCACGACATTTCTACCAACGGCATTTTACCCTCAGGCGTTGTTTGATCTCTTTTCATCATACTTTTAATGTGCAAACTTTCCATAACTGAAGCGTCCGCGTTTGACTGCTGTCGACATGAGTTTATCAGATGAACGACATGTTTTGAATTGAAGAACAGATAGCTACTGCCTACGGTGATTTGAATATGCGTGTCATGATATGTGAACTTCACGCCCTTGTTTAGTGTCTTCACTTCCTTTCTTTTGTATTTGTTGTGCTTTTCGAGCTGGATCCTCCTCCATGTTCAATAATCGATCCCTTCGGCCTTTTTTCTTTTCTGTCTTAAATCTTTCTTTCCTTTTCCTTTCTTTGTGTGTGTTTGGGGAGGGGGGTCGGTAAAATACAATGATTAGAAGCGAAAGCGGGAAAACACTTGAGGTTCTTTTTTAAAAAAATTGTATTTACATGGGTGTTTCCGATTATACCGGCATTTCAAAATATACAAAAAGTGGAGTTGAAGAATAGGTCATTCCTGATCGAAGCGATAAGAGAATGGCTTCATGAAGTAACAAGACAGGGATATCAATCATGTGGCATATTTCCACGATAAGATTACATTATGCGAGTACACATTAAGTCAAAGAGAAGTTGCTCTTGGAAAAGAAAAGGGGGGTATATGCTTTTTTTTGTTTCGGCAGGGCGTTCCAATCGTTTAGGTTTGTTTTGAATATTGGAGTTCAGGATACTGCATTTGAGGGGTTTTGTAAGGGCGCAATTAATGGATGGATACTGTGCTCCTTGATGCGGACTCTTGTTAAGAAAGAGGTCTTGCGTTCCATTTTTGGATCTGAAGAGGCCTCATTGGAGCTGTAGGAACAGCCCACCGATTAAGCTATCTGGGAAAAGAGTTGGGATCGGTCATAAACGTAGGGATCAAGAAATATACAGTCCAGATCATGAATGTCCCTTCTAAATCCACGATGATGGAATAGGTAAGGCGATATGTACCAGTCAGATACCCTTGAAATTCCAAGAATTTGTTTCTTAGCCTTCAAGGGGTAAAAGTAAAAAGCCTACTATCCTGTAGGGCGGAACAGCCAGTCCGTCTCGGGGGTGGGAATCAAATAGTTCGTAATATTGAATTCGTTCGCATTCGGAGGCGCCCCCTCCACGACAGTGTTGTTGTTGGTGCTGGCTCCTGTCAAACCATGAATTGACATTGGGTTTTCAACCGCCTCGTTGATGTCGATACTGCTGATATCAGGGGCCCGCGCTGGCGGCACGCGCGGGACGTTGAAGAAGCCAAAGACGTCGAGATACTCCAGTTCGTTGGGCGCGAGGTTGCGCGACTGCGTCACTGAGGTTTGCGGTGCTGGCTGGCTGCCCACGGGAGACGAGCGCGGCTGGCGGGAAATCAAGAAGTCCAGATCAAAGGCGCAGCGGCGCATGTCTGCTAGAATTTTGACGGTGGACGGAGTGACGCGCTCGCTGTCGTCAGCGCCAGATTGTTGATATTCGCCGTACTCGTCGAGCACTCGTTGGAGGATACAGCTGTAGCGTTCCGCGACCTTCCAGTACTTCCCCATGCGAGCCAACGTGTCCACGAAGAAGATTATATCCGGACTCACGGTATGAGCGATGGTGGAGCCATGGACAAGTAGTAGCCGAGCAGACACCCAGAGGGTGAAGGCAAACGGGGGCCCTAGCTTGTCGAGCATGTTATTTTCGACTACAAATCGAGTCACGGAGAGAATGTTATCGACTGCCAACAGACAGCGTTGACTGGCACTGTAGGACGGCGTGAAAATCGGAGAGCGCGTGGTTGGGTAAGCAGCGGACGAATGAAGCCTAATGACAGCACTGTGACAACGTTGGAAATTAGTATGTGACATCAAATCAATGAGGAGAGGGACAGGAAATGCCATGGACCGTTGGGGCTTACGTTTGATATGTGGTATGAAGCTGGACCCAGTCACAGGGAACACTCTTGCTGTGCTTCGGTCCGTTGAATAGCCGTGAGGCGTTTTCGTAGGCGTACTCGGCAGGAAGACCGAACTCCCAGGATGTTAACTCGCTATCCAAATTGCGATACATCGTTTGCCATTCCTCAACGTCAGATAGCGCCCCGATATCCACGGGCCGTTTCAGAAAGAGATGTATCCGAGATAGAATGCCGAGTATTTCCACATAGAGGCCAAAGGATCCAACGTTCTCGGCATGACTCAGGTAGTCAGTTCGTTCACTTGAGCGGTGAAACCACCTGGTTTCCACGGGCTGGTTTTTGACAAAGTATTCATCCTTGCAAGGAAGCTTGCGGTCAATATCCTTGTCATTCAATGCAAAGTCAAAGGCCGTAGCGATCGTGGAATATCGGTCCAGTAGGTATACCATCCAGAAGAGTCTGCGTCTACCCTCATCCTCGACCCAGGAATCCGATTCTGGAAGGGTGACTGCTCTCAGAGTATAGATGGAAGGATATATCGGCGCAATGAGCGATGATTTGGACTCGGCGGCTAATCCTAACTGGACCACTGATCGCGTAATCAGAGCCAGCAATTTCCACCCCGGAGGCCCGTTGGAAGAGCCCACTAAGTCCAAAGCTAAAATCACGAGTGCCTGAAGAGCCTTGACTGATGAATTCTCGAGACCGTAAAGAAGGACTTTCTGCTTCGACGAGTCGTGGTATCTCTTGCGATTCTGCTCGTTGAGTCGGCTATCGCTTGAGAACCGGAGCGTAGTCGCAACAATAGCATAAAGAACGATTCGGTCAGCTTCATCCAGCGGCGACGGACCAAAAAATATATCCAAGGTGGTGCGACGGTGTAGTATGGGACACCAAGTATTAATATGCTCAAAGTACAGGTCCACCAGCGCGTAGAGCAGATCGTATGGAGGTAGATCAAGTTCTGGGTCGGCAAGTGATTGCTCCTGATTTGCAAAGAGATTGACCGGAACCGTCAATGATGATTCATTCCCCGTATAGTCATTTTGAGAGGTGGTGTTAGGAATCGGGGGCAAAGGGGCCGCAGGGTGAATAGCGATAGGCAGATGAGCCTGCATGGTGTTCTTGACTGACATGTCGGACGGGCTAGTGATAGATGCCTCATGTTGATGGGGAGGGACTGGCACCGACGACGTGTCTTGAAAATAGAATGCATTCCGAGGACTAGGTCCTTGGCCAGCAGATGGCTCCGACGGAGAGCTATATGAAAGAGGCGCCGCATGCGCGAGCTCGGGGTTAAATTGAGGTTGGCCATGAATGATATGCGTTTCAATAAGACGAGCTTGCGTCTGAATGACCTCCTCAAGTCTGTCTGTGCACCACATAAGCAACGGTTCCCGCAAGAATAAAACTCCGAGGCGAAGAGGGAGGGCATACCGAGGCGCTGTTCCAGCTCCTTCCCGTAGCCTGCGCGAAGGCCAGGTTTCTTTCGCTCCTTATACTCACAGATCTGACCGTTGCGGGTGCACCATCCGCAGCTAGGCTGGGCTCGGTCTAATATTGTCAGATGGGTGGAGACAGAGGTTGATGCACGCGCGGCAGAGCTACATACCGCATTTAACTTTCCTCTGCTTACATAGCTCGCATCTTCAGTTGGTCAGTTGAGCGACTTGCACGAAAGACTGGCGTTCAGAGGCGGGTCCCCGGGCGAGATGCGCGCGCGAGAGAAATGTCAAGGGGATGGGGGTGGTGGCAAGGAGGAGAGCGACTTCATTTTCCGAGAACAGGGGCGGAAAAGAGTACATACGACACAGTGAGGGGGCGTTTCCGCTTCAGCGCATTAGAGGCCGTTGAGCCATTTGGAGCGAACCGATCGAGATCGCTATCAGCTGCAGACCAGGATTCGTCGGCGCTGTGGTCTCTATCTTGGTTCCCGACGAGTCGGGAAGACGGTGGAGTCTGCTGAGCAGAGACAGTTGCAGCAGCGTTCGGCATCGTACTCTAGCGAGATCCGGGGTTATAACAACTCCATCAACAATGACGTGCAAACCAACATCCTAGTAGCTCGATGGGGCTCGGGCGATCCGGTCTCAAAGAAGGGGTTGAAAAATGAGAGCCGTATTCCTTTCCCGAGATGGACCTTAGGCCGAGAATTGAGACCGAGATGGGGAGAGGAGGGGGGGGGGGTAGGAAAGTCGAAGGCGAGGGAGGAAGGAAAAGATGGCCGACGGAGAAAAAGCGACGGTGCAATGGGATTGCATGCCTGAGGCAACTAACGGGCGTTCAACCCCGCAAAACGGGAGTGCTGACTAAGACTGCGGAGACGCGGAGGCGCTAATTCGCTTTGGGCCGCGGGCTCTCGGTGTAGTTCTACCCCGAGGCAGCACGGGCTGCTGCGGCCTTTCAAATATCCCGGACGCCCTCCTTTCTCCTTTCCTTTCTTTTTCTATTTTTCCATTCCTATCTTCTCTTCCTCTTCTCGTCGGTGCCGAGTTGTTGTCCTTACGATCTGTATATCCGATATCATTGACCTCCGCACATCATGGGCTCTACAGCAACCTTTCCCCGCATCAAAGAGGTGCGCACTTTCCTCATTGATGGAGTGGGATCCGGCGGTGATTACCACAATGTAAGTCCCCTGTAGAACTATTCATGGATATTGCCTGTGTATGTAGTTAATGTCCGACGACATACTGAACATATATCCAGGTCAAAGGAGGTCATTGGCTGGTAGACAGCGACATCTCGACTCCCATGACCCGATGGGCTCAATACCGTGGCTCCCGCACTTCGTGGGGAATCAACGTTCTGGGGTCATTCTGCGTCGAAGTCGAGGCTACGGATGGCACCAAGGGCTTTGCGACGGGATTCGGTGGTCCCCCGGCCTGTTGGTTGGTGCAGCAGCACTTTGAGCGATTCTTGATCGGCGCAGGTAACGAATAACCGAGGGACTTCCCCACCGCCGAGACAAGATCAGGTCAGGCTAACCCAAGACACGATACCATAGACCCTCGAGATGTGAACGAACTCTTTGAAAAGATGTACCGGGCCTCTATGTTCTACGGGCGCAAGGGTCTCCCCGTTGCGGTCATCTCGGTGATCGACCTGGCCCTCTGGGATCTTGTGGGCAAGATCCGCAACGAACCCGTATACAAGATGATCGGCGGTGCGACTCGGTCGCGGCTCAACTTCTACTGCACCGGACCCCAGCCGGCCTCCGCCAAGGCCATGGGCTTCTCCGGCGCCAAGGTCGCCCTCCCCCACGGCCCTGACGAGGGGACGGAGGGACTCCTGAAGAACCTGGCGTACTTGCGCAAGCAGCGTGAGAGTGTTGGAGCCGACTTTCCCCTGCGTGTGGACTGCTACATGTCCTTGAACGTGCCCTACACGATCGAGCTGGTCAAGCGGGCCGAGGCGGAAGGAATCAACATCGACTGGTGGGAGGAGTGCCTTACCCCCGATGACTTCGACGGCCAGGCCCTGCTGAAGAGAGCGCACCCCACCGTGAAGTTCACCACCGGCGAGCACGAGTACTCCCGGTTCGGCTTCCGCAAGCTGGTCGAGGGCCGGAACCTCGACATCCTACAGCCGGACGTGATGTGGGTTGGAGGTCTGACCGAACTGCTCAAGGTCTCTGCGCTGGCCGCGTCCTACGACCTCCCCGTCGTGCCCCATGCCTCGGGCCCTTACTCCTACCACTACGTGGTCTCGCAGCCCAACACCCCCTTCCAAGAGTATCTGGCCAACTCGCCCGACGGTCATACCGTGGAGCCCGTATTTGGCAACCTTTTCTTGAACGAGCCCATTCCCACCCAGGGATATCTGGACGTTTCTGTCTTGGACAAGCCTGGATTTGGTCTGGAGCTGAACCCGGCCGCTCCCTTGATTCCGGCCGCCAACATTCTGACTCCTGCACCTCAGAGAAGCTTGCCTGCACCGACTGACCATGAGCAGGGAGCTAATGGAAACCATTGAGAGGGGTGAAATGGGATTGAAACAGCGGGGAATTTAGATCTATAAATATACATACGTACAATTGGCTGGTCTTTATTTATTTATTTTATTTTTTTTTTTCTTTCATGAACATGTTTTACCAAAGATTGGCATATGCGCGTGTATTTAGACATGAATACAATATGAACATTATCCTTGGGCAGCGGAATTATCTCTGGACTTCATGCTTCTACTCGAAACAACGTACAAAGCACAAACCCCGCGGGACTTCCGATTTCCAGGCGACGTGGGGGAAAGCGGGGGGTCCTCGGAGGATCATTGCCACGAGAACCCCGAGAGGAAACTCCACCAATAAATCATTGCCTTCGCCTCGTCTCCCGGCGGGGTCCAAGAGGTCAGGAAAGAAAATAATAATAATAATTTCACAAAGACCGAAGTATTATCCTGATCATCTCTCATCGGCATCTTATCGGCAATTGAAACCCATTGAGTATTCTCTTGGTGCCTCTCTCTGACTTCCTCTTACTCGGATTAACCGACAACATCAGGAACCACATCATGCCTCTCCCCCAGATTCTCGTCGGTAAGGTCGCCGCCATCACGGGTGGTCTTACTGGTATTGGTCGGGTCTGTTTGATATTTCTCCTATTTCTCTTCCAGTCCTCTCCAAAAGGGCAATAGAATTCTCACTAACATGGAACTCTTTCTCCCGCTAGGCAATCGCCCTAGAATATCTCCGCCACGGCGCAAAAGTAGCCATTAACCACCTGGGCGGCCCCAAGGAGGACTCACTCCTGGAGGCCCTGCAGAAAGACGCGTCCGATGTTGTTGGGGGCGAAGGGAACAGGTTCATCGCAGTGGCCGGCGACGTGACGCAGCCCGAGACCGGACGGGAGTTTATCGCCAAGACAGTCGAGGCCTTTGGAAGACTGGATGTATTCGTGAGCAATGCGGGAGTGTGCAAGTTTGAAGAGTTCCTAGAGTGAGTTGGGTCTGGACACTACAAGTGTCATTTGTCAGATTTCAAAACTAATCGTTGTGCAGGGTTGACCCGCCCCTTCTCGGCCACACCATCTCGACTAACCTCTCGGGCGCCTTCTACGCGACGCAAGCGGCCGCCCGACAGATGGCGTTGGCGCAGTCGCCTCCGGGTGGTTCGATCATCGGTATCAGTTCGATCTCGGCGCTAGTGGGCGGTGGGCAGCAGACGCACTACACACCGACGAAGGCCGGCATTCTCAGTCTGATGCAGTCGTGCGCCGTGGCTCTGGGCAAGCATGGGATCCGTTGCAACGCGCTGCTGCCGGGTACGATCCGCACTCAGCTGAACGACGAGGATATGAGCGACCCCGAGAAGCGGACGTATATGGAGGGACGAATCCCGTTGGGCCGGTTGGGCCAGCCTCCCGATCTGGCGGGTCCAGCGGTGTTTTTGGCATGCGAGAAATTGAGTGGATATGTGGTGAGTTTCTTTGTGACCCGATTCCTCTTAACGCAGATACGGTTGTGGGACTGGTACTAACAATCAATCCTTTTCATAGACGGGCGCGCAGATACTGGTGGATGGAGGACTGTTTGTGAATCTCCAGTGATTTTGGAGTGTGATGCAAAAGATGAAAAGTAGATGATCATGTAGATAAATTGCACGCTTTCAGATGTCAATTCCATATGCTCGCACCGCAACTTGGCCCCAGACACCTCTTTTCTCCTCCTCCCTCAGCCCCCGTCTGTCCAGGATGCCCTCCACCACCCTCCTCCAGCGCTGCCAGGCCACCGGGTTGCCACCGCCTCCCACGTTGCAGACGGGCCAGTCAGACCCGAACAACACGCGCTGTGGACCAAAGGTATCGAATATTATGTCGGTCCACGGGCGAAGTCGCTCAACGAGCTCTCGAGCGTCTGGTTCCGCATCGGTGGAGAGCGGGGGCAGCTCCGAAAAGACCCCTGAGAGCTTCATGTAGGTGTTGGGATACTGCGCCATAGCCGTAATGAGGGAGGACCACTCCAGGAAGTCGGGATGCGTAGTAATAGACACCTGGGAAGTGTACGGTAGACGGAGATTGGGTTTACACAGATGATCTATGGAAGTCGGTGTATTAGCACGAGGAATAACCATGGTAGTAGCTAGGGGAGGGCGTGAGTGACTTACTGATAATCACGACGGGTTTGGATTTCTCATTCGTAACCCCACCGTGGGCCTTGCGTATCATCTCGACGGCCTCGCGCAACTGCCCAAGCCCACCTTGTCGGGCGTCCACACCGAGATCAAATGTCAAGCCTTGCTCTCCCAACCATTTCAGTCCCGCGATAAAGTCTGGCTGAACCATGACTCCGGCCGGCTTATCCTGGACCAAGTAACGCACCCCTCGAAGCTTCTTCCATACCTCCTCCGTCTGCGTCCTTTCCTTGGCTAGTTCGATATATTTCTCGAGCGCTGCTGGTCCTCCTGGTACAGGCGCCCAAGGAACGAAGGCTAGACAGAGGTGGTGGTCCTCCTTCTGATGCCCTTCTCCGGGGACCGCCTCTCCCGTGATGACTCGAGTCAGCAGGGAGACTTCATCGAGAGCGTGCAACCAGCCCTTGCCGGACTCTTCAACAGAAGAGATGCGGTCCGTTTCAACAAAAATAAAGCCCCGTAGATACGTGGGTTGCGTGGTTTCCGGAGAAGTAGATGCCGAGCTTGTCGCATCGCGGTACTCGGCGACGGAATGCTGGGAGGAGAGAGGGCCACCCGGTCCATACCAGGCCAGAGTTGGCAGATGGGAGTCAGGGAAGAGATGGATGTGTGAGTCGACAATGGGGATGGCCATGGCAAATGCGAATGCGAGTAGTCGAGGAGGTGGAGGTGCCGATCAAAGGTTGAAATGACGGAGAGAAGCCAACTTTCTTGCTGCGGGGTAAATCCGGTCGATCTTCCACGCGCTCTTCACGAGGCAAACAAGCACAAGAAAGGGACGAAGAAAACAGAATGATCATACCACAGAACAGGAAGAAATAGAAGGAGGAGGAGAAGGAGAAGGAGGGCAGAGGATGACGGTGGATTCGATTCGGGCAGCTTTAGACCGAGCTCTCCTTGCCCACGCCCTCGACGATTCCGCAAAGGTACTCAAGGACACCGACAGACGACTGGTATAAAGTCATCGTGGATCCCCCCTGCAGATCTCGTCAACACCTGTCCAGGATTTTGGTGTGAATTCCTCCCCGACCACCAAACCCCAGACTGCCCGACACGAGCGGCGGTTGATCCATGGTCAAACCGAGGTTCATCTCCACCGACTGGATCCTCTCCACTATTTGCCCCTGCGAGAAATGATGGCATCCTCGGATGTTGGACAATAGGAAATGAACCGTAGACGCCAGCCTGTCGTCCTTCCCCGCGATTTCTCTCCACTTTCTTCTTCTCCTCTTTTTTGCCTTTTGGACGTGGACTTGGCGTCGCAATTTTCCGACCGACCTTGGGAATGTCGCGACACATAAAGAGGGCTCTATCCCCTCTTTCTCGTCACTCGGTCCCTTTCTGTTCCATTAATTCCTCTACCCAGAATTCTAGATCGATTTGTCTGTCAATATGACCACCCCGGAGATTCCCCTAAAACAGAAAGCCGTCATCTATGACCAACCCGGCACCGTCTCGACCAAAGTGGTGGAGATCGACGTCCCCGAGCCCGGTGCGGGCGAGGTGCTGATCAACCTGTATGTGCATTTCCTTTGTTGGCGAGGCTTGAATCTGTAGCGTTCGACTGCGAGATAGAATCTAACGTACGGAACAGCACTCATTCCGGGGTTTGCCACTCCGACTATGGAGTGATGACCAATACTGTACGCATGGCCGACTCTCTCTCTCTCTCTCTCTCTCTCTCTGAACACCTGAGCCTTCTGTACTAACATTGTTTTCAGTGGAAAGTACTCCCTTACCCCACACAGCCTGGACAGGTTGGAGGGCATGAGGGCGTTGGGAAGATCGTGAAGCTCGGTCCAGGCGCCGAATCCTCAAACCTAAAGATCGGCGACCGAGTCGGTGTGAAGTGGATCTCGAGCGCTTGTGGAAACTGCCGTACGTAACAATTAACAGACATTCAATCCTCAAGCCGGGTGGACAATGCCTTTCTGACGGGAAAATTGTATAGTTCCCTGTCAAGCGGGATCCGACGGACTCTGCTTCGCCCAGAAAGTGTCCGGCTACTATACCCCGGGCACCTTCCAACAGTACACTCTGGGACCAGCCAACTACGTGACTCCGATCCCTGATGGACTGGGCTCAGACGAAGCGGCACCCATGCTTTGCGCGGGGACCACCGTGTACGCCGCTTTGAAGCGCAGCAACGTGCGACCGGGCGAGTGGATTGTGATCTCCGGCGCCGGCGGCGGACTGGGCCACATCGCAGTGCAGCTGGCCAGTCGAGGGATGGGGCTGCGCGTGATCGGTGTCGACCACGGCAGCAAGGCCGAGCTGGTCAAGGAGTCCGGGGCGGAGCATTTCGTGGACATCACGAAATTCCCTGCGGACGATCAGTGCCAAGCCATCACCGAGCACGTCATGTCCCTTGCCGACGGGCTAGGTGCCCACGGAGTCATCGTGTGCACTGCTTCCAACGCGGCGTATGCCCAGTCGCTCGGGTTCCTGCGCTTTAACGGCACCCTGGTGTGCGTGGGCGTGCCGGAGAACGATCTGCTGCCCATCGCGACGGCGTACCCGGGTTCCATTATCCTCAAGCATGCAACGATCACCGGGTCGGTTGTCGGCACGCGAGCGGACGCCGTCGAGACGTTGAACTTCGCGGCGCGCGGCGTCATCAATGCTCATTTCCGCACGGAGAAAATGGAGGCACTGACTGGCGTCTTCGAGGAGATGCATCATGGGAAGGTGCAGGGACGAGTGGTCCTTGACTTGTCCTAGACAAGTTGTTCAAGCATGCATTAGCGATGATTTGCTCTGGTTTTGAGAGTGATGCAGTTAGTCCTGCTTGATGCGGCGACTGCAGTTATGAGTACGACCTTATGTCCGCGTATTTTCCATAGTTGCTGTAGTGTGTTCTTCATATGTGCAATCGATTCGTATTATGATCTGAGAACAAGACGTAGTAGTAGTTTATCTGCTAAGTGCATCTCTGTATGCCCTGTTTTAGATTGAACATGAAATGGATGCGTCATCACAACAACAACAACCTGTCAGTTAAGGTTGCCTTTAAGTTTGCCTGGGACCGTGCGGGTTATCGTGCCCTACTTGAGAAGATCACCGGAATTTATTTTGACTATCAGATATTCTTTAGATTAGTGCATCCACACTTGGAGGGAGGAGAAGACAGAGCATAAGACCAGCCCCGCTGGTAATCAATTGCCTATATAAAAGTACTTGAATCCACAATAACAATAACAATAACAACACAACACAACACAACAAAATATCGGGCTGAAAACATAGAAGAGCCTGTAATGTAGATATGAAAAGAAGCACAAAGTAACAGCCAATCCAAAAGGGGTTATATCTCATCAAAAGCGCATGTATATCAACGACTTCGCTTGCTGTTCCCTCCCGACACTCCCGTAGCCTGACGCTTCTGTCCAGAGGCAGTCGAACCCGACTCGGCTCGACGCACCAGCGTGCTCAATTTGAGAAGAAATGCTCTCGGCGCTCGGTTCACTTCGTTCTTGTGTAGGATCGCATGCAGCTTGGCTCCGAACTGGTGGAGATCAGACCCCTGCAAATGCTCAAGGGTATCGAGGATAAAGCACTGGCCAGTCTCGTCGGTCGTGCCGATGAGCTGATGATACACGTTGCGCTCATCCTCGTCCTCTCCGTGGAACGATTTCCGGCCCCATCGGTTGCCATCCAAGGCGTCCTTGTTGCGGTTGCAAATGTCTTCCAGCAGTGTGACCAAGGCCTTTGCGGCGCCTTCCATGCCGTGCGGCGCGCGCGCGGTAATATTCCACTGAATCTGACCCACGTTGTACTGTAATTCCCGGATAACATTGGCGACATCCACGTCCGTTCCGCTCTCGGGCTTCTTCCCTGTCTGGCAGAAGAGGTCGAAGTCGGCCAACAGCTTGCGGGAGCGTCCCTGAATTTTGTCGAAGTAAATTGCCGCACAGGCTCCCGGGGGCATCGCTTTGCACAAGCTGGAGTAGACGGTGTCGTCGTGCACGGTGAGTCGAAACAAAGTAGCTTCGAAGTCACCCTGCACTACGCACTGCTCGGGCGTGCGTGACAGCCCCGTGTCGTCCACCAGGTCGAGGCGGAAATCTTCCGGCAGGACGCCCATGCTGAAGGCAGACAGGAGGTCTCGAGCTTTCTGAGAACGACTCATCCCACCAACTGCTTCAGAACGAACATACTGCCAGCCCAGTTGATCCGCAACGGCTTCGAGTTTACCATCGAGAAGCTGCTCGGCGCGCGAAAAATTCGGAAGACGACCATCGCTAGCGAGAGGGGCCACAGAGGATACGAGTTGGGGGAGGAGGCAGGCATAAACCCGATCGAGAAGCCACTTTTTGCTAAAGTATTAGCACAGACTCTTCATAATGAGTAGAAGAAAAAGTTTTCCTTTTTCCACTAGGTGCCCCCCTTTTCTTGACTTACAAAAATGTGTTGACAAGCCACGTTAGACCGACAAGAGAATGCCGAACAGGTGCACGTATAAGCATCCGAACCCAGGTGCACCCGAGCCTTCTCGTCCAGCTGAAAGTCGTAACCTGTCTGCATGGAGCAGCAGCTAATGACCTCGAACTGGCTCGAGAATCCAACCAGCGCCCTGGCCTCTGACGCGGAATCCAGCTTGGCCAGATCATATGTGATCCCCGATTTCCCTTGTACAGTCAATGATTCACCCGAGTCTTCTGCATCCATCTCGCTCTCTTCGCTGTCACTTCCAATGTTCTCACTATCTTCGTTGTTATCGTCCTCCGTAGGTCGTGCTCTCTGGTTTTGGGACCGCGGTCGTGACATGGGGTTAGCGATGGACAGCTTACAAAACTGTCTCGTAGGGGCGGACATGGAGAAAAACTGAAATAAGAACAATGAAACGATCAATCTTGATGAGAAGTAAGTGACTTGAGGGCAAACGAAGACTTGCTGATGTTGGACTGACCCGAGTTATATAGAATTTGTCGAGAGCCACAGGTGGGAGCGTGTATTCTGAACCAAGACAGTGCCGCAACACACTTGTTCGACTCGCTTCCACAGCAAGAACAGTGCCATACAGACGCAAAATGATCAACTTGCTATCTGAGAGGCTGGTTCAGGCATGAGCCACACCGTTAGTGCCCTTTTTCTCTTTGCCGCATGACGAAACCTCAACCGTCATCAGCTGAGGAACTCCCCAGATCGTGTCATTGCGCCAGTAGCATAGAAAGGACCCAGCTAGGAGGACAGAATCCGTTGAGGGAAGGACAGCGAATGGCTACATGCGACGTAGAGGCGGCGCAGATACTGTCCAGAGTGGGGAGGGTCATAGAGGACAACAAGATGGAGGCTTGTGAGCTATCAAGCTTAGGGTTTCATTTGATTTTGAGCCTCTGTGCTTCCAATGACATATACTGACAACGTCCACTGCGGCTACACTGATCTCGAGCCTCCTGTCATGATGGATCCAAAGCCTAATTGGCTTGAAGCACGAATCCCTGCAATGGAACCATGCTGGATGCTTAGTCTGTGGCGCATATACCAGGGAGATGATAATCTTTGGGCGAGAGCTGGTGATTCATGTTTTGATTAATTGCGCAGGAGCTGAAAAGGCTGACTATGGGCTGCCGAGACTGCCTTATGAAATTGTATGGTATTGGTGCGAATTTTGCGGGCGTCTAACAGCCATCCAACGAGGCTTATTAACCCCTTCCAGGCTTTGTCGGCGCACCTAGGAAATCATTAAGTCCAATACCCGACAATGAAATGTCACGGATCATTTCATCGAGTTGTCCTGAAGGAAGTCATGTCGGGTGGTTATGCGGCGCAGGTTCTGCGCCACTTCCTGGGCGCTTATTATTCTCGTCACGATCGACGATACACAGGTTCGCTCGCATCGGCCGCAGTTATCTGGAAATCAATTCCATTCCTCGGCCCTATATTCCATTGCCTCACTTGTTTGATTGCGGTGCTCCGTATTTCAGTCTTCATGCATGCGCCATCTCCGTATTCATTCGGATTTTCATCTTGTTTGATGCCATTCGGCTCTTATGGCAACCATTGACACTATTCGGTTCCTGCCACAGCAAGACGATTTTTTCCCTGGCCATTATGGGAACTGCAGCCTTTGCTCATGATACCGAAGGCAGAAAATGGAAAACATTTGCGTAGGAATAAGATGCACTGCTACAGGAATACATGAAAGGTGGCAGGACATGGGTATGAGTTGGCTTGTCAGGATTTAATCTCCAGGTCTTGAAAAAAAACATTCCTACATTAGAGCCCAATAGAATGAGATAAATAATTAAAAGCAGGGGGGAGGGCAGAACATGGGGGTATTGTTAAGGGAGATCGTCAAGTCGTGAATATAGCCACTGGAAGTCGATAGCTAAGAAACAGTAATATAAAGTACAAACTAAAAGCAGAAAAGGGAAATGTGCAATAACAAAGGTGATTATTTAATTAAGGAGTAGCATTAATGATTGAAACCGAGAAAGAAGAAAAGGAATGTCTTCTCTTGGGAAGTTTAGGATCAAGGGTTACGTCGGGCGGTGTTTCTCATCTTCGCATCTTCTAATGCTTTTCGGAGCCGTTCTTGATGCGCCGTATCTTCGCCCGATTTCCGAGGACCAACTGCAGAGGGTGGGGGGCCAGGCATGAGCGACTCAGCAGGATAACTAGGGGTGGCAGTCCCTGACGAGCTGGATTGCTCTGCAATAGGGTCTTTGTCGATGACTTTCAAGAGATCGTTGATGGTAGTGGTGATCTTAGCCGGACCAGCACGAACACTCTCCAATTTGGTTTGAAGGTCGCTCTGAATTTTGGCGTCTTCTTTCTTCTTCTCGTTTTCTAACTGACGCAGAATTTCAACGTCGGCATTGGAGTAGCGGGCCTCTGCGACCGAAACTTGATAATCTGCGTTGTTGAGCGCCGAGTCTGCTATGCCAAAGCTGTGGAGAATCGACTCGGAATCTGCTCGGAGTGATTCCACCATATTGTAGAGCGAGTGTAGCACCTGCTCGATCTCAGAATCTGCCAATCCAGAAGCGCGAATGACTGTGGCATCGACTTTCGACAACTTGGTAGATAGCTCATCAAGGAGGCTTTGGTTTTCACCCAACCCGTGCATAATCGCGTCATCAAAAGAATCCATCAGTCGATTGGCCCTTTCATCACGGTCTTTGGCAGCCTCGAGCACATTCCGCCTTTCCATTTCATCAAAATCACTGTCCAGACGCTTGAGAGCCGCGGAATCACCCATGAAGACCAGCGGCCGTCTCTCGGTCTTCTTGCGTCGGCGCTCAAGATCCAAGGCAATTTCAAGACGCTTCTGGTAGCGGACCTCGAGCTTTTGGTAAATCTCGTTCACGACCTTCATGGTGTGAGAAAGATTGTATTTGACGGTGACAGAATCCTTGATCCTGCTATTTTCGTGGTCAAGTTGACCAAGCGCCGACTCGTATTGAGTTCGAAGCGCGGAAAGCTCATCATTCAAACGCTCATCCAATTTCTTGAAGATATTAGCCTCGAAATCTTCGAATTCCCTACGCTCTTCTTCCAATTGGGCTCGAGCCTCTGTCTGACGGAATTCTTCCTCCAGGACGTTGATATCGGCGTATCCGATTTCCTTGTCATTGAATTGCGCGTCGATGTGTTTTTCTGACTCCTCTTGGCGATGGAAACGCTCTTTATCTAGGGCCTCCTTGCGAAATTGACTCGCAGTTTCCCAAGATTTCATTGTTTCCATGATGAAGTTGAAGTCATTCGAATAAGGCCCCAAACCTTCTCTAGTGGTCTTGTGCCAAGGGCTTTCTGACTGGTTCGCCAAGGGCGACGAAATTATGGAACGCAGATCGTCAATTACACTTGCCGGTCTCCCCTTCCTGAGAGACAATGGCAATGGTGGTGGGGAAGAGGCTTTTCGCGCGTGTTTTCGGTAGGCAACACTCTTTTCTCTGATGAGGCCGATGAAGGTTTCATCGTCCTGATTCTGTGTCGCCGAGGATGGAACAGTGGGGCTTGCGGTATCCTCAGAGGGCGGATTTGGAGCATTCGACATTATCCTACCGCTGGTGGCAGATGCCTGTCGCAAAGCAGAGTATGCTTGGTATGCTGGAAGATGGAGTGAAAGTTGATCAGAGCCCCTCTGTGGGCCTTCAGTGTAACGAAATGGGGTATAGATTGGCTGCGGGGGATTAGTATTCAAAGGCGAATGCTCCTGTTTATGCACTGAATCGTTCGTTGGTGGCACAGATGTCGATCTCGAAAACTGACCCTGCACCAGACGCTCTGGGCCATATTTGGGGCCGCCGGGATTAGAAGCTGACCGGCGCACACTTGTAATCTTCGGTGTATGGAGACGGGGAAGGATTGGACGTCCCCCTGGACTATACTTTCCATCCTCAGGCTCTTCTGGGGTATCAGACGAAGAATCCTCGGCCTCCTCTGTCTCTACGGGTATAAGGCCCGAGTCCATTGGGTCTATGACAGGAGACAGTTTTTGAGCTGGAGGCTGTGTGGCTGGCGTTGGTGCTTGAGCGGTATCTTCAGTGGAATCAACATTATATAAAATTTCGCGTAGTTTCGTCTCCTTGGCCATGAAAGCTGTGAATATCTTGAAGCGTTCAGTGTCTGAGTCGGCCACTGCTTCCTTGCGCAGCATGGCCACATAACGATCCAGCGAAGACTTGGACCAGGGGTCTAAGTCTTCATGTGGGTCTATTTGCCTGGGGTTCGGCGACGATGGTTGTGGCAATACATCCCTCCCGCTCGATGTATTCTCGAAGTGAGCTGGTGTGGTCTCTCGAGGTATGAAAGCTTCTTGTTTCGATTGAGGGATGTCGAGAGGAGTAAGCTGTCGCAATGGAGTTGACGATCCGGCAGAGGTGTGTGGATCGGTTTGGACATTTGGCGACGTAGACTCAATAGGTAGAGGTTGCTTCCACGCCTCGATGACACCATCAATACTTTCAGAAGCATCTATGGCAGATGTTGAACTGTAAAAAGAGTCATCCGTCTTCACCCTGATGGGTGGTGGGGGTGGTGGTGGCGGCGGCGGCGGCGGGGCCGGGTCATGTATAGTATCCTGGCCAGTTCCCGGGCTAACAGGCGAGACCCTGAATTGGTCCTGCACCCCTGTTGTGTCATGAGAGTGCGTGGGCTGAATAGTGGGTGAGACACCTGAAGGTGGCGTTGGAGCTGAGGATTGCGAAGCTGGGTTGGGTACAGCCGCAGTTGTATAGCTTGGTGGGTAGTCTGAGGGAGTTGGCACATGCGCGACAGTGTTCTGTTTAGACCCCAAAAAACCTTCGTCATCGACGTTCCCCGGATTAGGAGACAGGTGCTCCCAGTCTGAAGGAGTGAAGGCACCAAATGAGGACGGCCCCGCCGGGATGATGTTGGCACTCGTTTTGGGAGGAACAGGAGGAGCAGTCATCGGTGGCGCTGAATGCATTGCAGGGCTTCCTACGGATGCAGGAATCTGCTCAGATTGAAAGGTCTGCGGTACTGGGCGTTCCGAGAGGGAATGGACGTTGGATTGCTGAGAGTTTGGACCAGCCGGTGGACTGTAAGGGGACGCCGTATACAACGGGCTTGAAGACTGTTGTGGTTGAGTGCTTGGCTGCGATGCAGCAGTATGGTAAGCCGGAGGGATAGACGGTGGAAGAGGCGGCGGAGGTGGTCCCGAAGCCGAACTCGCAGGCTGCTGGTATGTATATGGTGTACTTGTCGGCCATGGCTGATGATGCCCTGGTGTAGAAGTTTGGGTCCCATACTGTGTAGGATTGCTGGAGTCTACAGAAGTCGCTGTAGGGGGCTGGGTGGTGGGTGGATGTCCAGGAGTGCTGGAAGGTCGGGGCTTTCCATGGTCTATCAGCTTCCAAGCAACTTTGAGAAATTCACTCCTTACTTCACTTGGGTACTCACAGGCAACGGAGGAGGGGTTTGGATATGTTGCTGCCTATTGTATCGTACTCCCCAAGCGGATGTGTCTAACCCCGTAGACGGCGACATAGTTGTCCCTGTTCCCGATACGGGGGATTGAGTAGACATATGGCCGTATGTGTTTGGATTATACGGAGGAGGGGGTGGTTGCGACGCATGGGGCCGTTGTTGCGCCGTCGCAGGCCGACGCCATTCGGGTTGCGGAGGACCCGACATCTGTTGAACAGATGCAGGATAGGAGTTCGAGCCGTGAATTTCTATAATTCATGCGTTAGGGTGCACAGTGAGGACAAAGGATCAGTATAGATTGGACGCTTACTGGAAGTGCGGGCAACTGCGGGGGGAGAGAGAAGCCGCTGGCCGTCAGGAGAAAGCGAAAGAATGAATGAATGACAAACGAAGGTCGGCTGACCGATTTGATCCCGATGGTCGCCTCAGCTGACAGAGGCAGAGAAAGTTGTTGGAGGGTGAAGTACAAGACGGCAGTTAAAACAAAGAAAGAAAAGAACGAAGAGAAGGCCGGGTCAGCTGTCGCGGATTATTTACTATTTACTAAAGAAAGATGACGACGGAAAGTCGCCCGAAACGTGGCGGTGCGGATATGCTGCCTGAGGCTGCCATCAACCCTAACTCCCGCGGGTCGCTGAACTACTCAAGGAGATACGAGAGGATGCGCATTACATAGAGTATCAACACGTCTTTTTCAAATCCCGTTATATGCATACAATAAAAAAACACGCAAAAGGCCCAAGATCACAAGTAGAGTACACATGGTTTGACTAAAGCCAAATTTCTAATCCCAATGATAGAGTAAAAAAGACAGAGCCTGGCATCACGCAGAACCGTCGACGGGTCTAGAAACAAACAATGGGGAGGGGATGTGGTAGAATAAATATAAGTGGCACAAAAAAAAGGGGTAGCCAGAGCTGCAACAACAGCTTTCAAAGCGGAAAAGTTAGGTCATCTCCTCGGATGCGATCTGTGCATCACTTAAGCACCGACTCTCAAGCGTCTTCCCAGCTTCTCGAGTTCACCGATCACACCGCCGCCAGCCAAACTCCACTTCTCACCCACCCATTCCTCGTTGATGTTCTCCTGCAGAAGCCCGCTGCGGGCAAAGTACTCCAGGAAGCCACGGGCCTCGTCCCGGGTAAGTCCGCTAAGAGACTGGAGCTCCAGCATCTCCTCCTTGGCGACGGTAGGCATGGGAGAATCCATGGCATCGAGCACGCGTTGGTCAGCTCGGCTGTAAGGATCGGCATGAGGGAACTCAGGCGCCGAAGGTTTCACGCCGGCGTGGCGGGCCTCGACCTGCTTCAGAGCGGCTTCGAAACTGTAGACCGAGGGGTTGTTGGAGGCCGAGGTGGCGTACAAGAGCAGGCCGCCATTAGGGAAAGTTGCCTTTTCGGCCCCGGGCTTCAAGAGCGAAAGGAAATGACGCACGAAAACCAAATCGTGGGCATGGATGGGTTTCATTTCAGGAGTGCGATACTCGGAGTTCTTCATCCAGTGGCCAAGGCCATCCACGGTCACAAGCATAGGGGGGCGAGGCTCGAAGTGCTCCTTCAATCCAGGAGCAGCAGCAGTCGCGGTCAGCTCAGACCACAGTCCCTGGAAAACATTCCAGGCAATGGCGAGGTCCTGAGTACCCAGCCGGGTGAAATCGGCGAGCGTCATACCGGGCTTGACGGAGGATTTGAGAGCCGGATGGGCTTGTGACACTTTCAGACCATTGAGGAGCTCTTCATTGGCGGCCACTGTGCGAGACAAAAGGGCGGCAGTTGCTGCGTTCTGAACATACAAGTTAGGCGTCTCGTCGGAGAGGGGCGCGTAGCCGGTGTGCGCAATGACTAGATCCTGGGCTAAAGATCCATTGTTAGTATCAAGACTTTGATTTCCCTTCCTCTTCTACCATTCGATAGATGGCTGAGGGATAATGTTTAGATCCTTTGGTTCAAACTTACGCTCAGGAACGGTAAAGACAGCCCACTTCTTGGTGAAAGCCATCGACATGGCTTGCAGCAGGTGAACACTCTTTCCAGTTCCTCTGGCACCGGTGATAATCTTCTTGACCGATTTCCCTTTGCCTTCCCCATCACCGGAGATACCGTCAATCAATCGACCCAGCTCCAGCGTTTCCCGTCTGACCACTGTCCCGGGGCGACGGAATATCGACCAGCCCTGCGTCGGTTTGAAGGCTTCCACCGCGCGCAGTTGAGTGAGCATCGGCACGGGAAGACCGAGAACAGATCCGCGGAGTCGCGAGTCCACCATTGTTTCCGCCGAGACTTCCTGCATACCTTCAACCTCAAGGGCATTGGGGTTGCTGAGGACGAGGCGCTTCCGCATCGCCTTGCGTTCTCCAACCGGAGGCGGTCGTGCCCGCTCGACATTCTTCTTCCTCTTCATTTTGGGAGAATTGGATTCACGGAATCCACTTTTAATCACATTTTGCTTCTTCTTGAGGACCGAAAGGCGGACTGCGGACGTGTGGAACGATGCCGCTCGGGGGACTGACATCGGTGGAATAACAGCCGGAGGTGTTGGGCGCAGCCGTGTGAGGCAGCCCCAGCAAAAGGAGGAGACCATGGTGTTGCGACACACTGGCACAGTGGCCAGGGTCTTAATTGACAGAAAAGGAAGGATGGGAGGGTTGAATCGGGAGTGGGTGCCGTCCTAGTTTCGTCGAACCCCGGAGTTGTTGGAATGAAATTCATCACATTTTGGCGCCTCACCAGAGGGCTCCCCTGCGGCTACTTCGGGTTTAGCGTGGACGCCGCCCTAGGCAGCCCGGAGGCGGTGAACCGAAGTGCTAGAAGCGGCGCCCCATAATTTTATCTACTAACTTTTTTTTTTCTTACCCGCTTCAGTTTTCCCCGGTCAAACGATCAGATCCTTTCTACTCATCACAGTCCCCTTGCGCATTTCTCGACGTTCTCCTGAGATAGATTCAGGGCGCCGTCGCAATGTCGGAATTCGAAACAAATAAATCGGCAGAGGCCAAGCCTAAGCTGTGAGTTTTCACCATCCAGGAACCCATCGACCGATCTATGTATATATCTTCTAACCTGCCGGAATTCTCTAGACCTATCACCGTGTCGAAGCCTACTCCCTATACTTTCGACCTCGGCCATCTCCTCGCAAATGATCCCAACCCCATCGAAGTCTCTCGTTCGGAACCGCTGAACGCTTCCCTGAAGACTACGGCCCGCGATGGCGTCCAATCGCTACTGAACCAACTCTTGACGACATGCCCCATCACCTCTTCTCAACAAGGTGTTCTCTTGACGCTGCCTTCCCCTGCGACTGTTCTGCCCCGCCACAAGCCTCTGCCCACGCCCAAGGCCCCGACGAAGTGGGAGCTGTTTGCGCGCAAGAAGGGTATTGGCAAGTATAGCGCTAAGCCTGGCGCTGCACTAGCGGACAAGGAGCGCCGCAAGAAGATGGTCTACGACGAAGAGAAGGGCGATTGGGTACCGCGCTGGGGTTACAAGGGTAACAACAAGTCGGACGATAGTTGGCTGGTCGAGGTGAACGAGAAGGACTGGAAGAAGGAAGAGGATGCTGCCGCCCAAGGAAGCTCGATCCGTGGCATGTCTCGTGCGGAGCGCAAGGACAGAATCCGCCGAAACGAGAGGAAGATGCGGTCCAACGAGCGGAAGACGAGGAAACCCGGAAGCGGGTGAGAGTGGAGATGGAAAGGAAGAAGAAAAAAAAGTAGATGATGAATTAATTCGGCAGTCAAGACTTCTTTGTTAAACTTCGGCTTGTTCTTACATCACTGGAATTCTGGGCTTATTTGGGCGTTTGGTTTGGGAGTCGCCGGTCTTGGATGTCAAATGTCGCCTGCATGGATTATCCACTGCAAAACACAAAAAAAAGCAATGTTACCCTTTCCACGCAGTGCTCGGCCAAAGGGCCGGCATTCCTTTGTACAGTTATGGTTTATCGTGTCTTAGTTCTGGAGCTTGTGCCAGTTTATATTTAAGTGAGACAGTCAAGGTCTATTTACTGTTCTCATTTGCTGAAGATTCACTAAATCAACGTACGGTCATGCCTGTACCTATTTTACATGTATGTACCAGCAACACACTCCATGAAGATGCGACAAAGCAAGGGAATCAGATAGAAACGCAAGTAAACAAGCGCCGAAACAAAGCTCCAATGGGGAATCGGTGGTTAGACACAAAGGAATAGTAGGAAGCAATACATTTCTGTGACTGGGCAGATGTATGAGCACATATCACCAAATATATGTAGTAAAAACAGACTAGAGGTCAATTTGTACACTTGTGAAGAAATTCAGAGATCGGAAAAACATCAACTGACTCCATGGGCGCCAGATATGCACTCAGGGGTGAGTGAGATAGCCCAAAAGAAGGATACAGCATAAGAGATGTAGGGAAATAGAAAGAGAAAAGGAGAGAGGAAGGTTGAAGGCGGAAGGATGATTAGAGGAAGGAGGAAGGAGGAAATGGAAATGGAAGAGGGTCATGGAATAGGTAAAGGAGATACGAAGAAATTGGAAAAATGTCACGAAGTCGAAGTAGATCTGGACCCAGCACACAAAAGCACGCTATGATGAAAGGGATGTAGACAAATTGCAAGTGTTTCAGGCTTAAACTATTTTCAAGAAAAATGTTCAACCTGCGGATCCAGTCCGAGACTTTCAAATTTGGCGATTTCTTGTGCGGAAGAAGGAAAGAAATATGGTATAAAACGTAGGCCAGCCTGGATTTAGAAGCCCAGTGCACGTGATTTGGAAATGACAGGCATAAATGCATCAGATCAAGGAGAGTTCATATTGCCGTTAAGGTGTTGGATTCGACATGGATGTTGGCAGAAGCGCGAAGAGCCTTGCTCAAATTTGTATCGGAGAAAGCGGTGGTCCAAGTTCAGGAAGCTGAGAAGCACTCCTACCGTGGTGAGCTGTTTCGATGTTCTTGGGTCTTGATTTGTGGACTCTCGCTGTCTGGGGCCGGGGCGGTTCCTCTTCAACGGCAGGCTGACTACTGCCAGAAGAAGAGATAGCCCTTTCGTCGACAGAGGATGCCTGCTGAGGAACTGGGGTGAATTCTTCCTTCGCCTGTGGGAATTTCTCTTTTTCGTCCATCTCCTTTTCGATCTGGAGGAACTCCTTCTCGGTCCAACAGCCCTGCCAACAATTCTTCCAGTCGCAAACAAGGAAATGGAAGCAAAACGCATCGATTTTCATGCAAGGCTGGAAGCAGATGCAGAGATTGCGGTAGTCCATTTTGTTCTGATCAACGTATGAGTGTAAGAGGTTTAGGTGACACGTTATGGCGAAGAGAAGGTAATAGTGATATGGCGGCAATTTGGAGAGTTCGTCTTTCAACATCTGGGGGGCCGTTGTTGCCCCCTCGCATTTCTCGGCAATCATGGCTTGGGTTTCCTTGGGGAAAAGTTCGTCCGGTAATTCACGAAGCCAGGCTTTGAACATAGATCCAATCGTGTTAATGTCGTACAGATCCGGCACATCAAACAAGTTGATGTCAAGTTCTAGATATCGATGAGAGATGGCTCCGGCAGTGAAATAGGCACATTTATTTCCATAGACTTACCAGTATCGAATCGCCGTTGCCAATGTTTCACTTCTTTGCCACTCCCCGGGACGCGATAGAGTCCTTCCTCTTCACAGCCCTTGAAGTTCAGGTAACTGTTCTGCCGTCAGTTGGCCGCCCACACGTGATCCGAAGGGAGTCTGCTTACTCTATACAGCGGTACGGCAAGGCTGGCATCCAAAACTCAGTCTTGTCTTTGCAATCCTCCAGTCGCTTTGCGATGCGGGATCGCCGTGCTTGCTCTATAAGAGGCAGGTTAATCACGGAGCAGACATAGTTGTCGTCATTGATGAGTTCCCGCTCATTCGTGCTTCCACTCCTGGTGATTTTCCCGAAGAATCCTTTGCCCGCCTTGCCGATGCGATCGGCGGCGCCGCTTGAGGATTGTTTAATGTTGTTGAAAAGCGCAGCAGAGGCGCCAGAAACTTGACTTAGCGAAGCGGACGGGACCATTGCCCCGCCGTGGTATTTGTCCTTCCTTACGGGACCGCCGCTATTTTCGACGGGGCGATCGGCGACATGACTACGAACTGTTGCGTTCGCCGTATTCTTCGTTCCACGCTCCTGGCGTGCCGGCGCCTTTTGGGATTCTTGCATTTCCCGCCGACCACTCTCCTCGAGTCTCATGAGGCTGGTAGACGGACGGCGATTTGCTATTCTGTTTATCGAAGAGTCGTCGACCCTGATTGAGCGAGAGCGGGAGAGGAGATTGGCAAATCGCGGCTTATTCTTCTTGAGAGTCTGAGAAGCCTCGGTCTCCGTGCCGACTTTCTTAATCTCTGTTGGTTGCGAATGCTTGTCTTCGGGGTTTCCGTCTAGGGTAGTATACATTAGCATAGTCGGCTTGGACTAACGGTCCCAACACTTACTATTCTCCTCTTGTGCCGCGCGTTCGATGGCGCCAGGAAGGTCTGGCGTTGATTCGTACAGCTTGGACGAAATCTGAGTCTTGCGGTCCCTGGAGCTGCCACGACTCTTGGGTTTTTCACCAGATTCCGAGCCGTCCGATCGCTGGGCTTTGTGCGAAGACTTGGGGGCCTTGAGATTTGCGAAAAAAGATCGAGAGGGGTCACGGTTGTGTTTGGGGGTATCTTTAGGAGAAGGTGGGTACTGCGGGATGGCCGTGAATCCCGGGGTAGGAGGTTCGGCGGCAAGACTAGGAGAAACTGGAAGAGTAGGGCTGTTTGACTTGCTGTTTGACTCTTGAGTGACAGGGCGAATTGTAGCCCCTTTGAAGAAAGGTGAACTAGACGACGATTTAGGAGAACGGGGTGTCAGGGGACTCGGCCCATCCGAGCTTTGGGCGCCGGGCGTTAGTGGGGATGAGATCTTCGCATTCGCCTGCAAGGTGGAAGTACTGAGATCTAAATTGGGAACAGTGGAGTTTCTTGACGGCATCTTAGACGTTGTTCGTGTCTTAGTTGGCAGCCCGGAATAGGAACGGGAGTAATCGTCAGGGGGGGGCGGATAGTCCGATAGAATAATTGATAAACCAAGCACCAACTAGGGACCGCTGTTTCGACGCAAGACTAGGATCTATTTACCGAGCTGTTAATATCGTTGGACAACAAAGGTGTTGGTAAGTGAGAATAAAATTTGGGGCAAAATGATAAAATTTAGAAAATCCAGGTATTCAACTCGCAAATCCAACGCGGAACATACCTTGATCGGAAGAATACTATGCGATGATCCCGGAATCCCTGAAGCATGGATATTAAGGGTGCAGGCGGGCCCAAATGATAGCGAGTATGAGCAATTGACTGTTTTATGACGAACTGAGATTGGATCGGAGCCGGCCTTGTCAATCTTTCTCGGTCGTGGTGTCGTCAACGGCTGCGTCTATCACGGGCAAAGCAGGCAAGATCGATATTGGAGGAGGTGAATTATGGGAGCGCTCGGGTCTGGACAAAGATCATACTTTTAGTAGTGCCCAAGAATTGAGGCAAAGCGACCGTACTTGAATGCAACAAATGGGAAGGAATGGTCGCAAAGGCAGAAGTAGGGGGACAAGGCATCAATGACGATGGAATCATCCAGCGGTTTTACAGTCGCGGACTCACCCCCTTGGTATGCATCGGGCAATGTGAAAGAGCGGAGTGAAACCGTCCTTCCAGTGAACAATGGGGGGGAGAAAATCCAACGGCCTGACCGTTCAAAAACAAGAGGTAATATCATCACGTACCAGAAAGCAATGCCCCTCATGTTACTGCACTCTCCAAAGAGCTGTTCAGATGTTCCTCGTTGACTCCACCTCGTTATGAGATCGACAACAACCGTCGCTTTCCCCCCTCAATTCCTAGGAAGTCGCTGAATGGAATCGAGGCTTGCTTGTTTTTGCCCCTCGGTGTGTACGGACGGCCTTGAGGGCGGTCGGCAAAAAGAAGGAAGCCGAACCAAGGAGAGACAGGCTAAAAGCCCCGGCGACTAGTAACTAGTGAATAGGCGTTGGAAGGGAAAAGGGAAAAAGAAAAGGAAAATAAAGGAAGGGAAGAGAAGGGAAAGGAAAGGCAATTGAAAGAAGATCGGGCACAAAAGAGAACACGGTCAAAGAAGGGGAGATAAAAATTGAAGTAAGGTTAAATAAAGAAGCAAAAGAAAAAAAAAGATGGGCAATCAGAGATAAAAAATAAATAAAATAGAGATGGAGTCAAGTATCTTCCCCCCTGCGGTAAGAAGTAATAATTCCCCAGAGACGTCGGGGGAGGAGGTTAACGAGGCACGAGAGTCGGAGAGCGAGAGGGAGAGATGACCGCACGGTTCCAAAAGCGCTCAGACTCGAAGTGTCGCGGCGACACCTTCGTTGACAGCGTTATGCAAGCACGGCTGTGTGTCAGGCTAAGAAGCCCCCGTCTTTTTTTAAGGGGCGAACTGACGGTGGAGATGGCGTTGTGCAAGGCTCCAGAAAGGTTACGGCGTAGCTTTAGAGGGACTATGGATTATGGAAGTATGGAAAGAAAGTCTATCTGGTTGGCGCACAGACTGGCTGGCGCTTGTCTGGTAAATGACGAGGCTTCGAGTGAAGGGAAGGAAAAGCCACTGCGTCTATTTGGCCATCTAGAAATTAAACCATCTGTTGGAGTGCACCGTCATCAGTGTAGTGAGCAGCAACGCGGTCCGGATCAGCCAAATTCAATTCAATGCAGTCCGTGGCCGAAAAAAAGGGGGAGGGAGGGGAGGATGGAAAGCAGGCAAAAGAATTCCAATGCAAGTCGGTGGCTTGTGAGAGGAGGATGACGTTGGGTCAACCCACATAAACTGATCAACAACGTATTCCGGAGAAACAGAAATGCTGCTGGCGGACGGGGGAGAAAAGAAGAGGGAGGGAGGGTAAGCCCCTCTTCCTTCCTCTTCAGCCCTAATTCTCTCTCTCTCTCTCTCTCTCTCTCTCTCTCTCTTTCTCTTTCTCTTTCTCTTTCTCCCTTTAACTATCTGTCACCCCGTACTCCGTACATATGTTTGACTCAGGCTATCGGTCTTGTGTGTTTGTTTTTCTGTTTCCCCGTTGTTTTCCCCTGCAGTGACTGCGTACAAGGATATACACCGAAAGATCGGGAGGACCCATTGAACTGCTAAAAGGGCGGACAGTTGACTGGCCAAAAAGATCGGGTCTGGCAGTTGGTGCCTTGGGCGGGATGATGTACGCCCCGGCTCCGATGCTCTGATTGCGACGATGGATTGGCCAACCATTTGTCGCTGGATGGGGGGCAAAGGTCCATTCCATGGGCGAATCGGATGCCCGTCCCTGACGAAGCAGAGGTCAGAGCATTCCATTATTGAGAGTTTGGTGATCTTTGTGATCATCGTCTGCCGTTGACAACCTCCGGGAGACACGATACGGGATTGCGCTTGCATCACAAAGAAGCGGAGAGAACATTCCAGGAAGTAATTGTGTTTGAGATTCATTCAGAGCTTCATCGTGAAAAGCATGCGACCATGGATCGCAATTGGCATTTGATACAACCCGGTGGGGTTGATTAAAAAAAAGTAATATGAGCCGGAGAACGAGGTGCTATTTTAATTTATTACTATTACTACTACTCCGATTGTCATTTATCATCTCTGCCCCGCCAGCCATCCAGCGACCGTAACGAGGACCAAGAAATGGCAAGGCAAGTGGATCTTCTTTTTTTTTCCGGTCCTCCAAAGAATCGAGCAAAACGTTCTTTGGTACGGGAAACCGACCAGGTACGAAGGACCATGGCGCGTGGGCGAACTAATGATTATTCTCATAATTTTTTTTTTCTTTTCTTTAATCAGGTACCAGGGACGCATTATTTGTCCAGCGCATACAGAACCATTAAACTAGAAGGGAAGACCAATAAGCGTGCCTAATAGCCCTGGTCAACACTCAACTGACACCAGGACTGCGTCCCCTCGCTACCTCAGATACCAACTGCCTGCACCGTACTTACTACGTACAAAGTGCTGAACGACTGATACTACTCTGAGTGAGGGAATAATGGACTCCATAGTCCATACTCCGTACGGAGTCGTCCGTACGCAGTAAGATATTCCCATCCTAGGAGTGGAGAAAAACGGTGGCTCGGTGATCATGGTCAGACATCGATTCCACACGCAGGGAGGCGTTAACGAATACGGAGGACGCACGTGGGAACGAGAAAAGAGTATAGACCGTACGGAGTAGGCTGGTCCAAGGAACGGAGTGGCATACGGAGTACTAAATAAGAATAATAATAGCCATCATTATAATGATATTATTATGTACACCGTACACCGTAGTTATGGATCGATCTGGGCTCCTCAGCCTGAGCCAGCCACCGTCAGTACTCCGGAGTAACCACTCCGTAACTGATGACGACGAGGACTTCAGGGGTTTACTGGGTTTACAGGGTTACACCGCCCACACGGGCGATCCTCTTCCTCTTCCTGCCCCAAACGCCCGCCTGAAACATCGCCCCGCTTTCGGCTCCTTCGGTGGCGCCTAGGTCACGTGGTCTCCCAGCCCTCCGAGGCTCGGCACGCAACCCAGCATTATTATTATCCCTGGCTCCTCTCCCCCCTCGCCTGTTGAGAGCCGTGCAGAATCTGATTTCACCAGTTAGCCATCTTGCCGCGCTGGTGTTGCTGATCTCCTCACCTCTCTTGTCTTCGCCGTGCACTGTCCTTGCTAGCTTGCCTCCAAACTTGATTCAGTTCATTTTTGAGGGGTAAAAAAAAATCAAGCAAAGCGGGCTGCGGAATCCCACCATCCCTTGAGGCTTACGAGCTAAGCACTTTGGGTGATTGATTCCCTCAAGGCACTAACACCCACAAACCCAGCAGCAATCATATTTAGTAAACACATCAATCTGACCTTGGATCCAAAATGTCCCTGGTATCGGGTCCTGGTAGAGCCGTTGGCGGCTCCCCCGACCAGCAGTTGTGCATCCAAAAACATGTGGATTACATTAAGAATTTGGACAGCGTGCGTCATTTTGATCCAAACCATGGCTTTTCTCTTCATGATGGGGAAAATGGTTGACAGGTGATGCTAGAGGAGGGATGAGCTTGAATATTGGCTCACCGAGCATCTTCGGCTGAACGGGGTTTACTGGGGCTTGACGGCCCTGCACCTTCTCGGCTGTCCCGAGGGCCTCCCCCGGGAAGACACCGTCGATTTTGTGCTCTCATGTCGCCGTGATAACGGTGGCTTCGGAGCTGCACCGGGCCATGATGCGCACATGCTCTACACCGTCTCGGCTGTGCAGATTCTAGTACTAATGGATGCGTTGGATGAATTGGAAACACGTGGGCTGGGAGGCAGAAGGAAAGTTGGTTCTTGTATGACTTGACCCTTTCTGTTCATGACAACCCTGCCTCTTCCCGCCCGGCAAAGCGCGCTAAACAATCACAGTCATTGCAGAACTTCAGGACAAGGACACCGGCGCATTCATGGGCGACGAGTGGGGTGAACAAGACACCCGCTTCCTATATGGTGCATTCAACGCCCTGTCGCTCATGGGCCTCCTTGATATGGTTGATGTCTCGAAATCCGTCGCTTATGTCCAAAAGTGTGAAAATTTGGATGGGGGCTACGGCATTCGTCCGGGAGCTGAATCTCATGCGGGACAGATCTTCACCTGTGTAGGGACTTTGGCGATCGCCGGAAGACTTGATTTGGTGAACAAGGACCGCTTGGGTGGCTGGCTAAGCGAGCGCCAGGTAGATAAGGGCGGCCTAAATGGGCGTCCCGAAAAATTAGAAGATGCGTGTTATAGCTGGTGGGTTGGGGCAAGTTTGGTCATGATCGACAGGCTTCATTGGCTTGACGGTGGAAAGCTTGCTTCTTTCATTTTGCGCTGTCAGGTGTGTGGCGATGATATCATTTCTCGATCTCTATTAACTCCAGCTAGGACCCCGAAGCCGGTGGGCTTTCAGATCGGCCAGACCACATGGTTGATGTCTTCCACACTCACTTTGCCATTGCTGGCCTGAGTCTCCTGAAGTACGACGGTGTCGAGGAAGTAGACCCGGTCTAGTAAGTATTCGTCCGACCTTTCTTTTCCGGTCCCAATACTAATGGCTATCCAGTTGTATGCCGAAAGCAATAACAACTAGATATTTGACCAAGTAGCACAAGACGTGGTCTTTTCCTTTTTCTGTTCGTAGTCACTCTACGGAGTACTACCTCCTGCAATCTAATAACCCGTTTTCTCTTTTCAATGGACTATGGGATACAAGGCAGGAGAAGAGCGATCGGCATTGCGACTTATTTCCGCTTCGTCACTTCACAATAACCTGTTAATCGGTTGTTAAGACGCAATGGCACATAAATCAATGATACCTATAATGCACTGTTAATAGAAATGAAATGAAATGAAATGCTATGTTCCTGCCCCCATCCATATCCCACTTACACTACTTTTACAACTCGCCGCAGCCAGCACGGGATCCCGGCTCCCGTCTCGTGCCTACCTCAGCCTGTCCAGTAGTGGCCGGGCAGCTCCTTCTTCACTTGAGCGAGCATGGGTTTAGACCTCCGGTCCCCCTCCCACTTGCCCTGGTAGCAGTGTTATGTCCAGGGCAGGCTCTGGGCCACTTCTCTTGTGTCCTGCTAACTAGGGCTCGTCCTTCTATGTTTGTCTCACGTCCTTGACCAGGGGAGTTGTTCGTTCTTTCGTGCAATTATCCTCTTGCTGTTCTACCCTGTTACTTCCCTCGAGGAACGGTCATCATTAATCCTTCCATTTTTCGTCGGAATCGCCCACAATGGATGCGGCTGCGCTCCTCTGCAACATCTGCCCCAAGTGCCCAAGGTTCAGCGATGTATCCCATCTACTGACCCACGTATCTTCCAAAGCTCATCTATCTCATTACTTCAAATTGCAAGTCCGCAGTCACCAGGAATCGCAGGCTGTGGCCTTACTCGAGGAATACGATCGATGGTACAAATCAAACAATCTGGCAAAACTACTGTCCGATCGGATGTCATCAAAAGATGTTCGGAAGAAGCCCCATGGTAAGGTATCAGCTCAGAAAAAGGCCTTCGCTGCGAGACGGGACGGCGGATGCAAATTCAACGTCTCAAATGTCAGTCCTTCGATTCGCAATGCTCTTCCAGATTACCTGGATCCACGACTGGCTGATTCCTGTCTGAAGGTGGAGTCAGGTTTTGGTGATGGGTCCACACCCGGGTCCATGAGCTACATTCCTTCGGTGGCCTCCTCATTTGCCGAGAATTCAGTTTACGGAGACGACTTGTATCCTTCACTGTGTACCAATGCGTCCCAAGAGCCTCTGCAGTCAATGTTCGGTCAATGGAAACAAGAACCCGGGCTGGATATCGAAGAAGGAATGTCGACTTTTCAAAGCACGCCCAGTTGGACTAGAACACTAGAGCTCATGGCGAACACGGCCACACAGGTTTTAGACAAGCCTCCGAATTCTGATCCGTTCATTGATGACAATGATGCGGAAGCAGATAAAGAGCGGGCGGAGGAGATTGCTAGGCTGAAGGGCGTCCTGTGGCCTGGAATGGACATTTTCGATTCTGCCACTGAGCAAATGAGACGCAAGCGCAACCAGAAGAAAGATGAAAGCATCCTGAGAATGATGGAGAAAACATCCATGTGCGTCGAACCTACGGAGCTAATCTTCTCTCCTACTGGTGCTTTGCGGAAGCAACGCGTCATCTCCGGTAATGTTGAAGACAGCAGTCCTCTGAAAGGAGAAACTCCAATCCCAAGACGACGGGCAAATCGTCCCAAAAGGATCCTATCTCAAACAGATCCTAACATTTATCGGAGACAGGATCAAAAGCGCAACAAAATGTCAAGCAAGCCTGTCCTAGGAAGTGTGGAGGATTCGGATCAACGAAACTTGTATTGTCCGCATAGTCCACTTCAACTGCAAGCTCGCTTTGGAAACAATTGCTCGGGTGAAGATGATACTGATGAGCTTGTTCTGTCTTTCAATCACCGGAAGCCGCGATTTCGCAACGAGTTCAATGTTTTCCATGATCGATCTAACCAAGGCAGACCAGGATTACTTGATCAGCATTACGGAGATGGACTGCTCTCTTCCGAATCACCCTTGCTCAAACAAAACTCTATAATTAATGGGTCTTTTCATCCAATACACAATGGGTCATATACTTCAAGCACAGTGAGAAGCTCGGCTCCTTTTGGGTTTGGGAAGGAGAATCTTGAGCCGCTCTTCAATGGTCATGGCCGGATCGACCCTCTGGTAGGCTGGACATCGCCTAGTGTGAAACGACCGGCAGAAACTGGTACAGGATATCCACCTCAATACTTCTTTGGTGACGCGCAGTGCATCGGGATCAGTCCTTTCGAGAGTCACGACAGCCATGCAGGGTTCTCATACAATCCCTTGGCTGCCTCCTTCTCAAAGCTTCCCCTTGACGAAAGCATATACACGCATGAGGCCGAAAAACCCTTTGTCACCCAATCTGTGACACGAACAACTTCTCCAGATGCAACTATATCCGATGTTGATGACGATGATTTTGAGCGTCTTTATTTAGATGGAAGCTCTTGCTAGCCTTCTCCACCGATCGATGCCTATTGTTTGTTTATGCTTTTTTTTTTTTTTTTATGTTTGTTCTCCTGATTATTTTTCCCTTTTCCTGTTGCTCCGGCCAGCAGCTGTTTCTGCTTTCCTTCTTTATTCATGCAGTCCTGGGACCTTGGCTTGAGCTTTCTTCCAACGGTCACCATGGATACGTCTGTGTGGCACATTTATATATCAGCACTGTCTTTGTACATCACAGAGTACTGTTCACCCTATATTGTGACAAATCCATAGGATGGGACTTTGATATTATTGATTGTTTCCTAGTGTGCTATCCAGAGTTTATTTTAATTTATAGTATACACTGCCCGATACCTGAGCCCATGTATGTAGGTACATACATAGTACGTACAGAGTAGTTAGCTGCAGGCCGGGGCGGCCGATTAGATAAGCCACTTAATTGTCCCGAAACACGCTTAGCGCGTCCTCACGCGTCAAGCTCCACCAGGTCCAGCCGGGGTTGTAGTGAGTTGACATCTTTCCTGGGCTTGCGCAAATACTTCAAACTTTCCTGTTGTCCATGATACTTCTGACTTCTTCAGGGGCCCAAGTGTCTCATCGCAACCTGTTTTCTCGCTCTATATCGCGTAATCGTCTGATAGAAAGCTAGAACACAAGCATTCATTTTCTTCTCTTTTTCTTTCTTAATTTTCTTCCCTCCCCGACAGTCAGGAAATATGCCCTCGCAGTCGTCTCAATCGCCATCAAATTCATCCCCGAACCTCAAGCGCAAACAACCCTCCATCGCAAGTTTTTTCGGGAAAAGACCACAGACAACCGAGAAGGATCCGCACAATGGCGCCAGCGAACAGCAAGAACGGGGCAATGGTATCATTGAAGCCAGTTCTCAAGAGAAAGAGAATAAGAACACAACGCATGTCATGGATGATGAAGACGAAGATATAGTGGTACCTGCCGCAAAACGGTCCAAAAGAAACGGAGCTCCCTCAGAAGACGAGGCCAAAACCTCTGCCCAACCTGCCCCAACCCAGCCAGACCGAACGTCATTATTGAACAGCAGCCAACGAACTGAGATATTCCGATTCGCGAGCTCGCCGGCCGCCGTCCCGGAGAAAGAAGAAGACAACAGATCAAACGAGGAGGATAGGGAGCGACGGAAAGAAAGGGAGAAGCTACATAAGCAGTTTGTTCAGAAGCTGGGTGGTCCGGATTGCCTCATCGGGATTGGCAGACATGCTGCCAAAGAGGCTTCTGTCGCGGCAGATGAGGCTGGGGAGGGCGATGAAGAAGAGGAACCTACCCCAGCCCCTCCGACTAAAGGAAAGGCCACAGCAAAGAAAGGTGGAAGCAAACTGACACCGATGGAGAAACAAGTTATCCAGATCAAGCACAAGCACATGGACACAATATTAGTGGTCGAAGTTGGCTACAAGTTTCGGTTCTTTGGCGAGGATGCGAGGGTGGCTGCGAAGGAGCTGAACATCGTTTGCATCCCAGGGAAGTTCAGATATGATGAACGTAAGCGCGGATTTCTTCCTCTTTGGCTTTTCTAATTTATGCTCATATCATCTCAGACTCCTCGGAGGCGCATCTGGACCGGTTTGCATCCGCCAGTATACCAGTACACAGACTCCATGTTCACGTGAAACGACTTGTTTCTGCTGGGCACAAGGTTGGGGTAGTTCGGCAAGTGGAAACAGCTGCTCTGAAGGCTGCTGGGGATAATCGCAACGCCCCCTTTGGCCGCAAGCTCACCAATTTGTACACAAAAGCAACTTATATTGATGATGTTGAGGGGTTGGAGGGACCCACGCATGCGACATCTAGTGGCGCTTCTTTAGCAACTGGCTATATGCTTTGCATCACAGAGACTAATGCGAAAGGCTGGGGAAACGATGAGAAGGTGCATGTAGGCATTGTTGCTGTCCAGCCGGCAACGGGAGATATCGTATACGATGATTTCGAAGATGGATTTATGCGAAGTGAAATTGAGACCCGGTTACTTCACATCTCGCCTTGTGAAGTTCTCATTCTAGGGGAACTGTCCAAGGCTACCGAAAAGCTTGTACAGCATCTTTCGGGCGGCAGGACAAATGTCTTCGGTGACAGCATCCGTGTTGAGAGAGCGCCAAAATCGAAAACGGCGGCAGCAGAATGTCACAGTCACGTTTCTAGCTTCTATGCCGGAAAAATGAAGACGGCTGATGCCGTGGACGATGAGGTGTCGAGCGCCCTGCTCCAAAAAGTGCTCAATTTACCTGAGCAGGTAACGATCTGTCTCTCCGCGATGATCGAGCATCTGACGGAATACGGTCTGGAGCACGTTTTCCAGCTGACGAAGTATTTCCAACACTTTTCGTCTCGGTCACACATGCTGCTCAATGGCAACACTTTGGTTAGCCTCGAGATCTACCAAAACCAAACCGATCAATCTACAAAAGGCAGTCTCTTCTGGACACTCGATCGGACACAGACTCGCTTTGGGCAGAGGCTACTTCGGAAATGGGTAGGACGTCCACTTTTAGAGAAAGCGAGGCTTGAAGAAAGGATCGATGCCGTTGAAGAGCTGAAAAACACAGAAAGGATCGCTATGGTAGAGCGTATTAAAGAGTTGTTGGGACGAGTGAAGAGCGATTTAGAGAAAAGCTTGATACGGATATATTATGGGAAGGTGAATTTGGCATCTTTTAATGGGAACTCTATTACACCGACGTGCAGGCTAACAGTTGAATGTAGTGCACACGTCCGGAACTTCTCACTGTCTTGCGGACATTGCAGATGATTGCCCAGGAGTTTGCTGATTTCCAGACCCCAGCGGATACTGGATTTTCATCGACCGTCGTTAGCGAGGCAATCGCGTCTTTGCCCACCATTTTGAAGGAAGTTGTGTTCTTCCTCGATAAAATTAACCTGCATGCCGCCAAAAGTGACGATAAATATGCCTTTTTCAGGGAATCAGAGGAGACGGAGGAGATAAGTGAGCACAAACTTGGAATCGGCAGCGTCGAGCATGAGTTGCAGGAGCATCTCTCTGTCGCCGCTGAGATCCTCAAGAGGAAAGAAGCGCGTTATGCTACTGTTGCGGGCATCGAATACTTGATCGAGGTCGAGAATAGTTCACCTGCTATTAAGCGTGTGCCTGCATCTTGGGTGAAAGTAAGCGGTACCAAAAAGGTCTCAAGGTTCCACACTCCTGAAGTTATCCAGCTACTGCGTCTCAGAGACCAGCACAAAGAAGCCCTGGCTGCGGCTTGTGATCAAGCGTACATGGCGCTTCTCAGCGACATTTCGGCAAATTACCAGTCTTTCCGGGACTGCGTACAGTCGCTTGCAATCCTTGATTGTCTAATATCGCTTTCAGTCATTGCCAACCAGCCTGGCTATGTGAAGCCTGAATATACGGACCACACATGTATCCATGTTGAACAAGGTCGTCACCCTATGGTTGAACAACTTCTGCTGGATAGCTACGTTCCAAATGATATCGCATTGGACAGCGATGAGACCCGCGCTCTCCTTGTGACGGGTCCAAACATGGGTGGTAAATCCAGCTATGTACGACAGATAGCGTTGATTGCCATCATGGGACAGATCGGGTCCTATGTTCCTGCTCAGTCAGCTAAACTTGGCATGTTGGATGCTGTTTTTACCCGGATGGGGGCATTTGATAATATGCTGGCGGGCGAATCTACTTTCATGGTCGAGCTTTCTGAAACGGCAGACATCCTGAAGCAAGCGACGCCGCGTTCACTCGTTATCTTGGACGAACTGGGCCGTGGTACATCCACGCATGATGGCGTTGCAATCGCGCAGGCGGTTCTCGATTACATGGTCAGGTCTATACGCAGCCTTACCCTCTTCATCACGCATTATCAACATCTTGCTTCAGTAGTGCACTCGTTCCGCAACCACGAGCTTCGAAATGTGCATATGCGGTTTACGGAGTCGGGATCTGGGAAGGACGAAGATATTACCTTCCTTTACGAGGTTGGCGAAGGAGTGGCTCATCGCAGTTACGGACTTAACGTTGCGCGGTTGGCGAATCTGCCAAGGCCTTTGCTTGACGTTGCGAAGCAGAAGAGTGCCGAACTGGAGGCCAAGATCCAACGCCGGAAACTGGCTGGTCTGGTGTCGGTGGTGGGAAATGTCATGGACGATTCGTCCGAAACAAACCAAGCCTTGGTGGAGCGACTGATCAACAGTGCGGAGCAATTATAGCTGGCTGTAATATTCCGGGCCAATTGTTGTTGAATCACCTGCATTTTTCTTCAAAACAAGTCCAAGAAATTCCTGTACAAGAGTGTATAGTTCACTGTAAATAAATCCAAACTCATTTTCGGGAATAGTCATGTCTACGGCGAATTATTGACCAGCTACACGTAGATTCTCACGAAGACCATGTGGGCGCGATGAACTCAGGCGTGGTTGCGCGAGGCACGGTTGGAACTAGGGAAAAGTTGTAGAGATTCAGGATATCATTCATTTTGTTCGATAATTCCAATCCGACTCCGTGATTCCGCTCCCAGCACCCAAAGAGACGTGGGGAAAGACACCGTTTGGCAGAAGTCGAGTTCAGGAATCCGCCGAAGAAAAAGGGTCGCCCTTTGTAAGCTTCGTGACCTCGTACCTTCTCCATCCACACGAACTAGGATTGCGACATGGTCTGAAGGCAGCGTGTGAAACCACTCGAACCCGTTAATTTCAAATTTTTTTTCTTGTTTCATTATCAGATGGATCGATCTTTTCTCTCTTGTCTATTCTCTGGAACTTCGACGCAGACAGAATGTTCAAAAAGAAACGAAAAGAGGGTCCACCACCGGCATGTCGCATCTCAAGCCCATGATCTTTTTTTTTTTTTGCCTTCCTGACCTCCTCCCAAAATCATTTCCAACGCAAGCAAACGTACATAGCCCCGGGAGGAAAGCGTGAAGTAGAATTCGGAGGGAAAAGGAAATTAGCGGAGGCGGCGGGCCTCACGCTCGGATTCGAGCAGGCAGAGGATGTCGTCGACCTTGACTGTTGGTTGCGACGAGATTGCGTTAGCTTTCAACACCTTTGTTTCGATTTTGCTTGCTTGCGTGCTTGTTTGTTCCCCTCCTAGCCCACGAAATCCCATGCGGAGAAAGCTGATCCAGTCCGAGTAGTGTTGAATTCCAGATTCATTGTATTCCCTGTATTCCCAGCTCTTGTTTTCTTCTTCTTCGAATGATTCCGAACTGCAGAGTTCCTTCTCTCTGGCTTCTTTTGTGGATGCTCCTTTTTTTGTGCAAGGTCGATTTCGCGGGCGGTGGACACAGCAAGGAATCAAAATTTCAAGATCACGGAAATCGCATACCTGGGCCCTTGACGTTACGGATGATGCTGCGAGAGGTATCGTCCATGAACTCGACGCGGACCTGGGTGACACCACCACGGGAGCCTGTACGTAGCGAAGAAAAAAAAAGGTCAGCATTTGTCCCCTCCATCTATACACACAACATCGGGAATCTCCGATGCGCCGACCAAAAATCCCCAATCGATAAAAACGTACCGGTACGGCCGAGGACACGGGTGACCTTGACGAGCTTAGCGGGCTGCTTGCTGGCATCCATCTTGAAGATAGGGCTTGACGACAGCGAGGGTTGACGGGAAGGAGGTGTAGATGGCGAAGGGGGCGGGCGGAGGTGGAAGTTGAGGCCGGCGTGAAATTGGAATCGAGGATTTGCGGCTTGTGTGGGCTTGCCTTTCCCCTTTGGGCTCAACTTTACGCGAGGGTTCAGGGCTAATCGACACCTGAGCCGTCGGGCATCCACGCGGGCGGTCAGCCATTGTGCCTGGATGCCGTACTGCCTGAATACCTTACTGCCTGGGGAACCCGGTTAGCCCGTCACGGTCATCATTGCCCCGCCGTCCCGATTTCGGTCGATTTCCCGATTTCTTCTTCAGTCTCTGCTCTCCCCTCCTGCAATTGAGTCCTATCTCCGGTAGATCTGGTCTCCCTTTCTCCGTGTCGCCGTCGAACTTGTCTCTTGAGTTCTGAACTGTTCTTCCTTCCTTTCATCTTCCCTATCGCTTCTTTGACACGAATTCTTTCTATCCGAAGTACCCCGCGCATTGATCATCAGCGAAAATGGATCTTGTCAACCAGTGAGTCAATTGCCTTGATATCATCCCAAATACTCTCAAGCACTCTATACCCTGTCCCGTCTTGTTCCAATTGACTTTCCTTGCTAACGATGCCTCCCCAGCCTCGAAGGAAGACTTCTCTTCGCCGTCCCCAAAAGCAAGTGCCATGACTCACCGCCGCTGCCGCACAACGTCACTCTATCTAGGCGAAATCAAGAAGACTTAGCTAACGTGGCATCGTCCTGCCAACAGAGGGTCGCTTGCAACAGGCCACTTTGGACCTCTTGGCCGGTTGCGACATCCAATTCCGTCGCGAAACCCGTCTCGACATCGCCCTCGTCAAGAACCTTCCCATCGCCCTGATCTTCCTCCCCGCCGCCGACATCCCGACCTTTGTCGGCGAGGGTCGCGTTGACCTGGGTATCACCGGTCGCGACCAGATCGCCGAGCACGACGCGCAATTGGCACTCGGTGAGACGTCCCAGGTGGAGGAGATTCTGGACCTCGGATTCGGAGGATGCAAGCTGCAGGTGCAGGTTCCCGAGAAGGGCGACGTCTCGGAGGCTAAGCAATTGGTTGGGCGGAACGTTGTGACCAGCTTCACGGCTCTGACGGAGGCCTTCTTCGCCGGCCTGGAGAGTGAGGGCGATGCCAGCAAGCTGGCGCGTGCTGACGGTGGCTTCGACATCCGCACCAAGGTGAAGTACGTCGGCGGTAGTGTCGAAGCTGCTTGCGCCTTGGGTGTGGCCGATGGAATTGTGGATCTTGTTGGTGCGTTCTTTCATGGAAGGACTTAAACGGCTTATTATCATATGGGGCACATCGAACTGACCCATTCTTTTTGAACATTGCAGAATCCGGTGAGACCATGAAGGCCGCCGGTCTCAAGGCCATCGATACCGTGGTCGAGAGTACCTCTGTCTTGGTGAAGGCCAAGAACACGCAGAACCCTCTCGTGGACCTGATCACTTCTCGTATCCGTGGTGTCATCAGTATGGATCCCTCCTAATAACCTCCCATGTCTTTCCACCCCAACCGACTAACCATTACTTCCTTTTTACCTCCTTTACAGCCGCCCAAAAGTACGTCCTGTGCCAGTACAACATCCCTCGATCCGAGCTTGCCACCGCTTCCGCCATCACCCCCGGAAAGCGCGCTCCTACCGTGACCGCCCTCGAGGAGGAGAACTGGGTGGCCGTCAGTTCGATGGTCGAGAAGAAGAAGATCGCCACCGTCATGGACGAGCTGACCAAGGTCGGCGCTTCCGACATTCTGGTCTTGAACATCGCCAACTCCAGAACCGGTTAAGAGTTAAGATTTAAAGATACGTGAAAGATTTTGTTTTCTTTTCTTTTCTTTTCTCTTCCCCCCCCCCTTTTTTCTTATCTTCTCATCTGATGATATAATTTCTTTTTCTTATGTTTTGGTCTTTGGACTTCTGCTTTTGATGTTGGCATCAGGCGTGCTTTTTTTCATGTGTCGTTTTCCGTATACTCTGATATATTCATTTCTTATCATTTCTCTCTTTTTCTTGGGTTCAACATATTCCTCTCTTCCTGGTTGAAGCTTTATATCTTTCCCTCCCCATCATTTCCCTCCTATCTAATCCTCAAGATTATTTGGAGGCCTCGGAGAAAGGAAAAGACCTGAAAGATCGCAAGACATAAACATTAAGCATTAATCTATGCTACTATGCGAACACAATGTTTCATTTAATTGATTTGTATTTCTATATGATTTGTAACTATATACAGGAACTAGAATAATGTACAGAAGCCTGCAGGCATGCAAACAAAGGCACATGCAATAATTTCTTCTATGTGGTAGGGGTGTTAAAGCGACCCATGAACGTTATCGTGAATCGCGTTGTCATCATCGTAATCAGGCGGAAAAGGAGTAGGGAAGAGGGTATCGCTTTCGAAAAGCTGAGAGGTATGTGAAGAAACCTCGAAAAAGAAAAATCAGAGTGAAAGAAAAAAGAGAAGAGAGAAGAGAGATGATAAGAGATTAGGAGATGGGCTTCTCCAATCCCACTCCCTCTCGTCGTCCACGAATCAACGCCTTAAGGCATTGACCGACGCCCTCTAGATCACCTAGCAGACCGACATGGCCACGATCGCTCTTCACCAAGCCATCTTTGATGATGCGATATCCCGGCGGGAGCATAGCGGCCGACGCAAGACAGACGCCGTCACCGGCCGCGAAGGCCAGATCGTCGTATGCATCCTGGCACTTGATGTGCTCCCGCGACCAGACGCGTGCGCCGTACAGCGTGGGAACGGACTTACCGTATATGACGGTGAATGGTGGATAGCGGTTGTTAGAGTGATGGGAGGGGTTAAACGCGAGTTCCTGTTTGAAGCGAAGGACCTCGGCAAGCGTGCGTTCGAGATAAGAGAGGGCGGCGCCGCGTGGGATGGTGACAGCCGTTGTAGTCTTCACATTGGATGAGCCCCGCAGATGGGAGCTTGGCCCCACGACGCCGTCGACGTTAGGGGCCATTGCGGAGGCCTTGTCGGCCACCTCGGATGGCAGACCTGGGTGACTATGGGTGGTGGGATTGCGGGTTCCGTTCTGACTCTGAGCGGTCTCGCTCTCAGCGGTTCCACTACGTCGCGACGATACCGAGTCGGCCGATGCGTTGGGGGAGTCGTCGGACGATAGGTTCTCTTTGCTGCTAAGAACGGTCGAAAAGCGTTTGCTGAGTCGGGGAATGTTATCCATCAGGTTCGTACCTTTGGCCGTCATAGGAGGTAGGGCCGTGCTGATACAAGGGGAGAGGCGGTTTTCGTCCCAGGTCTGGGCGTTGAAGAAGTCTACGCGGAATTCTTCCTTAGTGCGCTTGTCAATGAAGCAATGTCCGTCCTCGGGGAGCAGGGCAAAGCTCGTTCGGAAAGTGAAATTGACTTGTGCCGTGAGGACGCGAGAACTGAGTAGTACGTCATCTCCGTTGCGAAGTGGGCCCAGAATATTCACGCAGTGCTGTGGAGTGCCGGCGTAAACCACGCCCGCAAAAAGCTCCGGACGCTGGTTGACGGCGTGGCGCGTGATTAAGCCCCCGAGACTGTGGGCGATAACATGCGCTCCTCGTTTCTCTCGCGGTACGTCGGGTGCGTTGCAGGGAAGGCCCTCGAGGAATTTGATCAGTCGCCGGGAGAGGAGATGCGGGCTTAGGCGCCAGTCGTAGCCATAGTCCCATACACGGAGGTCTCCGTTTAGGGCATTCTCGCACTTTTGGAGGCGCTTCAGCAATCGCCGGCAGATGTCGACCGGCCCGATGTGGGAGAGAACGCCCGAAGGAATGATGTTTTCCTCCATCCGCTCCTCATCCTCCGGGTCCAATCCCACCTCGAGATCCACCTTGCGGAGATTGAGACCGACTTTCATCGGAACCCATAGTTGGCGCTGGGGTGGTTTCGCGGAGCGTAAGATCGATCCACGATAGCCGCCCATGACAACCACATCCCCTGTGAGTTCAGACATAGCCTCGGTCAGAAGCGGGTGCATCGTGTTGGAGTTCGAGCGGGGTGGGCGGGTTCGAGTCTGCGCCGCCGCCGGTTCTCCCGGAACAGCACGCGGGGAAGGTGGCTCATTGGTGTAGTTGTTGCCTTTGCGTTGAGCAGTGTCATTGAACGTTTTGTAGCCCCAGTCGTTCCGCAGGTCCTGTAAATGAAGGCTAGGCATGCTGAGAAGACGGCTGCTCGAGTCCTGTAGGCTGTCCTTGATGGCTTTGAACCGACTGTTGACCTGTGTATGCACATTCTCGTATTGGGTTGGCTGATCAAGCGAGGACGCTGTGGATGAGGCCCTTAAGTACAGGGATTGGTCCGAAGAAGACCTCCGCAGGATGGGCGGAACTCCCGAGGCCGTGGCACTGGGTCGGCGAGAATACGAGTGCTTGGCTCTCTTTAGTCCATTCAGGGGATTCAGATCGGAAATCGGTTCCTCCGCGTTGGGATCCGGGTCAGTGAACGACCGGCGACGCAGAGGCGCGGTATGCGGAGGTTCCTCCTGGTCCAGTGCCAACCGGGACGAGGAGGGCTTCAAAGTCTGGCTTCGACACGGACGCTGAGAGTTGTTCGAGCGGAAGGAGAGCGATGATCTTCTGGCCAGCGAGCCCAAGTCCGGAAGAAATTTCTTGAGACTCCGATTAGCCAGACTATCTCCGGACCAGGCGCGCGGCCGCAGCGGCAAACCATTCTTTAAGATCGAGCGAGTAAAACTTGAACGCTGGCCAGCGTTTTTGGCCATATCCGGGTGCAGCCCGTTGTGACTTGAGGCCCGTGCATGGGCGAGGCCGTCGTTGTTGCCCGACGATCTGCTGGTTTCTGGCTCGACCTCTTCCGGCTCTGCCGTGATCTCGCCGGCGAACACGCCGTCGGACTCGCTAGCATCCAAGATGGGTTCGAAATAGCCACCATTGTGTTCCATTATACGGTTTTTCTCCTCGGCAGGAGTGAGTCGCGCCTTCATGCGACTCTGGGCGCGACTGATACTGACACCGACGACTTCATCGGCTTCATCTTCTCGGGCGGCATTCAGTCCTTGCTGCCCGGACTCCTCGCTATCGGAACTGGAATTCCCAACCGGAGGCGACAGTATGAGGGCCGGGGAGGGGTCCGAGATAGAATTGACCGGATCATGGTGTTCACGCGATGACAAAGGAACAGCCATAACTCTAGGAGCAACGGAGAGAAGGGGACGACTGAAGATCGGGTTACACCATGTAGGGAAATCTCGGATAGGGTCAATTGGGATGACCAGAGTAAATGCGATAGAATTTGGAAGAAAGGGAGAGGGGGAGTAAGATCCGAAGAGGCGACGAGAGAGGACGCCAAAAGAGTCGATAAGACGATGGATTCAGAAAGGAAATTAAAAATAGCAGGGCGAAAAAGAAGAAGCAGCTCGAACTAGTATGTCGTCACATGTAAAGCCCACTTTGGATTTCTACTCCGTTAGAGTCGTATTCGTACGCCGTTTTGGGTCCGTTTTGTCCGCACTAGACTGATCGGTCGATTGATGGACCATTAATTGATTCATTAATTTGAAGTCTTCATGGCTCGTGGTGGTTCGTTGTGGCTGTGGAAACCCAAAAAAAATAATGAAAACTAAAAACCGGTTCCACAGCATAGCCTCCGGGAGCTCCGGCTCAAGCTTTGGGGGGATCTTTTTGGGGGCAGCGTATTGGATCGCTTGAGAGTGCCATGGTTGGAAACCCCGTTGAGGGGTACATTGATGACAATTCGCCGTTTCCGACTAGATGACTAGTGTAGATGAACGGCAAAGGCAGAATGATAAAAGGATGAATGATGTGACGGAAGATCTTCGCTGGAACCTGGAAAGAGCAGAAGAAGGTGGGAGAGGAAGAAGGACGGAAGGCGTCGATCCGCCAAAGAAATGGGGACTGAGTGCCCGAGGCAGCAACACCCGTTGGTCTCGCCATCGGATTTTTTATGCAAGGATTGTTCACTATTTGCACTACGGAGGATGTTCTGGGGTACGGAGTACTGGCTCTTCCTTTACTGTTCTCTTTATGATAATCTACTATGATTATTGCCTAATCTTACAAAGAAAGATTCCCGATCTGATTCTCTTATAAATACAGTGCTCTCATAACATCGTCACTCGTGGGATAAAGAAACGAAACACATCGCGCTCAATGAGCATTCCGGCCAAACTGACCCGACTGGATCTGACGCTCGCCTTTGCTAGCAATTTCCGCGTTCTTCGCTGCGCCCTCCTCATGACCGAAGGCCTTATCTACCGCCGCAGTGAGACCGCCGCGGAGCGATTCACCGGCACCCTGGAGGAAAAACCATATTAGTACCGTTTAACATTGCGGTTGTCAATCTGAGCTGTAACAGGGAAACTTACATGAACTCCCGCGAACAAAGACTTGACGCCGTGGCCAACCTTTTCGCCCTTTTGGGCCGACTGAGACCCGGTGGCGCTCGAGCCCGTAGTGGTGGTATCATACTCGCGCTGTTCACCGTGAGGAACATACTTGGCCTCATGTTCAGGGTTGGGACGGGCATGAATCGGTGCGTGTCCAGTAGTAGGGTCATATCCAGTTCCTGCCGGGTGACTGGAAGTGCCGGCAGGCGTGTGCACGGCGCCCGAACCAGTCTGGGTCGTAGTCTTGGTGCTTGTCTCTCCCGCCTGGGCGTCCACGCGAGGATCGGCCTTGTTCATCATCGATGAACGATGGGGACCATCGTTCGCGCCATGACTGTACGAGTTGTCCTGCACGGTGCCAGGGTGGGCATTACCCGAGGCAGTGGTCCCAGGGGCATACTGGGCCCGGTTGTCCAGGTCGCTGTCCACGCGGGGATCAACCTTGTTCATCACGTAGGAACTGTGAGGACCAGCGTTGGAACTTTGGTTGTACCCCTGGTTGTACGAGGTGTGGTGGGCGTTGTCCGTGGCAGTGGTTCCGGGGACGTGCTGACCATGATTGTTCAGGTCGCTGTCCACGCGAGGATCAAGCTGATTGCTCACGTTCGACTGGTGAGGGCCGGCGGTGGAAGGCGCAGGCCCGGTCATCGGATCCATCGGGGGAGCAGCGCCAACCTGCGTTCCAATTGGGGTGGAAGCGCTGGGGTCCTGGTTGGGAGCGCCGAAGGTGGAGGTGTGGTAAGGGGGTTGAGTGCTCATGATGGTATAGTAGAAGTGGTAGTTTCGACTGACTTTGAACTAAAGGATTAAGCTTTGAAATCAAATAAAGGTCAATTACTGCCCTTGCACTCCAAGATCGGGGAGGATGCTTATATAGAAACCGATCAGGCACAAGACATCATCGGTGATGCCATGACGTCAGTCTCAAGAACTGGCTGGGTCGACCATGAACCGGTGGCGTCAGCCAATTCAAGACTGCAGATCTTCCCCATGGCTTGGGTCAGTGTTTGCATTTCGTCCAGGGTTACGCAAGGGTCTTTGCCTGCTTCATCATTCTTATCACATTATTATCGTGTGCTCCGTGCTGTATATCGGGCTCGTAGAGGGTCATGTGATGCCGTCGCTTACCGATAAGTCATCGTTACGTCATCCAGTTTATGCATGCATGTCAAACTGTATAACATGTCATGAGTCAGCATTGCTCTTATACAGGTCTTCTTCTGTTCTTTTGGCGCCATTTTCTTTTAACAGACTTGAATTAGTCAGTTCTTTTAACAGATAATTCAAAGGAATATATCGAGTAGAAAAGATAATTCCATCTCATTATTTTCCGGACATGAAGACAAGTCCCAAAGCCCAGACGATGAGAAATCAAGAAATGTCGGCAACGCTGCGAAACAACCGAGGTTCATTTGCGGCGAGGAGCGAGATCGTTCCCCCTTCACCATCAGTTATTCAACACTTCAGTCTTGTGAGATAGAGTGTTAATCAATTTTTTTTTTTTATCTCTCTCTTGCTATCTGTCTCTCTACCCAGATTCCGTCCCAAAATGCCCACCTCCAACCGTCAGTTAATCTACGCCAATACGCCCTCGCCGGCTATTGACCCATCCCTCACCAACGGCACCTTCAAGCTCAACACGGTCCCCATCCCCGACAGTGTCCCCGACGACAGGGTGCTAGTGCGCGTGCACTACCTCTCCCTCGACCCGGCCATGCGGCAATGGCTGACGGCCAAACGATCGTACATCGCGCCCGTTGAGCGCGGCCACGTCATGCGCGGCCAGAGTATCGCCCAGGTGCTCAAGGTCGGCAGCGGGCTGCAGTCCCAATATCAGGCGGGCGACTGGGTGGTCGCGTACTCGGGCTGGCAGGAATACGCCCTCTTGGGGGCCAAGGAGGCGCAGAAGGTCACCGTCCCACCGGGCTGCCAGCCCACTGACGCTATGTCTGTGCTTGGGATGACCGGGTTGACCGCCTACTTTGGCATGATGGAGGTCGGCAAGCCCAAGGCCGGCGAGACGGTGGTGATCTCGGGCGCTGCCGGTGCGACGGGCATGGTGGCCGGTCAGATTGCCCGCGTGCAGGGCGCGAAGAGAGTCGTCGGGTTGGCGGGCAGTGCGGACAAGTGTGAGTTCCTCCGCAAGGAACTGGGCTTCGACGCGGCGATCAACTATAAGGATGCGGACTGGAAGAAGCAGCTCAAGGAGGCGACGCCCGAGTACATCGACGTCTTCTTTGACAATGTCGGAGGCGAGATCCTCGATGCCTGTCTGGCTCGGGCGGCGCGGGACGCTCGTTTCGCCATCTGCGGTGCGATCAGTCAATATAACGCGGCTAAGCCGCAGGGACCGGCGAGCTTCATGACTGTCATTGTAAGTGCATGGACCCCCCTCCCCCCCCCCCTTTTTTTTTTCTACGTTTGTTCTTCAGTTGGGTCAAGAATTAGCCGCTAACAATCCATGCGAAAACAGTCGCAACGAGTGACGATGAAGGGTTTCATCGTCTTCGACTACGCGAAGAAATACCCGGCTGCGCTGAATGACCTTGCTACGTGGCTGACGCAGGGCAAGATCAAGCGCAAGGAGCACATCGTCCCGGGAGGACTGGAGTCGGCGCCGAAGAGTCTGGTGAATCTCTACGCCGGAGTCAACACGGGCAAGATGATGGTCGAGGTGGCCCCGGTGAGCGAGGCGCTTGCTTTCAAGGCGAAATTGTAGACGGCCGGTCTGTTGCAATATGTCTGAACTTGAGTTGATTCTTCTTTGCGCCTGTTTATTTGCACTTGATTTGTTATATGTAACATGTAGATATAAGATTGGAAATACACATGGTATTTGAATCAGAGCGTTTGGCAGATGATGATATCAGGGCGTCGTCAGACCGGCAACATAACAACCTGTATACTCTATAATAACCTGCTTGCCATTTCACCATCGACCAACCATAGCCAAGTACCATCACTATCTCATAATGACTGTTTGCAGAGCCCGGTGGTGAAGAAATGAAGGTAATTGACCTCATTGGAGGTCGACGAACCTGGTTGATGATCGACGTCATACTGATGGAAGCCCTTCTCGCCTCTTCTTGCCCCATCATCGACCACGGCCTACAACCATACATAAAAAGCGCTGGATTTCACTCCGCTCCTCGACTAATGTTCTTTTTATTCTAGTCATGTTCCAACCGAGATATCTCATAAATCGTGTACCTCAATTCTCCAGAACCATCCGGGCCGATCATCGAATCCTTACCATCCCAACTCAACGACTACCTCTAAATACTCGCAAAACTCAACAATTCTCTACGTCCCCCTCTTACTCATTCATCCCTTCATCGACAAATCAATTGGCTTCTGAGCAAACCAAAATGAGCGCCCAAAGCAGCAACCAGAACTTCAAGTTGGAGAATCTCTTCAACGTCAAGGGCAAGGGTACAAAACATTTTCATCCACTATTCCCTACCTTCCCTATAGTTCCCCAGAGACTAACATAATCCCTCTAGTGGCCCTGATCACCGGCGGTGGATCCGGCATTGGCCTCATGGCCACGCAAGCGCTAGCCGTCAACGGTGCAAAAGTATACATCACCGGACGTACAGGCGAGAAACTCGACCGCGTCGTCGAGCTCTACGGCCAGGATATCCCGGGCCAAATCATCCCGATCACAGCAGATGTGACGGACAAGCAATCCGTCGACAAGCTGGCGCAGGAAATCTCTTCGCGGGAGCAGTTCCTCTCGATCCTGATCAACAACGCAGGAATCAGCAGCCAGACGCAGACGACGGAGCACGAGGACGCGAACAAGCTGCGCCAGAGCCTGTTCGAAGAGACGGCGGACGTGGCAGAATGGGACCGCGTATTCCGGACAAATGTCACGCAGCTGTTCCTGACCACGACGGCCTTCCTGCCGTTGCTGCAGAAGGGATCGGAGCAGGAGCGCGGCTGGTCCAGCACTGTTATCAACATCTCGTCCATCTCGGGTATTGTGAAGGTCTCGCAGCACCATTTCGCCTATAATGCGTCCAAGGCGGCTGCGATTCATCTGACGAAGATGCTAGCGCACGAGGTGCAGTCTTCGAACCTGCGGATTCGGGTGAATAACATCGCGCCGGGCGTGTTCCCGAGCGAGATGACGACCGGTGGAAGCGACGAAGGGCAGAAGAGTGCAATTCCCAAGGAAAAGTACGAGCAGAAGGTGCCTGCCGCTCGACCGGGCAAGGAAGAGGACATGGCAAGTACGGTGCTTTTCACGACTACGAACCAGTACCTGGATGGGCAGACGATCGTGGTGGACGGAGGATATGTGTTGGCAGCGGGCTCGCTCTAGGGGCTGCCGGCCACATTATAGGGAGTGTCGGGCAAAATCATATGTATCATTAATATTTCCGTACGATAATAAGCATCCGAGTTACGTGATATCTGTAAACGAAGTTACAATCCCATCTCTCCCGCTTCGCAAAGCCTCACATTGTACAACCACTCAGACCGAAGCACATCAGCAGTCTTAATCCTCCGGCTGGGATCAGGATGCAGCATCGCATAAGCCACATTTCGACAGCGAACCTACCATCATCAGTCAAAGTTAGCGAAACAGAACCCTCCAAAACAGCAAAGCAACATCCCACGAAAAGGCATGTAAACTTACGTCTCCCAGCTCCTCGATGGGGAAGTATCCCTCGGCCTGTTGACGACCATGTAGATAGGATCGATACCCGCCGTCTTCATTCTCGCATGCCGTTCGCCAGAGTAAGCGACCACATCTCATAACCATGTACATTAAACCGGCTGCCCATACATCGCCGACTCGACGATCCGGCCTGCCATGCTGGGGACGGAATTCCTCTGGCGGAAGATAGGCGATTGAGCCAAGTATTTTTCGCGGCGGCGAGTAGAACGGCGGCTGAGCAGTTTGAGGAAACAAAGACAGAGTCAGTGATTGGGAGCGAGAGGGACGCATTGCTCTGTCCATCTCTTCATCCTCCTCCTCATCCTCCTCCTCCTCCTCATCACCCTCTTTGCTTCCTGTCGCCGTCTTTATCCCCAACCACTGTGCACTTCCAAAATCCGCAAGTTTCACCGCCCCGTTCGGAGTCAACAATACATTTTCCGGCTTCAGTTCGCAGTGTGCAATGCCTTTCTCATGCAAAAATGCTACCGCCCGGATGATCTGCTTGAAGAAACAGTTCGCGGCGCAAACGTCCAGACCCCGACGCGGCGACGTCGCGATGAGCATGTTGAGGTCTCCGCCGGCGCAGTAATCCATAACCTGGCACATCTCGCCGCGCTCGTTGAGCAGAACATCGCGAGTGCGACAGACATTCGGATGAGAGATCGCCGATGAGAGGGCTTGTTCGAATCGCTGGGCTGCGATGATCGAGGGATTGGATGAATGACGGAAGATCTTCACGACGTGAAGTTGGAGGACCTGCTGTTGATGTCTGAGCGCAGGAGATCGAATTGAGGAAGTATCAGGTCGTGCATAAAGTCGTACGGAGCTCTTGGTGCCATAGTGAAGGATCTTCTGGCAACTGCCATACTTCTCTGCGAAGGACAGTGGAGGGAGGAGCAGGGGGCAGTGCTCGAGGGAATTGGGATCGTCGGATTTGAAAAGCCAGCGGCGCTTAAGGATGCTAGGGAAATTGAATCCGTGAAAGAGCGAAAACGAATGCTGGGGCTCGCGAGCATCGATCTCGTGGTGGTGGCTATGAGGGACCTTGTATGGTTGGATCATCGTGCATGTATCTCGATTTGGTCCCGATGCCTTCACGGAGATGTCACCCTTTCATAGTGAGAGAAGATGGGGTGAAGATAACACTTCCGTTGGTTATTTCTAGCGTTATCCTCCCTAGCACCCATTTATACTCCAAGCAAAATGGCAGCTCTCGATTCCAAGGGATATGCAAGTATCCGGTCATCACGGGGCCATCACATTTGTGCCCCGAAAATGCCTCACCGTACAGATTGGCGGGTTAAAAGCCTCACGTAACAGCCACTTAGTCATATACTTTTCAACGTCTCTGGTTGAAGCTTCCGATTATATAGTACACGGAAAAATTGACCGCAACTATTCAAGCTTATGTGTACATCAACCATGGCGGTAAACTTTTCGAGGAATTCCACATGATCGGTCAAGTGCATGATTGCATTGGCTAAGCAAGGGTTCCTTGTTATTAAGAAGATGCCAGCGAGGCCAAGTAATCTGGGGAAAGGAGACAAAGATTTGTACCTACTTTCCTGTGGTAGTTCTATTATCTTCCGGATCAATCTGTGAATAAAGATGACCAACTCGATCCATCCTCACAATGTTGCGAACTCAGGTATCAATCTCGAAGTTGCCTGCAAAACGTCTGCAAAAGCCAGTGGAATTCCTGGCAGCACCGTGCAGTTTTTAAACCCAACCCATAAAGACGATGTGCACAATCTAGCCTCATTATTTGCCAGTGTTTTTATGGAGCGCGAGCCGGTCATTTGTGCACTCACACTGGCAGATGAAGAACAGCGGGAGAAACTCCGACTGGCCTGTCAATAGGAATTTGCTATGTTGGCTTCATCCGGCACCGCTGTGATCGCAAAAGCGGCAGAAAATACCATCATTGCGGGCGTAATTGTTGCCCGTGGAGGAAGAGAGAGGGTCCCTACCCTGCGCCTGTGGGCTTGGAGCCCATGTACGACCTTTTTGACCGATTGGACGCCGAATTTGCACATCACTTGGCCAATCGTAGCGACCCGGAGAGGCAAACTCTCACTTCTTTCTGGGGGAGTTCACCGGGATTTCGAGAGTCGCGGGATTGTAGCTGATTTAATATGGATTGCGATGCTGTACGCATGTCAACATGGGTACGAAGAAGTCATGACCAAAGCGACCAGTCGATCACAACGCACCTTCCAGAGATGTGGTCTTGTGGCTCTGGCTGAATTACCCTATCAAGGCTTCGAGTACCAGGGCACTCGACCCTTCGAGACCATTTCGTCTCCCACCACAGCCAGGCTCGTGTGGGCCAGACCTGAGCCATTCTTCCGGCATTATCCTGACCCACTAGCCAGACGTGCACGCTTGTGAAGCCGTCTTCGTGGATAGATTATGGCTATGTCCTTGTCCAGAACTGAATTGTTGGATATCCAAGGTGTCAATAATGATAAATTTGCGAAAATCATGAAAAGTGATAATACATCTTGTACATAGGTGATGGCGCTGCTAGCCTATCATCTAGGTGTATGGCTGCTTATGGGTGCACGTAATCATGAACGAGGGAAAACAGCACCATCGATGAACCAACAGTGAATAGAATCAGGAAAGGACACTAGCCAGGTTGCCAGAAAAATATATCCAAAGAAAAGACGGTCCAAAAGAGAGCACGAAGAAAAGAAAGCAAAACAACAAACGGCCGTTCGAAAGCGACGGTCGGACGCTTTAATTTAACCACAGTCAAGGTCTTCAATGAACATTCAACTCCTAATTTCGCACTTTACCCGCTTCCCGAACTTCAGTCATGAATCCATCCTCATCACCTGCAGAGGTGAGTATCCAGTAGTCACCTTCGCCGGTATTGGCGAACTGTCCGCCGCCAAATCCAGCGGCAGAAGCTGCTGGAGCGCTATGACGCTCCCTTGGTTTAGCCCCCGTATGGTGTGGACCCCATCCCAGAATATTTTTGAGAGTGAGACGACCCTGGTCGTCCGGGCTGGTGATTCCAAATAGCTGTGGCTGCAAGCAGCCGAGAACCGCGACTGCCGCGCGGATCATTATGCGATCCCCCTCGAACACCCAGCAGTCCCAGACGCGACTCACGCGCTCTAAGTCGAGCCCGTTTGTGAGGAGGGAGCGGAACATGGGCTCCCAGATATCTTCATCGGTGAGCTGCAGTGTCTCGTGAAGATGACTAGCAAGGCGGGGAAATTTATAGCGAAGCGTCGCAGACGCTAGTGAATATGTACGGCCGATGGCCCCACGATCCAAGGTGAGAAAGGCCACGGCAAGCGGTCGATTAAGGGCATTGGCCATGGCCAGGAATGCGGATGCAGGCGACGGGAATTGGAGGACAAGAAGGGCGGCAATGGTCTTTCAAGGTTCGTTAGTTATCACACTCAGTATGGTATAGGGATGCCATGAGCCACTCACGTGAAGACCGCTAATGTAGCCCACATCGCTACGATACATGGAGTATGCCTCAAGCACGTCGATCAACGTATCACGCAACGGGCCGCCTTCTTGAAAGAGATTCAGATCTGAGAACGCCTTTGACACGTCCGCTTCGATGGTGTCAAACCACTCCCGCATCCTTTTATTACTCTCACCGGAATCCCCGGCGGGTTTGGCTTTGACGTCTTTGGCTCGTTGCAACGCCTTTTTGTACGTTTCTTCGGACAGGGCCAGCTCGTTGCCAATGGCACGTTGCCAAGTAGATCCTCTGATTTTCGGAGGAACACCCCGCCACCAGAGCTCCCGCGTACGGGTCTCACCAATGGCACGATTCCAGTTCGGATATACGTAGTCATCCCAGATGTTCTGCAGGGCCTCCCGGGTATTATCTTTTTCGCATTTCGCCGAAGCGGCCTTCGCGGCCCGACGCTTATCTGTTGAATTTTAGCTGACCGGTATCTTCACGGAATTTGAAGTGAGGCTACAGGGTGCGAATACTGACCTGCTTCGCGGGATTGGGCCATCATCTGCTTGTATTCCTTCAGATGTTTCTTTTCCTCCTTTTGGTCTTTCGGAGGAAGCCAGCTGGGCCGTGTCCGTGTCAAGACTTTCTCCTTCTCCTTGCTGATCGGCAAGGGGTCTATCATTATGTTGGACTTTTGCAGAGGAGGCAGTTCGATGGGGCCTCTGGACCCCCGCTTGGAGTCTGTGCTCGACCGCATCGATGACAGGCCACTTTGTAGGTTGTCCCCGCGCTTGCGATCATGTTCATCGGCATGAAACTCCAGCGCCTCCGTGATGATTTTTGCTTCCTCCGACAAATCGGACATCATGCTATTGTATGAGTAGACGCGGGGGTTTCGCGGGGAGATCTGACCACTCTTAGGTCCTGCAGAGGTCGACCGCAGGTTGTGTCGGCCGGAACGAGATGCACGGGGAGACTTAGCACCGGGAGACAGAGGAACAGATGTTTCCGAGACCGAGTGCGACAATGGCAAAGGCCGGGGGCCTGGACTTCGGCCATCGGGACTTGTCCCCCGAGACGGGGCGCGATCTTGCATGGGCCGAGGAGAAATGGGCACATTCCAAAGACTTGCATCCTCCGGTAGATCCTCATCAGAATCATGATATTCCTCTTCTAACTCTCTGAGAGACTTGCGATTCGGCTGCCATGATTGTTTGCGGTTGAGAGGAGGCCGGGCACTGACGGGCGACAAAGACAGGCTGTTGGTGGGCGACGAGCCTAGGGCGGACGACGGCCGCAGCGGCGACGTGGAGCGCGAACGGTGAGGCTTGGAAGGGTGCAATGAGGAAGTTGTAGTGCTATTCAAATCACGCTTGCCCCCAGTCTTAGGTTTAGAGCCACCCCGAGTTTGAAGACTTAAGGTGCCGTTGACCTGTTTTTGTAGAGGCGGATAGGGAGTTTTGTTCGATTTGGGGGTTGCCGTTAGGTCGCGTGTCGTGGTAACGGGGGATTTGGCTTGCAGCCTGGCCGTTGAAGATCGCGACAGCCCAGCAGGTCGCCCGTACGCAGTCTCCTTATAACACAAATCTGCATCGTCTTCCAGACCGATCTCTTCGAAGTTGGAAATATCAGTTAAGATGCCATCCGGGGCTGATAGTTGCGACGAGGAGCGAAACGAGGAGGATTTGGAGGATTTGGACCCGGATAGCTCGGGCGGCGAGTTAGGGGTTGTACAGACGGTTGTCATCTCGTACCGCAGGTACCGATTACTGAAATGCAGGATATCGCGAGGAAGATGAAAGAACACGTTCTGAGCGAGGGGAGTAACCGAGATATCAAGTCAAATATCGGACATGAAGTCGTTCGCACAGCGAATGGGAGAGATAAAATTGGGGGAGAAAGGAAAATAAAAAAAGAAAGAAAAAAGGTTCAGCGAAGGGTGGAATAACGAGTCGGGATAACTTGAGGCCCTGATCAATGATATAAGTGATATTTTCGAACAGCGAGAGCCATCAATGATCCCGTTAGAAATCGCAGTTATCCACCACCGGTCGTTTTGAGAAAAGACCGGATGCGGTAAGAATTACGCAAGAGAGGGTGAGAGGGCGCGAGACAGGGAAGTCCGACCAGCGATAGAGCGCCCGAGGATGGTATGATACTAGGCAGGTAAACTAGTAGACAAATGGGCGAGACGGACACACAACCTCCCCGACAACAAAGGAAAATTGAAGCGAAAGCAGGTAGAGAGAGAGAGGATAACAGAATAAGCGAAGGACAAGAATGAAGGAATGAAAAGAGTGAAGGAGGGGGCAAAAGAAAGAGGAGGAGGAGAAGGAGGAAGATGGGGGCAGAGATGGAAGGGGAGGATGGGGAAAAAACGTTGGATCAAATCAAATGAAAGGAAATGAAGCCGCAACCGGCGTGACCGGCGGGGAGGGCCTGAGGCTGCCACTTCAGCGTTCGACGGAGTCTGGGCCAATCCGGGTGGATGCGAGAAGGAATTCGGTCGATTCTCTGTAGGGGCCCTAGGGGCCAGTTTAGTTCCTTGTTAGTCTCGTCTCCCTAATGTCCCTCTCCTGTTACCTCTGGTGTAGTTACCTACCTAGGTTGGTAGTTCCATACACTGCCAATACTAGTCGGGACGGAGATGACCCACCGATCCCTAATATTTTCCCTCTGGTATCGAGTATTGCGGAATACAACCATGGATTCGTCTGCGGAAACCAGGGGGGGAGACCTTGCCGTTTTCGTCCCGTTCTGGCGCCGCCTTTGTTCACGGGCCTGAGAACGTGGTTGAGTGGTAGTATACTATAGACTTTCTTTCTTTCTATTCTATTCAAGAGAGTAGATTGATAGCGGAGTATCATTTTCTCTTTTAACAGCATGTTTTATTGTAGGTTGACTTATAAGTGGTATAAACATTAATTTAGGCAATTCTAGATTCGTTATATATAGTGCAAGTAGTTACGGACTATATCATTACTAAGAGCGACTATCTTGACATTATAAATTCCACTCTGACATTGGAAGTTGCAACGTAAGATCCTAAATAGATAACAACTGCATGAACCTTATAAGTATTTCCCCTTGTGAAAACACCTTTTGTATATAAACAGAATGAAGGCCATCAGGGTGGAAAGGGACTCTTCTTGATAAACCTGTAGTCTGTAAGAGTACATTCACGAATATCATATAGAAAATCAAGATTTCAGCAACCTCTGTGAGCTATTGGCCTAACTGCGGACAGGAACCTAGGATATGCGCTCGACTTTTCGCATTGTTCGTGCGCCTTATTCTCGCAGGCCGTTTTGTGTTTGAAACAGAGATCTCGACAGGCACTTGGCTTGTTTCCATTACTCTTCCCTAGGCCGATCTGCTTTGTATGTTTACACCTGTAAAGGGTAGCTAAATATACCAAATTATTCTGCGTTTGGTGGCTGATCAAGATGGCTAAACCTCCGCATAGCACATGTATGTAAAGAAAGCTAAATCGCGTTGATGAACTTTGACAGATTGATTGAAACATTTACTGTTATCTGGGAAGCTTTACGTTTCTAGTGTGACACATGAAGAAAAAGAATGGGTCTAACAATGCTTAGCTTATGTTGTGTTCTAGTATGTAACAGCATGAGATGGCGTATCACTTTCGAGGAGTATATACCGACTAGTTATCCCCATGAAACGTCAGAACATCCGGGTCCACACCTTCAAGAAGTGCTACAAGGGTTTAAAGAATCCATGACGAAATACTTTGTTTTCTACAACAAAATTAGAAGCCAAACTAGCTGTCTAGCACTCTCCCCTCTTGCGATTTCATTGTTAACATGTTCCTATGACTATGACGGGAAGAACAAGAAGATCCCGTCCGATTTGCCTCCCCCTTTCTCCTCTCCCCCTGATCCAGTCATATCGAGCCCGCTGATCCGTGGTATATCATCGGCGGAACTATGGTTCTTACTTGAAAAAGCTTACTTTTTACGTTCATGCTTTCTTTTCGCTTCTTTTTTGGGACCTGAACAGAGCGTTGATTGTTCTAATTTTATGTACACCCCGAAACTATCGACAAGGATTTAACTAATGATGGCAAATAATCACTTGTCCGATTGCTCACACGACCCCTTACTAGATTATTTGGCACCACATGACCATGTTCATCCCCGGGGAAATATTTCAAGGCATTTAAGAATTGTTCCTAAAATTAAGGTATGTGGTTTAAACTAGAGGCCTTTGGCCGATCAATACCGCCAACCTCCATAGAGTAAATTGCCATTGCGTACCACCTGCGCTAGTCGCGCCGACTTGCTATCGGCTTTCGGCTGATTCGCCTTGTAAACCCGGTCTAGCCAGCTCAAGATCGCTCGGTAACGGGTTTGCTTGCGACCGAACACATGCCGAAACGCCGCCGCCGAGAGATATTGAAGCTGGGAATGATGGGCGATGCAGGTCGTCGTCGATAGCGATGTGCCTGACGTCGAGCCAGATTGCTGCCGCTTGGTTTGAACAAGTCGCAATGCCAGCTCAGTCAGGTTCCTGATGATTTGAATCACCACCGCGGGCGTGGGGTGGCTTCGGCCGCGAAGAGCCCGCATATACCGATACATCTTCATGGCCGTCGTGAGAAAATTGGTGTACACGTTTGATAGGACTACCGTGAGGGAGTTGTGGGTGGTGTCGAGGTACATTGGATGCATAAGTGCCTTGAAAGATGTAAGCGTCTTCTGGTGAAGGGCGCGCCCGGGAGTTTTGAAGGAAGTAATATTCAGAGAGTTTGAGAGGGCCGCTGCAGCGGTGTCGCCTCCTTCGAGCATCCTGTCATGATCTTTGTGCACTTCGAGAGTGCGAACGTCGATAAGAGTCCCACAGTACGGGAATAAAGAAGTATCGATCAATCGAGGAATGTGTGTACCCTCGACCTCCACCGCAAAGTTGACCAAGCTCTTTGAGGGATTCACGGTGACCCCATACTCGGGCTGCCCTCTGACCATCACGGTCAAGAATTTCATGGCAAGGGTCGAATTAGAAGTGATTAGCAAAAAGTCGTCCACGAGGCGAAGAAGCTTTGCTTCATTTGTATCCAGGAATCCCAATACCTCTCGTTCCATTTCACCGTAGAACAAATTGCAGAGTAGACTAGATACCCTGGAGCCCTGGGGGATTCCGTTACGCTGCCGAAAGTACTTCCTTCCAAATTTAACCAGGTTGTTTTGAAGATGCTCATCAAGGAGGTCGAGCAGGTCTTCTGCAGAATAGTCCATTTGTACCTGATCGCTCACGAAGACTGTGTTTCCCCTGCGGCTGACACCACCGTTGGCGATGGTCTCTACTAGAGACTGGGTTTCGGTAGCAGGACCTGCTCTACCGGCATACTTTTGTTGACCCTTGCTCTGTCTAGACCCATCGGATGGCCACATGCTACTGAACTCGTCAGACGGTCTCACCTCATGATGGTTCGAGACATGATATCTCTCCTCAGAGACCAGGTTTTCAACAAGAGGAATCAGTTTCTGCTGAGGTATGGTGTCAAAACTGGATTGGATATCAAGTTTGACAAAGTAGAAAGGCGGCCGACTAGAATTAGTGTGGGTTGCCCATTGGTCTTTGAAAGCCTTGAGCCGAGGGTGTATATCTCCTACGCAGTTCATGCTCGAGCCAAGTCGAGCCGGCTTCCGTTTAAGCTCGTAATTCAACATGCTGTGAACAGGTGCAATAGTTTTGTTGATGCTTTTACCCCATTTGCCGTTTACCAGCATTGGCCGACTTAGGTTCATTAGAGGCCTGATGCCAGTCGTTTTCGGCATGAGTCGCAATGAGCCGTACCCCAAAGACCTGCGCCTCAATATACTAGCCGCTCTTTCTGGCCTTATTTCGTCGAACATGGACAATTTGAGGTCAGCCAGGGGCTTCTGCGTTAGTCGATGCCACATGTCATGCCGGAAGTAAAAAAGACGACCCCGATGACTTTGAGACTCCGTAACATAGAAGCTAGATCGAATGAGAGGCATTAGAATCGAGTCGAAAATATAGTAGATAAATTCGTGAAGGAGCTCCGTGCGTTTCCGCAGGTCGGATAAGGAAAGCTTTTGCTGCTGGCCTTCGGTGTTGGGATGCTCAAGCCAAGGAATGGACGTAACCTAGAAACGGGTTGACCATATTAGATGATAGAATTTTTTAGGTAAAGATGGTTTCACATGTACTTACCTTGATTCCTTTGCAAATCTCGTGAATGCTAAGAGTTTCCGAGCGTCTCATACGTACAAATCGATCAACATGGTTGAGAACAATATTCTGATTGATATTGCCCTGTTGGCCGGCTCCGTACCACTGCGGAGAAAATAATTGACGAAGGACGGCTCGACAGAAAGCCGACACTGAGGACGACGGGGTCGCATAGTCCATGAGGTTGAGTTTAGGCTTCGAAAGATTGTTTTTGGGGGTTTGGAATTCTTGGTTCGTCTGAGCCGCGGTAGGTGTGAGTACGCCACCAGGACCGGCAGGTTGGGTGATGAGGTTTCCTGATGCCGATGATTCCAGATCTTGCGACACATTCTGAATATCGATAGTGTCGAATTTCCGAGGACCCGAGGACTGTATCATTGATGTCAGGTCAACCATGCCATGCCATGCCATGAATGACTACTTACCTCAAGTGGGCAGTAATATTGTAGTAGCTGCCAATAGGAGCAGTGTCTCTGGCGAATTTGCAACTGTCGGACTAACTCCACAAGCTTTCCTCGAAGCCTCTTCGGAATCCGTGGTGATTGGCCCGGTTCGCCTTGACTGTAGGTATAAGATCGCTTTGAATTCTGGGCTTTGGCTTGTCTTTGATTTTCGCGTCTAGCTATTTCTTCCTCACGCGAGGCTTTGATAGAAAAACTAGTTCCACTGCTGTTGAACACGTTCCGGAGGCCAAAATGCTTAGGAAAGACGTATTTCATCACATGGACAGTGTCAGGCAATGATTCGGAAGAACCAGAGCGATTGAGGACATCTATTCTATTCGTTAGGCCGAAGCAGTGAGCTGATGTCTTTTTCAGTACTCACGGCGTTTTGACAACCCGTACTGAATCCTGCCCTGCGGACCGAGCACGGGACGTGCATAGAGTATTCGCCGACGAAAGAAGGTTATGTTATTCGATTTGTATTGAGCAGGAGCATTTCTGGTGGAAAGGGGCTTCACTCTGCTCTTTTCGGTGGCAGCGGACTCAGGAGGCGCTTGCGGTGGCTTCTGGACTGGCTCCAACGCAAAGAGCGGCACACCTAAGCAATTTTTTCAGAAAATACAATATCACTTGGGGTAGCAACAAAGACAAAGCTTACCGCTGACTTGATAGTATACGCTTTTCCGAAGATCTACAGTAGTGAAAATGCCACAATCACGCAACAGTTCGAACATGATGTCGTTTCCGTTGTATCCCAAGAGATTAAGAACATCCGTCCATGGGGCTTGCTTGACCAGCTGGACATTTTTATTGGGAAACTGTTCCACATGGCCAGGAATACTGCAAGGGACTTCGCCGCTCCTCCCGTAAGCACGCTGGAATCCATGGGTTAAGAGATGGCGATCTCGCCGTGAGGGACCGATATCTTTTAACAACTTTCGGATGACAGAATTCACAATCTGTTCATATAAATCACTGTTAGAGCGGCCCAATGTTTCTCTATCAAGGCAAAAGCAGACGGTGATGAAGAGCTACAATAGCGATGTGACATTTGAGTAAAGGAAGGTGAGTAAAAATCCGCTACTCCTTGACCCGGTATACAGCTATGAGCAATCTTACCTCTTCCTGGGCAGAGGTTGCTCCAGTATCTGTACTATCGACTTGAGTGGTACGTGTTTGTGTAGAGCTTCGAGTGGACGTCGGAGACAACTCCTTCAAAACGCCCACGAGTGTCGTATCTAGAAAAATCGCGAGCCCATGGCTTTTCAGATCGGACGATGTCAAGTCATTACGCACCGCCGCGATTCTGCGACGACATGACTTCGAAGAGACCGGTATCCGCCGCAGGAGATACTGCCTCAGCGTCACCACTCGAGGATAATATAAAGAAATGACAGGATGAGAGTGAGACTGTTCAGGGATCTCTGCTTGTGACGGAGGCGGCGGACTGTTAGGTTTGGGCAGGTGATCGCGTGGCCGGTCGTCCTTGACGGGACGCTTCCTTTTTTTGCCCATTGGCGAGGCTTGAAAACCACGAGAGTGAGATGGAACAATAGTGCGAAGTGAGCTTCAGCTTAGCGTTTCAACTAATTTTAGAAAACGTCATGTCTGTGCTATCTATCTAGTTGCTACCAGGAACAAGTGCAAGAAGGGGTTGTGCCGGGGACGCGCCGGGACGCGACGGCGTTTGCACTGTTTGACTGTCTCCTCGTGTCTGTCGGTGCGGTCGGTATTATTTATTGTCAGTTTGTCACTGACCACTACTCTACATGCTAACTGAATCACCATCACCATCGCCATCATCTTCCATACTGTGTACTCGTTCCAAGGCATAGTCCTCACCGACCAACCATTTTCACGGGTTCACTGGATGAAGCGACCCCCTGGATGGCGCTAACGTTGCAAGCGAGCGAACAGTATGGAGACCCGGGGGGGAGAAGAATCTGGCGTTTTGAAGTGAAACATCAAGTCTCCACTCTTCGATGCACATTGGAACAGGGCTTGGATATCGGTCAATAATTGAAGAATTGGAAACGCTGGATTATTGAACGCCGCCTCGCTCGTAGCACGGGGGGCGTTGCTACCCCTGAGCCTTCATACCATAGTGCGTGAGGGATGTTCCACATAATTTGTCGTTCGTTACAGAGTACTACTACCTGCTAACTCAGTCAGTCTTGGGTAGTGTGCATTGTACTCCGTACATATCTACTGTGTAGTTTTCACTTTCACAGAGTCCCAGGGGAGAAAACCGAGAGTAATATCTTACGGCATAGTCTCTTACTGAGGCCTCCTTAGACTCTGTCGGCAACCTAGGTGGAGGTCCAAATTGCCAATATGTTCTCTAGCGACGATCATTACGCTGTTTAGCCAACATTACACAACGATGACTGGGTGCGGAAGACGGTGTACGGACTACGAAGTCGTTACCTTGGACTGTTAGAGGCTTCATATGGAAGATGGAATCTTTCTCTCGAATTGCCGACCATGAAAACTCCATTTGTGTTAGTCGGTGACGATCCTGCCTTATATAGTCCGTACGGAGTACACAGTACGGAGGACCTAGACTCGTCAACGCCAAACCAGGTTGCGCAGGTACGGAATGGATTATTGTGGAATAATGGATAATGGACGTACTCCGTACTTCGCAAATGTTCCGTGCAACCTCCATCACAAGTATGTACACTGTGCAGTACTTTCTCCTCGGCAGACCGGCGACGATCGCAGGCTAACAGTAACAGCCCCTGTCTTCCAGGCGGGCCGATCAGACCATAGATCTTCATTTTGCAAGGAATCCTGAGCAAATTCGAGATGCACACCGATATAATCTTTGGGCCGATCATCGATTATTGGCGATAGATGCTTGACCGCAACGACCTAGCTGGGATGAATGGATGCAGGCAGCTTCCCGCAGGATCGAGCCGTTTCTGCCAGAGACCGGCGGATGCAAGAAGGCGAATTCCGCCGGCCCGACGAGTGGCTCAGGGCGCTCAGGTTCAATTGGAGTTGGGAAAACACCCGATGCTGCTAATTGGATTGACCCTTGCAACAGGAATTCTCTTCAGATTTCAAGGGTTGATCCCTGGGCACGGGAGAGTTGCGCATATTGAGAGAGTAAGCGGCAGCCTCTTTTAGGGGGAAGGATCTTTTTAATTTCTTGGTTTTTTCTTTTTCTTTTTCTTTTCTTCTTTCCCTTTGCCAATGGATCCATTATTTTACTACACATGCACACTCATTCTGTTGTATTATTCAGAATTAAGGCCTTCCTGTCAGTCTTTGTTAATTTAAATTTCTTTTTTTACTTTCTCCCCAGATCAAGGCTGAGACCACCAAAAAGGTTAAAATCAAACAAGATAAAATTAAAAAAATAATAATAATCCTCATATAACCGTTGCTGATTGCCGAATAAGTCGCGCGTTCAAAGCATGGATCGGGGGGATCTCATTGGAACGCTCCGTAGACATGACCCGGAGGGGACAATAAATTGTTGATCATTGAAGGTTCCTGGCGACTTCGACCCGATAAGAATAGAAATAGCGAGTCTGACTGCATTCGCACAGACGAGGGCATCGAGCCGGATCCTTGGAACGGCGGTGGTCTAGAAAGGCCGCAACGCTAGCAGCATTCCCGACGAAGGAGATTCGAATGCGATTTTCCAACCAAAGGCTCCACTCCAGTTGCCTCGCTCACTTTCGCCGCCTCTCCCAATTCACAGTTGTCTGAGTCTCTGAGTCTCTGACTGGCGGTCCTGCGGAGTCTGGGGGAAATTATTTGCCTTACCGGCCGAGTGCTGATGAATTAATTACCTTAAGGAATGTTCCTGGTTAGAGGTCGCGGCTTCTAGAATGTATCAGCTGTCTGTTGGAAGGGGTTCCCAGTTGGGCTGAGGTCCATTGTGGTTTGTGACAAGGAGGAATGTCCGTTCCTGATGCAATATCAATAATAATGAAATTGCCGACGCCTCTTGCATTCGAGGATCGCGGAGACTCAATAATTTATTATTCTTAAAACGCAAATCAATGAATGAGAGGCGGTGTACGGGATGAATCACTCTGCATTGACCAGTGACAGTATTACACGAATAATGACGGCAGTGGGACCGCTCGGGTGACATCACTGCTGCTGCACACGCTGTACGGGGAGCAGAGAGCGGTACATCATGAAGAGATGGGAGATGACTCGCGAGTCCAACCATGTAGACGAGGGGACCCATGGCGAAAGATTACCCGACGTTCGCAATTAAGCTTAAGCCAAATAGGATGACGGTCTGAGAGGAATATGAGTTGGCACGGTCTAGTTGGGATTAGACTGGACACTTGTACATCCTTCGTACTACTCCGTACTGCGGTATCCCATGCAGCCGCCGCCTGCTATTCTGGATATACTATGTCAGTAGGGGTCAGACTGTGAGCATATTAATTCAAACCGTGACCTACGAGTCTTGCGGATCAGGAGGCAGCGAGCTTCATCTCAATTCTTCCAGAGGCATACGAGTCTACGATTTCATGCACACCGACATGGGATCACTGGGCACCAACCCTCGTTCTGCCGTCTCCCTTACCTGTGACATTCCAGAGGTCCACGATCGTGGGAATCGGTCAGGCTATGGTCTACTTGTTAGTCCCTTGGCATGCGCAAGAGGAGTACTGTAGACTTTCATGAGACACTTCACTCACAATGACCCTGGCGTTGGAACACTGGGTTTGAATTCCGATGGAGGTTCATTCTTGACAGGGGAATGGGAGCAGGGCTTGTCAGTACCGTGGACCGACTTCTTCTACGGCATTCATTTCCCAGAGTCTCGTTTGGTTGCGCCGTTGCAATGCGATTGGGTTGTGCGGCCTGCGGCGTCCTGTGTGATGAACCTGGGCGCGTGAGCCCCTCTGTTGAAGCAAGTGGTTCTCTTTTTCTCCCTTTTCTTTTCTGGAAGATTGTCATCTTCAATCGGAATGACCTCCCGCTGAACGACCGCGTGAGGATTCTTGGGGACGTCAGTGCAAGTCGAGGAATGTGTGGGGCGGGCGAGTTGGTTCCGTGGATCCAGGAAGTCAGAAGGCATTCGAAACAACGACTCCCGAAGTCCAATTCAGTTGACGAGGGCCAATGATGTCAACACTTCATGGCCGAAAGGATCGTTGATGGATTAATGTCCATCGACTGTATGAAATGGAATGGAATTCTACGGGCGACAGATGTTGTTAATTGTTATCCATCGACTGCAGACTGCGGGTGCTCTCCGGCCGCTAAAAACAAGATCCCAGCAGGATCGCCCCCCGAGAGACGATCGGCCTGACGAACAGACCGAGCGATCTTCTTCGACGGAGTATACATCGTGTATGGACTACGGAGTACATGGTGTATAGAGCGTTAGAAGATAGTTGGATGATTTCTGTTATTATTTTCTTTTTTCTTAAAATCTCTTTCTTTATTTTTTTTAACTTTTTTACCTGTTTTTTTTTTTTTTTTTTTTTTTTTTTTTTTTTTTTTTTCTTTATCCAGTTCGGCGATTTTCCGCATCCATTATTCTCTTTCTTCCCTCGATTCTTTCAACGCTGCGCCTTTTAAGATTTGGTGCCAAAAACTTCCATCCTCCACCAGATCGACTAGACTTGGTCGAGACTTTCTCTTGTTTACTCGTCAACTTTTCTGGTCCGCCGAATCAGTTGGCCGGTGATTAATCCCTTTTCCTTCTTTGTCCCTTTTATGTCTTTAAGAAAATTTCTTTTTTTTTCGTCTCTTTTGCCATGCCCACCGGGACCAGTAACCAGTAACCAGCAGACCGAGTACCAGGGACCACTCACTGACCACCGTCCACTTCTACTCCCCCCCCTTATTGTTCCTCGGCCCCTCTTTTTCCGCATCCACCGGTTCCGTAGGACTGTCAATGTTCGAGATCAATCATCAGCGAACTTGATTCTGCAGGCAATAATCAGGGGAGTGGGAATACTTCGGGAAAGATGAAAGAATGATCAGGATGACGGACGGAGTACTACACCGTTACTAGGAGTTATGAGGTTATGAATCTCTGACGGAGGACCTCCCCCTAACCACGCTAAAAATAAAAATAAAATAAAAATTAATGTCGACGAAATGGACGAATTTCCTAATAAAAAATAAATCAAATAAACAGGGCTGTGGTTGTTGGCCCACCTGCAGCCCTTCCCAATTGATGGGACCACAGGATCGCTGTTCGGTCGTCATCGACGATTCTATTTGATGGGTATCAGAAATTATTATTCTGGTGAGTAGGGATTATTTGGATATTAGCAACTAGCAACTAGCAACACCTACCCTGGTCCTTGCCCCCCTCCCCCCCCCCCCGTCCTTTTCTTCCTTAATCTCCATGGCAGCTTGACTTCCTACTGGCTCTGCCACTTTGACCTCAACCGACCCCTCTCGGCCCGCTTGTGACTGTAACAACTTTTGGCCTGCCTCTCCTTCCTCTCCACATCGTCTTCTTCCCCCTGCTTCCTAGACGCCGTGCAAACGTCGCTGTCCCGCCCGTCTCACCACCCTTGCCCTTCTCTTTACTTTTCTTTTCTTTTCCTTTCCTTTTACCTTTCGGTCTCTCTTTCTCGTTCCTTCTATCTATTATTGCTACAACTCCGTGCCGTTTTCTATTATTATCACTTCCTGCTACTTCCTTCATCCCAAGTACCTTTCCTTCCCCCGTCCGCGTCAAATAACCCGCCATCGAGTACAGTAGTTGATTCTGGGGTTTCCGAAGCACAGACCCAGGATTGCTCCGCTGATTTGGTGGTCTCATCTTGTCTCAATCATGACCCCCTACTGGGGTAGTGCTACCCGGTGATGATTGCTTTGTAGTTCAGGCCGGTCCATCTGCAACCTCATATGTGGCCTACCAGGTGTGAACAACGCATCGCGAGACTTAGTTCCCTCTGCCAGGAAGCATTGCCGCCAACCAACCCGTTGGGAGAAAATCAAGGGTGATAATTAAGAGAAACGGAAAAAAAAAAAAAGGAAAAGAGAAAAAGGAAAAAAAAAAAAAAGTTCTCCTCCTTCTCGCCTCCCAGGTCGGAGCACAAATTTCCTCTTGACTACCTGCTTGAAGAATGCAAGATGTCCGGCAGCGATGTCGAGCACGTTTCTTGCTTTCTCAACGGCAACCCTCATCAGCCCCGACACCAATCCTCCCCAACTCCTGACGACGAATACTTTTACGACGTTCCAACACATACCGTATCGCTTATCGCGCCGGCTTCACCTCCCGTTCCTTCCCTAGCGAGTACCACCACATACACTGAGCAGCCGCGTCTCACAAGCTCTCAAGCCTTCCGCATACCTGCCGACCTATCCTCGAACGACTACCCCGAAAGTTGCGGTCGAGATTCCCCCGACCCTGACGACTTTTATCGCCCGCATCAGTCTTCATTGGCTACGGAAGATGGTGTTGGCGCTGACCCGGACGCTACCTTGATGGTCGGAGTCAAGAATAACGACGCCGCACAGAAACGTCCCCCTCTTTCCCAGCGTATCTATTCCTTACCAACGCACCCGCCAAACCTGACATCTGCAAGTCGAGAACCATACCGTTCAACGTCGAACTCGTCTTATCGTGGGGTCGGATTGAATGCTACCAAGGGTCCTTCGGTGAGGCCGTCAACCGCGAGGTCAAGACAGACCTCTTTCAAAGATCTGATAAACAAGTTCAACAACAACGTCGATCAAGTCTTGCCCGTTCCAACTGCATCGACACCGATATCCCGTGAGCCCTCGAGGGCCACCAGCCCAGCCAGTCCGGTGGATCCGTCCTTCCGACCCAAACCGTTATCCTATCGACGTGATACCTTCGACTCCATACCAAATACGAACGAGCTCCCTCGACTAAACTCGCCGTTGGCGTCGGGTCAAGCTTCCTCCGAGCTCATTCCCCCTCCATTGAGGAAATATCCCGAAGGCCCTTCATTGACGCCCTTGCAGCCGACGGAGTCGCAGCCTCGGCGGCCTGTATTTGGTGAGCTGCTCTCAGTTGACACGGGCTTCCGGGATTCGGGATATGGACAACCGTCGCCTTTGCGACGACGAGGTTCTGAAGGGAGCGTTCCGAGTCCAACCCCCGCACTCCTCGACCAACTCGAGCCGCCATTCAGCTTCTCGCCACTGACCCCGACTGCGTGGTATTTGGGAAAGACGCCATTTCTTGAGGCCGTGAACAACGGTGCTAATCCGAATAGTCACCGAAGGGTCAGGAGCGATATCTCTGGAAACTGGCTCGGGAGTGCGCCCGCGCCCCCTTCTGAATCCCACATGGCGGTCTCGGGGCCCTTGCAGCCACACTCTGAACTCCCGTTGGAAAGCCCACATTCCAAATCCCGCATTCCTATCTCGTCTCGCCGCCTTAATTCCGCGTCGGGTTCGGAAGCTTCCTCGCCCACCGCCAGTCCAACAACTTTCGGCAACCGGTCTGCCGCGCAAATTCCGCTGCCCCCGAAAGGTGTTAGCCGTCTTCCCAAACCGGCGCTTAAATCCGCCCGTGACATTCCCGACGACGGTCAGGCAGCGTTTGCATTGTCACCACGTGCCAGGAGGGAAACGGCCCATGGTCGGTCGCGTCACCATCCCGCAAAAGGCGCTCTTCTGGAGGCATACATAGCTGCTCCCCCCCCGAAGAAATCGCCACAGTTACGTAGTTCACGACCCCGTCAGCCCGTGTCGCATGCGCCTCCCACGCCACGATCGAAGGTAGTGGAAACCGTGTCAAACTTCCAAAGCCAAATAAATCGCGACCGTGATTCGCGAAACTTACGACAACGGAGGCTGCCGGAGCTGGGAAATGTGGATTTCGCGACTCGACGACACCGAATTCAGCAGGCTTTTAACCGCACGGTTCAGGAGAATGAGCAGAAGGAGGAGAGGGCTGCCGAACTTCGACGCCAAGATAAATCCCAGGACGACCGGGAAGAGCGCCCACGGACTCCTACTTCGACATCGTTTCTACATGAGGAACCGCAACCATCCCCACAACCTGATGACACTGCGACCGTGATAGATGAATCGACGGAGACTTGTCATGAGGAAGAGCATCCGATACCTGAAACGGGGCCAGCGCGAGCGACCCCTCAACTCCATGTTGATACCGATGTTGGCGTGCAGGAGAACAAAGGCGATAGAATTGAAGCTCATCCGGTGACGATGGATTCCCCAACATTGGGACATGCGATCATCTTAAGGAACGAACAAGATGCCGATCCCAAACTTTCCGGCCTGCCGGCCTCCGCTGTCACGTCGACATCAGATGATACGCACGTTACTGCTTTCGACCCGGAGCCTCAGCCGGAGCTTTCTCGACAGAATCTTCACACCTCTCACAGAACGCTTTTGAGTCAGATCATGCAGACCCGCGAGTCCAGTCCCAGTAGCTCCTCGTGCGACGAACCGGATCTTAGCTTTTCTGACAACGATGATAAGGAGTCCATACCCATTATGTTGCGAGATGCCTTGGGTCTAGAAGACTCGATGGACAGCAGCGATAATCAAGGGTCTTGTGACCTTTATATGAAGCAAGGCCCCACCGCCAGCGAGCCACCAAACCGGTGGAGCTTGAGTTCGTGGTCATCCTCTCTCCAAAACCAACATTCCACAGATGATCAATGTGAGGGCAGTGGAGATGACCTCTCCCACGCTCAACACTCGGCCGATGATTGCGAAATAGCCACGACTCAGTCGTGTTCTGCCGCCTCCAGCACGCCCGCTTCTGTAGCGGGGGACCATCAACTCCCACAATCTTCATCATCATCATCGAACCTGATCAACAACACGGCCCCTCAAATGAATCTTGGAGGCACACCAACCCGAAACGCTTATAGGTATTCCAATGCGCCGAGTCTAGCAAGACTGGGTGGCTGGGACTCAAGACGGGTCACTCAGCTCTATTTCGAAGAACTCGCGCGTGGCAGAGGCCATAATCTTCCCATGCCAGCAGTCCGTTCTACCCCAGAACCTAGGCAGGCAGATATACCCAAGTCAGATAACAAGGGTGAAAGCTTAGCGGATGATGCGGTCGTGGTATCCCGACCCGAGAACTTATCATCAGAACGCATGGGCCACAGTGCGAGCCTGGTTTTGCGGGACGATTGGGAGCATGCATCGCCGTCGATCATGGATTGGATGCAGATCGCTGCCCATAATGAGGCTGCCGCGACGAACCAGATAGACGAGAATACCAAATATGAAGGTGATCCGACCCCTCGCATTGTAACCCCCACCGTCCAAGGGCCCCGTCCTGAGGATGGCACCGATGAAGGTCTTGGTCTGGCCATCGACGTTCAATCGCCTTTGGAACGCGATTCCAGCCAAACAAGTCCTCCTGCACCACAACATGAACCTCCTCTGCCGCCTTCATCTGTGGATGCAAACGAAGACGGCACTGTATCCCAGCAGGCTTCCACTTTCTTGCCCGGGGTGATTTCCGCCAAGCCTTCTTTGAGTACTTTTGCGAGTGGCGCTTTCGCCCCACTGGGTCCGGTCCAAAGCAGCGGTAGCAGCGGCGACTCATCTCTTCGGCGCGTTGATCGTCCCCATTCTCCCCATGCTCTGGATTCGTCGGCGACATCTTTGGTTCCTTCTACTTCAGAACCGCCTCGTACAGATAATGCATCCCCGTCCCCGGACCAACGACGTCTCAAGAAACGAAAACACGTCATCAAGGAGCTTGTCGACACTGAATATACATTCGGAAGGGACATGAAGGTTGTGGACGATATCTACAAAGGAACTTCGAGTTCGTGCCTGGACCTCTCATCTGAAGATGTTAAAATTCTTTTCGCAAATTCCGACCAAGTTGTGCAATTTTCCCAGGGTTTCCAAGATGCGCTGAAGGAAGCCGCTAAGAGTGTCTACATCATGCCCAAGTCCCAACGGTGGAGCAGCAAACGCAATCGCAACCACCATGTTCCCCAAACGGACGCCGATACCCCGACTGGAACTGGAATATCAGAGCTGGAGAAAGATAATGCTACCTTTATTGGCCGGGCATTCGTGACCAACATGACCCACATGGAGAAGGTCTACGCGGATTACCTGAGAAACCATGATGCCGCCAATAAGAAGCTCCAAGCTCTGCAGCGGAATCCTAAGGTGGCTATCTGGCTCAAGGAATGCCGGGACTGGGCATCAGATCTCACTACGGCGTGGGATTTAGATTCGCTACTTGTTAAACCAGTGCAGCGGATCTTGAAATATCCTCTCCTATTGAGTGAGCTCCTTGACTCAACACCCAGTGATCATCCAGATCGTGCTTCACTTGGAACCGCCCTGGAGGAGGTTACTAGTATATCTGTCCGTATCAACGAGATGAAGAAGCGCGCAGATCTGGTTGGTCAGGTAGTTGCCCGAAAACGGAAAGATTCTGATGTCAGGACGGGCCTCTCGAAAGCCTTTGGGCGCCGCACGGAGAAGTTGAGACAGCAGGTGGGCCTTTCTGACATGGTCGAAGACAAAGAATACGACAATCTTGCCCAGAGGTTTGGGGACAACTTTTTCCAGTTGCAAGTCGTCATGCGAGATGCCGAGATGTATACACGCGAGGCCCAAGGATCGATTGACTGTCTCAACGAGTTCGCGGTAGCAATTGAGAGTTTTATCGACGTGTCCCAAACCAACTACTCTGAGCTTGAGGGAAAATGGCGTGAGCTGAAAGTCTGTGTTGAAGAGATCGTGACGATTGCGCTCCCGGAACATGTAAGTAGCAAAGGACTACATCAGCTCTCTGATTGTGTTCTGAAGATAAGTTTGCTGACTCGAGATCTTTAGCTTGCCATTGTCCGAAAGAGTGTCATTGAGCCCATGGTCACCTTGTTGAAATTGCACGATGGGCCGCAAAGGGTTATGAGGAAACGCGACAAGCGCCTGATGGATTATGCTCGATTCAAAAGCACCAAGGAGCGAGGGGATAAGCCCGACAAAAAGACTACGGAACAAGGGGAGCAATTTGTTGCTCTCAACGAAACACTCAAGGACGAGCTCCCGAAACTATACTCCCTCACCGCAAAATTGATGGAAGCCTGCCTGCAGAATTTTGTCCAGATACAAACCACTTGGTTCAATCGTCTGCAGGAAAAGCTCACTCCCCTTGTGGACGCATTCCCGGAAGATATGCCCAAACTCGTGGACGACTGGTCTGCAGCATTCAATTTCTCCGAGGCACAGGTGTTATCACTGGGTGTTTGCAATGGATCGCTGCTCGCTGATGCGGTCAATCTCGTCAATTTCAATACCCCTTCGACTGGGGCCACGATTAGCTCCCCGCGACGCCCATCCACTGTGAACAGCTCTAGTACCCGTGTCGGATCTACTATGGAGGAGACATCACCTAAGGCCTCTTATGATTTCGGCAGTGGGATACATCCTTTTCAGTCTCCGAGCATCGACAGTCAATCGCAGCTATCTCACGGACGCCTGAGAGCTGATTCATCCTATTCCGGTCGCGCTGCTCCGGAGGTACCGGAGATTCCTCGAAGTCAAATACTGCAACAAATCACGAGCGCATCGTCCGGCTCCGCACCTCCTCCCTCTGTCTCTCAGACTGAGTCATTTCCGAGTCTTCCTAGACTAAGTCTCGATTCTCCGTTCCTTGCCGATGTCATAGGCCCCTCGACTAGTTCCACCAAGCTAGATGAAGACCAGCCAACCTCTCCTGCCGGTCGGTACTCGGGCTTTTTCTCGTCAGCAATGCCCATGTCGGACAATCCCCAAGACGAAAGTGCCCCTCCTACCGAAGCCAGTGCTTCCAAAGAACCGACGGTGCTATTCCTCGCGGCCAGTATCTACGAGTTCAATATTGACCGAGCGCGCCGGGAAGCTGGATATCCGTACCTCACCTACGTTGCCGGGGAAATATTCGATGTCATCGCCGAGAAGGGTGAATTGTGGCTGGCCAAAAACCAGGACGATTCTACTCATCAGGTTGGCTGGATCTGGAACAAACATTTCGCCAAGCTTTCCAGCTAATGTCTACGATGCTACGATGCTCGCGTTACATGTTTTCATATCATTGTACATGTTCCGTTTCGATTTTTTGTGTTCGGTTGATTGGCTCTTTGGTGAGCCCCATTTAAGAAGTCAATCAAAACCGAAATTTTCTCATTTGTTTTGTCATCTGGCAAACAACACTCCCTGACTTGGGCCTTTTACTCCTGGCCTTTGTCTTCCTTTTTTTGTTCTTTGTCTTCTTTTTCTTTACCGGTCTTTCTTTGTGCCTTTGATACCCAGCGTGATACTAGCCTAGCCCTCTATGGCTTTCTCCTCTTACCGAGGCGTTTACTTCGATATGCTCTCCTTTGAATAGCTTGCCCCTCTTCTCTTCTATTCCATCCGCCTTCATCTTCCGGTTACTTGTCCAAAATCATTTGGGGAGTCTTTGTCAGGGCATTGAAGAATTGTGCAAAATGTGTCTAGCGTGGAATTATCTATCTCTCTGGCATTTGTGGAAGGAGAAGAAGTGTGGATATATGTAATTTAGATACCCATTGAGTCAAATCATGACATCTATTAATGCAGCAGAAACGAATTGCATCCAGTGAATCCACCGTACAGTCTGGAGTAGTACTCCGTAGTCCAAAAACAAAAAACCATCGGGCGGCCGAGACGCGTCACGTGCCCGCGCCACCAGTGACGTCTGCGCGGTGGAAGGGGCTGCTTCTCTTGAAACTCGAAAGCAAAAGCGCACTCCTGCTCTCCTTGCTTGAGTTCGCTTGTCATCATCCATCAGTGCTGGCTTTGGCTTCCCTCTTTCACCCCCCACCTCATTCCACCGAGCGTGCCTCGACCGCAATTCAATCCGCTCCGACTCACTTCCGATCTCTTTTCCCTCCCTTCCCCTCCTTTCCAATCGCCTTCCGCCAGCGAGAGTCCACCGAGGACCGCAATCATTGCTCCATCCTTCCATATCTTTATCCTTTTATCCTGGACACCGCTGAAATCGCTCTATCTTTCGTATGTCTTACGGTTCTACGCACGACCCATCTACTTTTCGTACTAGCGCGGCCCTTTGATTCTGTCTAGGCAGACCCATTCTTAACCGTCACTGGCTGTTCGGTTCTCCCCCGCGGAGGATTCTCAAGTCAACAACCAGGCTACGATTCAGAAAATGCGTGACGGTGGGTTGGGAAAACTTCAGAAGAGGATGAGGCGGTTCGGTGACACGGTAGGCTCAGTCGTTTGGTCCCGATGACTTTCGTTGTCGCTCTGCTCTGGCCGTTCCGAATTCCCCCCAGACGCTAACCGCTCTCAGTTGAACCCCGAAGATGCCTATCTCAGCTGTTAGTGTGATAATCTACTTCCCCGTCTGATCCAGTAGTTAGTTTGCAGCGACAGATTGAAAAAAACAAAAGGACACAAGAAATGAGGTCTGACTAGGTCGGGAGCGTACAGATCATGATGTTCGACGTACGTTTTTTTTGTGACACCCTGTGCAACTTTGAATGACCCAGGGGAAAGAAAGAAAAACCTGACTCTTTTTCTTGCTTGTAGTGACCAGAGAGGATATGCAATCACTCAAAAATGACTGGCTCACCGATAATGTGTGTTTGATCACAGTTGCTGTAGGATGGGACTCCCCCAAGCTAACCTGGTGCAGGTTATCTCCTTCTGGGAGGAGTAAGTCGGCTGTTTTGACTCCCATTGGTCTCTCGCCCATTGCGAAACTGATCTCCCCAGATACCTAGAGCATGAGTTCCTTGTACAGTTTAAAACATCCAACATTGTACTCCTGCGACCCAGCATGTCCTTCATGATCCTCCAAACACCCAACCCGATATCATTACGCGAGGCACTACCGGACTTCTCGCGCACAACGCATGTCTTCCTCCCTATAAACGACTGTCGTAACGTCACCGAAGCCGAGGGCGGGACCCATTGGTCATTACTTCTGATCTCCATCGTGGACGGGATCGCGTTCCACTATGACTCCCTCCCTCCCGGGAATTTCTGGGAGGCCCGCGCAGTGACGGCCAAGTTCGGGACGTTACTCGGCCGACCCATTCGGTTCATTCATCTGGAGGATTCTCCGGTTCAGGAGAATGGCAGTGACTGCGGCGTCTTTGTTTGCTTGAACATGCGCCATCTGCTGCTGAAACGACTCTTGACGGCCAACGCCAGCGAGAAGATCAGTATGAGTCTTGGCGGGAGGAAAGTTGACGCTCGTTCGGGGAGGAAGGAAATCGCCAAGATCATCGATGGATTCAGAAAGGAAGGCGAGCGGCGCCGATCGTACGTTCTGCTCTCCCCCCCCCCCCCCCCCCTCTCTTTTCCTCGTCTTTACGCCGTCATGTCATAAGGTTAACCGTCTTGATATCTCAAGCGCTAGTCTAAGTCCATTGGGCAAGAAATCGAAGAGTCCACCGAGAATTGACTGATGGAACTGGAACATACGACTCCGACCACGAGCCGGTCGATCAATATAGCATAGCAAAGCATAGCATAACATGGGCTTGTCTGGTGCATGCACAGAAAGAAGGCGGACAAGACTAATGGGATATGAACAATGACAGGATATGAAATTACAGTCTGGAACCTGATGATACATTCCTCCCTCTTTTCTTTTTGGCTTCTCTTTTCTTATACCTTTTGTTCTTTTCGAGGGAGCATTTGAAAGACCAAAAAAACTTTCTTTTCGTGGTTGGATCCGTACATCATCCATCGTCGAGGATCGAGATGAGTCAGTGAGTGTTTGCTTTTTATATATCAGATTCTTTATGGTTTCAGTAACTCGTACACGACACAAACCTTGCATTTAGCAGTGATAATCCCATCGTCTTATTAATACCTAGATTCAATACTTCACAGGGTCCTTCCTACCTTGGGCATTTGTACATAATTTTCCAATGTACCAGTGAGTATTCAAGGACGTTCCCAGTAATAATATATCCACAGAATGGGATGAAAGGGATATCAGATACAGCCGACGAACATGTAGTGTGGAGTATAGATGTAGTTGACATATGCAGCTAAACCTTAGTTAACTTACTTACTCCGTCCTTCCATCATTTATGATTCAGTTGCCATACCATACCATGGTATACCTTGCGTATTGATAGCTCTGCCGTTTCTTCTGGTCTGGAAGTGATTCATTGAATAGTGAGTTAGTTAGTCGAGTTGTTTTTGGATTCGGGCTTTGTATGGAATGGATGGGTGGATTTTGAACGCTTCGAAGGCCATTGATGTGTGTGTGTGTGTGTGTTAGGGCTGTATACAGATTTGACTGATCTCATCTATCTTGTGACTGTGATTTTTGGACTACGGATACCTAGCATGAATGATTGTGTAGTTGGTGTTATTATTATTATTTGGTTCTAGGTCGTAAGGTTAAGATGGGAACAACGGACCGTGCCGCGTAGGTGAGACAGTCCTACCTGTCTACCTAATCACTCATCATAAATGGTTTCAGAGTTTGGATCTGCAGCTAACGGCATATATAATAGCATATAGTTAGGTTGGAGAGATCAGTTCGAAGTTGAGGTTGGAAAGGTAGAGGAAAATTCTTGGTTGGCCAACTTGTATACATTCGATGGTTTACTTATTTTTTTCTTGGCAGCGCCCGTCAACACTGGATGACGATACGATCATCCTCACTGGCACAGCACAGCCTGTTGCAGCAAGGGGGTTGGGCTTGATTCTGAGCTTCGTTTGTTTATTTACACCTTGGAGGGAGGGATCGTACTGGGATAGAGGTAGCAGGCTAGCGGCAAATCACGTAGTGGTCATCATCGGGTGACCAATCCTCCAAGGGAGGGAATGGATGGATAGATCCGACGTTAAGCACAGACTGGGAACGGCTGCTACCGATTGGGCCAGAAACGCCACTTCTAGCTCGGGTCGTGGCATCAGCAGCCAAGAATGCCGACATGTGCCCATGGGAGAAACAGATAGAATAGATAGGAGGTGGTAAATGTATTATGAGGAAAATGAACAAGCCCAAGCTACAGGAGGAAAGACAACATTCGTTAACGGAGAGCCCAGAGGTAGGTAAAACGAAGGAAGAACGCCCGCAAACACCGGCCAATGTAAAGAGACACAATATGCAAAAGCAGTGGTAGAGCGTGCATACTGAGCAGTTCGCGATCGAACTACCAGCGGCACGAGGTGGGACAATATCACATAAAATATACCAACACGCTCACAGCCAAAGAATCTATAAGTAGAATAACAAATCTGTGACCCGAAGATGCGCGAGAACTAAATGGTGCCAGTTGCCGGATATATCAGAGAGCAGGGGTGGAAACCGGCGGGGAGGTAACGATTTTCAGTTATCACCTTTATCGATATAAGGAATCTGAGTGAGATTGCCGTCCTTTCGAGAAAGATATCGTTTGTGTAGGGGAGGAGGGTAGAGGGAGACAGAATATGGAATCATCAAGTGGAGAGAAGTGGGAGATCTGGGAGACCGAGGCTAGCTCGAGTGCGTGGGAAAGACTAAGGTGGAGTGGGAGTCTGGCGAACTTCCGGGTGATCGGGGCGTTTCTCGCGAGTATGCGTATACATCTCGCCGGACTGCGGATAAGGCGCCGTGGAGGCCGCCGCCTGAGGGGGCGATGGTTGACTCTGTTGCTGTTGCGTGACAATCTCGCGAGCATAGAACTCGACAAGCATGGTTCCGTACGCTTCCAGTTCTTCCACAGGAATCGACAAACGGAAATCGTTCAGCAACAGAAACTGCAGCTCCAAGTGATTGAGTTCAACCAACGGAAGTCCTCCGACCTGAATGAAGGGGCATCAGTAAGGGACAAGACGAGCGCCCAAACCAGCCGGGAACACATACCTTTGCATATCGTGAATTCGTATAGAAAACGTCAGAGAAGAATTTACTGGCACAGGTCACGCCCGCGATGACCAGCCGATGAATGTTAAAGCTATCGACAACGAAGAAATGTGACAGGGGATCGTATTCCTCCTGGGGACGTAGAGAGGGGGATATGGACGAAGGAGACGTGGGGTCCTGAGCCCTCATGCCGGTCGACGACGGTGGGGTGACCATCGGCGAGGCGTGCGGCGCCGAACCGGTCAAGTCCTCCGACGACGCAGGCCGCGTCGTGACGGTGGCGGGTTCGGTTTGGATAGGATCCCTGCGACCCTGCAAGCGGTCCAATTGACCCTGATTGACCATCTCGGTCATCCGATCGAAATAGACGAGGAGACTGAGAAAAACCTCGTAGGTGGTCGGGCAGTACTTGTGAATCCGAGTGAGGTAGCTGAGGATGCTGATACTCGGGACATTCTTGCCGTGGAAGGCCAGCACGCTGGTGGCCTGGGGGCTGAGATTCGCCGTGCCGTCGGGCGGGGGGATATGGCGATGGACATGCTCGTGGTGCATGTCGTTGGTGGTGGTGATCTTGGTCAGAAGCCCAGCAACCATCTCGATGATGTCCGTGACCGGCATGGAACTAATCTCGTACTGGCGCTCCTGAGACCACTGGCCGGGAGCCTGGTCCCGTTGTGACTGGGTGAGGAACTCCTCGCTGGCGAAGCTTTGGATGTGGGACAGATCCCGCACTTTGATGCGACTGGGCGAGTTGGCCTCCGAGCCGGCCAGGGAGCGCAGGGACTGGAAGGTCGGTCTCAGCCGGGGCGAGGCCGGCGAGGCGCGAGAGTCCGGGCGCGACGCGGGGACGGCAGTCCCTCCGACATGGGGCGGCGCATGGGAGGAGGCGGAAGGAGGCATATGACTGGTGGAGGGGGGTTGAGCGTAGGTCGAACCCGGCGTGGCAGACGAGGCCCGAGTCGAAGGTACGGAGTTCGGGTGAGATGGACGACTCAGGTAGGACGGCACATCCTGCGGATGGTGGGAGGAGGGGAGGCGAGCAGAGCCCGCAGCGGACGTCGACGGCGGGGCCGTAGTCGAAGTGGGGGTGGTATTGGTCGACGCGGACCTCGAGCTGCCGGATTCCAACGCTGAAGGGGCGGCGTGGCGAGACGACGGTCGATACGCGGATTCCGAGGGAGTGACGGCGCCTCCCAGCATGGTGTAGGAGCTTTCGAGGTGATCCGACCGCGGCTGATCGAGAGCGACTGATCCCATGTCAAGTCGAGAGAGCCGATGGCGACACTAAAACCACCAATCGAGGGAGTCAAGTTAGCGACCACAACACCCGGTTTGGGAGAAGATGCGAGATGAGGGGTCATTGGACGTGATAGAATGCTCGGGCTAGAGATCTATAATGGGGTGGAGAGAAAGCGAGGGAGGGGAGGGACGGATTAAGATAGGATGAAGAGGGAACGAGAACGTAGACAAGGACGATATACGAGCGGAACCACCAGAGAGGAACAAAGGAGCGACCAGGCGCGAGGGCAGAATAGATAGGGATAAACGGTTCTAATACAGTGATAACTGGATCTAAGAGAATTACCGAAGGCAGTACAGAAAGTACGAAGCAAGTCTGGGCCTATGACGATGGCAAGTGAGGGCCAGAGCGCGCTGTTGTTCTCGGGGGTGAACCCGACCCAGACGCGAGTGGGAAGGGAATCACAGGTGAGAAGCAGCAATGGAAGGGTCCATTGCGTGGGAATTCAGTCCAGGTGGCAGATATAAGTGGAGGAGTGATAAAGTCGAAGTGAGCAGGACAGGAATAACGAAGAATTGAAAAAGAGCGAAAAGTGGAGGATGGAGAGGAGAAGAGGGAGAGAGGGAGGGAGGGAAGAGGAAGAGAAGAAGAAACGGACGAGAATCCGGAAATCTGGAAGTTTCAATCGAAGTGACCTCAGGATCCACCGCCAGTTCCCCCGTCACGTCCACTGCATCTGGTCGGGGACTAACAGAATGGACAAATATCAAATTTAATTTAAATTAAGGATGAACAAATCTAGAAAATTAAATCATGTAGGTTGTCGGTAAGGAGTTACTACTCCGTACTCTGTGCTGTACTTAGTCTGTATACCCTTCTAGATCTCCCCAGCCGGTCGATAGAGACCTCCACCTCCAACTCTACGAAGGAAAGAGAAGTTATCTGCAAGTCGAATCCAATTGTCCGGTGTGTCCATCAACGAATGACAGCAGCCCGACGGCGCAGGTGTGTCGACGGCGGCGCCATCATTGGATCTCCGACGTGCTGCACCGTCTCGGCATCCTTTCGATTCTTCCCTCCGACCTCGTTACGAAGTCCCTACCGAGTAGATTCCCTTGATACATCATCTAATTACGCGGGATGTGCGATTGTGCGATTGTGCGATTGTCATCCTCCGTCCTAGTTCGGGCAAGACCATACCGGTCCATCTCTCTCTTCTTCTCTTCCACTCTATTCAGCTTACGGTGAGGAACATCCCCCGTTCCTTTTCCACGTCGGATAAAAAGTAAAGGAAAGAAAATCACAAATCATCATTCCATATGGATGTCATCCCTACACACAAGATCCCAAATGAATCAATTGGTCACGCCAGGGCCGGCGTAGTCGATGTGCGGCAGGTAGAGATGTCTCACCGCACCCTTCGACGTCAGCACCACCAGACGAATGACACCACCCGAGCTGCCGTCCCATTTGATCGCCTCCCGCAGCGCTCCTCGCACGAAGTTGATGCCCTCTTCCTCCGTCATGTTCTCCTTCCAGTTCGCGTCGCAGTAGCCGTAGATGTAAGTCGAGCCCGACCCGCCGATCGAGTAGGACTGCTTGTGTAGCGATCCGCCCAACGGTATCGAGTACACCTGACCGCCGTGTCGGGGATCGTATCCCGCGATAATGATGCCGGCACTGCAGAAGAAAACAAAACCTCCGGGTTAGCCACAGAGTACTTCCCCCAAGCCCCCGACGAAGAAAAGGGTCCTCCTACCTCAGCATATCCTTGTTCTCGTAGCACAACTCCTGGAACAACGACGCTGCCACCTGGGTGCTGGGCGCCTCGTTGTTGACAATGGAGTACATGTTCAGGTGGTAGGAAACGATGTCCGCCACGGCCTGCGTATCGGCCGCCGACCCGGATCGGCAGCACCAGATGGTATCGTGCACCTGCGTCAGCTTATCCGTCACTCGGTTGGCGATGTAAGCTCCGGTTGTCGTTCGACTGTCGGCGCCGAGGATCACGCCGTCCTTGAAGTTGATGGCCATACTGCGTCCCGTTAATACGACCCCATTCTCCGGCTCCGCCAAGCTGGATCGACTCACATCGAGGTACCGAGGCTATACGGATGAGATGGTTAGCGGGGAATTCAATTCAGTTGAGTGCAGTGCACCCGAACAGGGACCCAGGAACCTACTTGACCTCGCCGCTCTTCAGGTGGTTCATGTCGACGTGGATGCCATCTGTAGCTTGCATGTCAGTCATCGTCCTGCTCCACCAGATCCAATTCAACGAGCTCTTCTCTGACCTTCTCCAAGCATCCCCGAGGTGCCGTGGCCGACCATTTTGACTGAGATCGAGTAGGAAGGAGGTTGGTAAAGCGAGGTGACAAAGCCGTGCTTCGCCGCGACAGATCAAGGGGAGGGAATAAGCAACGAAAGAGGAGCTGAATCCCACGTATTTGAGAAGAGGAGCAAAATGTTGTGGACGAGGGGGATGAATGAGAGCGAAGAGGATGAGAAATGGAAATGAAGGACGGAAGAGCTTCTCTGGACGGTGACGGAGCTTCTCCAGGCAGCCCAGCGCCTTACGTTGGCCAGCTTCGCCCGGGCGGTGAGTGCGTCCCTCCCCCCGCAAGAGTCTCTCTCCTGAGACGGACTTCCCGATCGCTCAGGGCGTCGCCATTGACAAGCTCCTCCGACATTGGATTTATTTTGAGCCCGGTGGAGCTCGTTTCATGGGATTTATCTGTTTCTTGTCAACCACCCCCGTCCCGCGCACATCCGACGCAGTCGAACCCCGATCGACCCCTACCACTACTCCCATCAACTATCGATCCGGACTATCTTGTCTACTATAATAATGTCCGAGTCTCCGCCGCCCCCACCGTCTTGGAGCATCGCCGGTATGGCCAACAATGCGGTCCAGTTCCTACGGTTGCCGGTGTTAGCTTCGTCCGGCCTGGCAGTGGTCGCGAGCGGTCTTTTATATTTCAAGCAGAAGTTTGTGTTACCCTGACCCCGGGCGCTGGAGTATACAATCTCCCCCCTGCTACCGGATAGGACACTGACCACGTGTGCAGCGAGTTGATCTATCCTCGCAACGTCCCTGCTGATGCACGAACCAATGTCCCCAAGCCCCGCCAGTTCGGTGTCTCCGATTACGAGGACCTCCAGATCCCCACGCCGGACGGGGAGTCGTTACATGCGCTGTTCATTCGCCCGTCGAAGAAGCGCATTACCCGGAACATCACCGTCTTGATGTTCCATGGGAATGCAGGCAACATCGGACACCGGGTTCCCATTGCCAGAGTTCTACAAGACGTCCTGGGATGCAATGTGTTGATGCTGGAATACCGAGGCTACGGGCTGTCGACTGGCGTGCCAGACGAGGCTGGGTTAAAGATCGATGCACAGACGGGCCTGGATTACATCCGACAGCGAGCCGAGACTAGCGATTCCGACATTGTTGTCTACGGCCAAAGTCTGGGCGGTGCCGTGGCGATCAATTTGGTCGCTGAGAATCAAGATGCCGGCGATATCAAGGGGTTGATTCTGGAGAACACGTTCTTGAGTATTCGCAAGCTGATCCCTACGTATGTGCTGCCGATCGTGGTGTGTTTTTCTCTTGCGCCGTATATACTGACACCCCTATCAAGGGTTTTCCCTCCCGCCCGTTACCTCGCTCGTTTCTGTCACCAGTATTGGACCAGTGAAGAGATCTTACCCAAGATTACCAAGGTCCCTATACTCTTTTTGAGCGGATTGAAGGATGAAATCGTGCCGTAAGTAATATTCTATGGGGTCCTGTCATAAGCGGCTCATGATCGAGCACAAAACTAAAATACGGAATATACTAGACCCTCGAACATGACGCAACTATTCGCCATTTGCACCGCGAGCCGCAAAGTCTGGCGCACTCTTCCGAACGGCGGACATAACGACAGTGTGGCTGAACCAGGCTATTTCGAACATATCCACTCCTTTGTCATGGAAGAAGTCGTCGGTGATTCTTCGTAGATTATCGGCCATAGAAACCTTACGTGCTACTCAATGTGTTCTAAAGCGCATCAGTGGAAACGTTAAAGGACCTCGCAGTGGCTTCTTGCTTCCGTTTTGATCACCTCCACCGCCCCTTCAGCATAGGACGCCGTTCTCGCATGACTAGGCGCAAGAAGGTCCACCGCATCTACGATACACCTACAACTGTTCGGCGTGAGAACTTGGACTCGGACCCCGTGATATGACTAGGCCAACCACCGTTGCTGACCACATTTTCTTTTCTCTCACACTTTTCTCGTTGTCGTTTTCATACCCCTTTGCTTTCCCCTTTGCTTTCTGCTATTTCCAACCCATCTGCACTTCCCCACTGCTCATCCATATACCTTCCTCTATACTTCGGGTAGACAGAATTCCCACCCTGGCTCATCTTTGAGTTCTCAGTCTCATTTACTGTATCTATAACGGCTTCCCGTACTCGGCGAGTGACTCATTAATGACCCTTCTACACCCCCCTTCCCATATTTGTGATTTGTGATGACGTCTTCGTCTTTCTTTTCTTTTCTTTTCTGTTTTCTTATTTTCTGCGTGGACTTTCAAACAGGCGCTGTTCATGGCTTGGTTATTGGCTGGCGTAAAGCGGATATCTTCCGACTGTTTCTATGAGCTGAATTGAATCGAATGCCTCATCTAGGATTATTTGTCGAGTCCCGGAGAGTTCGTAGGTTGGTTTAGAGAGAGAGGGAGAGAAGTACTGTAAGTCATCATTTAATTTCTATATATTGGTATATAACAAAAAGTCTAAACTTGTCGAACATTTCATCTGAAATCACGCACAAGCGATGGTAGCACAGGATAAACCGGGAGAAGATGACAAATTAGAGCTTCTCCGCCTCTTCTAGCAGATGCTCGATCTTGAAGTTCTGCGCATCGCCCTTAGTGAACATGCGCAGCAGCTCGCCCTTCCGGCCATGAGCCTGGCCCCCGAAGTCATAGAACCGCTGCACGCAGCTGGCCAAGAAGGTTGCCTCGGTGGTGGAGATGCCGGAGTCGGGCATGACCTGGCCCAGCATGAGCACGATGCCCTTTTCATCCGCCAGGTCGAGGTGGTGCGTGATGGTGGTATGGGGCTGGGCGTAGGAGCCGTGCGTCTGGAAGGCGGCGAGATGGGTGAAGATGATGGTGGAGGTATGCGAGCTGGCGAGGGGGCCGGCAGGGACGGGCGACGAGGCGGCCGTCGCGGGCGGGTGGAATCCCCATTGCAAGAAATGGATGTCGGCGCCGGCGCCGTCGTTGCCGGAGCTGTTGGCCTCGTCGCGGATCTCTTGCGACTGGGACTCGCTCTGCTTGCGCGGCAGGGGCAGCACGAACTGTGGGTTCTGGCGCGCGGCTTCTGCGATCCGCTGGTAGGTTTCGACGGGGATGCAGGCGCAGATGGAGTGTGGGTTGTTGGCGTGGCGGAGGCGCCAGATGGCTTCGATCTCCTTGGCCGGGAGCGCTAGGGTCTTCTCCAGATCGATGTAGGAGCCGAGGGGCTTGATGCCGGATTTGGAGGCCTCGGTGGCGGCCTTGGCCTGTTCCTGAGCTGGAGAGGGCGGCGGCGTAGGGGAGTTGGACGGAGAGGGAGAGGGAGAAGGAGTAGCTTCGGGGGTGAGGGGAGTGCTGGCTTTGCGACGGAGGTCATCAATCTTGTCCTTGTAGGCGTCTTTCAGGGTATCGACGTCCTGGTGACCTTCTCTGTGGGTTCTTGGTAAGCGGTCTGTCCGAGAATATGCGGGGATAGTATCAATCCGAGTCGTTGCACACTCACGCCTTCGCTTTCTGGTCCAGCTTGTTGCGGTATCGATCCATCACCTGGTTGGGATTATAATGTGTGGCAAGGAAGCGCACATCGTGCACTTGAGCCCAACGTCTTTGCTTGGGCCAGATGAAGTAATTGCGAGTCCGGAGGAAGGACTGAAAGGCGGATGACCTGAGATTCGCCATGTTGTAAGTGGTGGGTTGCGGAGAAAACGGAGGTGAAGAACAAGAAAGGCGGAACGCTTTGATAGTTGGGATTCACGGCTTTACTGGCTTATGTAAGCACTCTATGGAGCTTGGCCGCCCTGCACCGATAACTATATCGTGCTAGATATTGTATATTACGATATATATGAAAGACAATTGGTGTATTTAAGAATAAGAAGCATTACTGTTAGTCAAAACTGGCTGCCTGGCACACCATCTGTTGGTGGGCTGTCCCAAGTAAGATATGCCTGCACTTCATTGCTAATTATGCGGTAAAGTATATATACTCTTCAACTCCACCACGAGTGTATTAAGGAGATTAAAGGGTGATATGGATAGCGGTAGATATATTGGGACAGTAAGAACACCTGCGCCTAAATTTGCGATCTCGAAACCCTAAAAAGCTGGAAATCGAGCCTTCGGGCCTTCGCAGTGAGCGAATGCGCTGAGCATAGCTGACTAAACGCGGCCGCATGTTTCATCCACGTGGATCTCAAGCAACAAAGGATGTCGCGAGACTCGCGACGCAAGGAGGGTTCTACCTTCTGGTTCGGCACGATTCCGCGAACTCCCTATTGAGGGCCTTGTATCTAATTCTGTCCCCCTATCTAATTCTATAGTCAATATCCTGCACTGTCTTATATTTAATATCGGTCGCTGAGCGACCCTGCCACACCTGCACTTGTCCTTCATTGACGACCTAGCGTTCCCCTCTACCCTCCTATCTATCCCCTCTCGCCATGGCGAATCGCCAGATTGCTCGACGTATATTCATAGGCGCTGTGGTCGCAATCATTCTCCTTTGCTTCTTCCTCATTCGACCACAAGACTTGTCGAACGCCGCTATCCGCACGCCCAGCCAATTCACGAATTCGGAGCCGGGTCCCGACCCGGCCGCATTGACCAAGGACGATGTGACCAAGGGCGACGTGGTGATGCCAAAGCTGGGCAATGAGACGGCAAAGTAGGTTACAATCTGCCACAATGCCATGAGTGATGCGCCCGGATCTAAGCAGGACTGATCATTCTGGGTCAATCTAGGGCCGAACTCGGACGTGCGACTTGGAAGTACTTCCATACGATGCTGGCGCGATATCCAGAAGAACCCACAACCGAACAGCAGGAAACCTTGCGATCGTTCATTTACCTCTTCGCGCGACTTTACCCTTGGTACCTTTGCACCTGAACACCGCAGCCGAATGACCACATACTTCGGAAGATGGCTAACTTCCCCGGCACAGTGGCGAATGCGCCTCGCATTTCCAAGGACACCTCACCAAATATCCCCCACAAGTATCGTCCCGGAATATAGCGTCGGGCTGGGGCTGCTTTATACACAATGAAGTGAACGCAATGCTCAAGAAGCCCGAGTTCGACTGTAACAAGATCGGCGACTTTTACGACTGTGGATGCGCGGATGATGAGAAGGCAGACGACAAGAAACAAGAACTCCAGAGTCGGAATTCGGAAGCCTCCTCGGTACAGACCGACGGGAATGGAATGGTGTGATCCCAATCATCTCATCCATGAAGAAATCGCAGGACTCGTGAGTTACTCTTCCCTCCCCCTTGCGTCCCCCGCACTTCGCTATCTGCTAAACTCTTGTACGAGAGCAAGCCGGAAACCCACTAACCACAAGGATTTTGATAGAAACACGCGGAATTGATTAGCTTTTAGTCTCCCCTCCTTCATTGTCTGGTTTTGATCCGTGCACGGTATCTTGGTCTAGCCGACCTACACCGTATACCCTTGCATTCCTCGCCAGCGCTGGTTCGCTGAGCCTCCAACTAGAGCGGGATTTTGTACATTAGTGTGCGCTTACTTATTGCATCCCCAAGTCGAGAATTGGCATATATCCTCAAGACAGACAATCAACCTCATCTGACCCATGTAGATGAATGATAAGCAACAAGCACGTCCCCATCCTACTGACAAGTGACAAGGTACTACACGGGAAGAGGCCCTCGTCGCGTGGTGGAACCCATAAAGCTTTTCGGCAGTTTCTTGCCCATCCGAGACCTGAGGGCTACACCATCGACGCACTTGCGCGCGCATGACTGCAGGAAAGTCTCTGTGACTGGAGCGGCTGACAGCCAACAGGGTGGGTTGCGTTCTCCTCCGCCAGCAAAGGAGAGGGATCTTCCCACCTTTAAGAATGACATGCGTCTATTTTCCATCGAGTTCGGGCTAGGTCGAGAGGGGGACCGTGAAAGTAATGTCAGGGTAACCGACCTTGGAAATTCTCTGAAATTGCCCCCATGATAAGACGAAACAACACGAAACAACTTTTGAAAAAAGAAAAAAGAAACGAAAGGAGAGAGAAAAAAGAAGCATAACGATCTCGTAAAGGGTGGTTTCAGCCATACGCAGCATTCACCAACCATGTAGAAACTCCAGAAGAAATATGCACCGACTGACTCACTAAACAGCGGTTGTTATTAATATCTCCCGGCGCACCCTCTCGTGTTCCAAAAAAAGAGGGATAATGTCAATCGGATCGCATCGCCCCCCTTCTCAGGCGCTACACTAGCCGACCTGGTTGGATGGGTGACTTCTCCTTGGCTGACGGCGAGTCTCCTGACGAGTCCATGCTGATTGCGAAATGTCTTTTGTTTAGCTGAACAGGCGCCGTCGGCCCCCCTTGGAGCCCAAACGATCAACCGATCATCGTGCCCCGGTGCATGGACATCCCGGTTCTTCCTGACCGCACATCTTCGCTTCGGAGGGGAGGGAAGGTCAGTCCAGGAAGCAAAGTTGACACTAGAAAGGCTCGTGGGAGTATAAACAGGACGCGGTGGGTTCCCCGGGGGGAACCTGTGGTACGGTTATTTTTTCTTTCCGACCTGTGACCGGATGAATCAATGGATCTGTCCGTCTATCCATCTATCCATCTATACATACGGATACTTCCCTCGTCCATGAGAGACCTGGATTGCGGGGAGTGGGGGCCTGATCGGTAAGGCATACCAGACCATCCAATCCCGTCCCGAACAGGAATAGCGTCGACCGTCGGCATTTCTTTTCTTCTTTTTTTTCTCTCGTCTTTTTGCCTCTGGACGCGCCGGAAGGAATTCGCAAGGAAAAAACAGAGAGCGAGAGGTCCAGGATATCACCAAGAGCAAACTTAGCACAATCTCCTCGCTTAGCGCCGTGCCCCTGGACTGTTGCGCCGCTGGTTGCACCTCTCCCATCCCATCATCTCCGGTTGTTTATCCCAACTGTTTATCTTGTTTTGCGACAAGGGGTTTGCCGCTCGTCTCATTCTCTTGCCCCCCCCAGACCTAGTTATCTGCTGCAAACAGATCTGGTTGTGTGACTGGATCTAGTGTTTACTATTGTTCATCAGTTCGAGAGAGCTAGATCTTATTCTATTTGCTTTTGTCCTGTTTCGTCAAGGCAGTTCCCCACCTATAGTCGCGCAAGTTTGTAAGTGAGATATATATCGCGGGGTCAAAATGGTGTCTTTCTCGTGCGAGGTATGTTGAATTGAACGCGGAGGGAAACGTTACTTGACATCGAATCTAATCGCTGACTGACGTTCTTTGTCGTCCAGGCCTGTGGTGACATCCTCACCAAGAAGAAGCTCGACCCTCATCGCAACCAATGTCGCGGCGCAACCTTCACCTGCATTGACTGCATGGTGCACTTCCAAGGCACCCAGTATAGAGCGCATACGGTACGCATTTCCGTCGTCCTTGTTGTTTGGTAGAAAAATGCTAACTGACGCGATCTGTCCAGTCTTGTATGACCGAGGCGCAAAAATACGAGGGTGCCCTCTACAGAGAGAAACCGAAGAAAAACCAACGCAATGGCAAGGACAATGCCCAGCAAAACCAGAATCAGAATCAGAATCAGAATCAGAACCAGAGGCAGAACCAGAACCAGAAGCCGAACGGCAATGGCCACCGCGCGCCCTACGTTGAAGACGCTACCGATGTCGACAATCCTAAAACCAGCGCGGCACCTCCGCCCGCTCCGACACCCCCCCCTAACGGTACGCAAAAGTCGGAGCAGAAGGACGACAAGCAAGTCAATGTGTTCGACTTCCTAGTTGCTGAGAACACCCCCAATGCGTCCAAGGTCTCGCTTGGCGGGCCCAAGGGGCAGATGCAAATGGTGGACCACGCGCCGTCGGTCTTCGAGCCGAGCAAGGCCCTGGCACATCTTAACCCCGAAGCGGAGGACGAGGGTAAGTTTTACGACGTGGCTTACGAGGAAAATGGATTCTCTTACGGCGCCGAACCGATCTCTCCGTCTGCATACCCGAACAAGAACGCCCCTAACAATGCTTCAGTAGAATTCATGACCCCAGCCCCCAAGAAGAAGAAGGGTAAATCGCGAGTAGCTGGAGACGCGAGTGCCACTACCAGTGATAAGAAGAGGAAGCGTCGCACCGAGGACCACGATATGGAAGATGCCGATACCCCGATGTTGGATGCGCCGTCGAGCGTTGTCAACCACCCAGGTACCCCCATGCTGAACCACTCCGGACTTACCGGAGGTCTCAACCGGATGATGCGATCGCCATCCCTCGATGGCGAGGAGGATCACCCCCAACGACGGTTCCAGGACCCTTCGTCCCCGATTAAGCGCACGCGTCGGGACGAGAAGGAGAACAAGAGCGATGCCGGTCTCGGCATCTCCATGAAGAATCGCGCGGGGCGTCTTGTATCGTCCATGTTTGGCGGCTCTTCCGTCTCCGGAGGCAGTGGAGTTAGCCACGAGCCCTCTGGAAAGGCCCTGGTTCGAGCGCGACGACGTAGCTCCACGGATGACGGAAATGAGCAACTGGAGGTCCGTAACTCCAAGAAGACCCATCGCGTGCGCAACCCCTCGACGGGTCAGGTAATTGCGGCGGATCCTCGCAAGAGCAAGCGCAAGAGCAGCGCTCAGACCGAGGGCGATCGGCCCTCGCGACGGCTCAAGCAGATCAACTATCCCGACCCGGCGCACCCCCAATCTCCTCGAGGCCAGGATGGCCAAGTGATTGTTTATGGACAACCGAATATTCCTAACGAACTGCAGCGAGAAATGGCCGGGCATTTCTTGTCCCTGGTGACCAAGGGACCCGAGAGCGGACGCGGCTTCTCCGTGAACAAGGTGCTAAAGCGGTTCCACCGTGACTTCACGGACGAATTTGACGGTGATCGCGGACGCCATCAAGGCCAGAGCCGCGTGGATCGGGAGCGCAGGACAGACGACGAAAAGGAACTCTGGCGGACATTGCGTCTGAAGCAGAATGAGCGCGGGGAGGTGGTGGTCTTCTTTTAGTCAGTTTAACCGGTGGATCAGGGCATGAAGGGATCTGGATGTTTGCATAGCGACGTGTCTGTTGATTGGACAGTTTGTTAGTAATTTTCTTAATGATTTTTCTAATTATGATTATTATATTTTTCTGTCTCACCGTCTCACGAAGAATGCGAAATGAATACGATAGGGAATCCCCACTGTGACTGTAAGAGAGCGAGAGATGACTCTGAATGACTCACGGCCCAATGACGCCCCGTCGCCGCGGGAGCCTCCGCCACTGCAGGAACATCAATCCATCTCGATTCTTCACTCGTTTTCTTCCCTCTTCGCCACCTCTTTCTTCTCCCTCTGATTATTTGATCTGGGAACTTCATCCAAACTCCCCATTGCCCTGGGAATTAATTGTTTTGTTCTCGTTCCAGCGAGCTTCACCTATCGTTCATTTGCTTTCTTTTTTACTTTTCTTTCCCTCTTTTTTCTTTACAGTTTTTTCCCGACTAGTTAACCCCACACCCATACGCTAGCGGTTGAACGATCATTATCCTCCCAGCCCAAGTGCATGATTACAACTACGGCGAACGAGAACCTCCTTCAACCCTCGAGCATGACCGAAACCGTATCCGGCGCTCCGGCAACTGCTGCCCCCGAAAACACATCCCGTTCAAGAGGTCCGCGGCGAGGTCGAGGACGCGGCAACCGTTCGCATCGTCGCCCACAGAATCAGGCTCAGGCACAGAACTCGGCGCAGAATGCTGAGTCGATGAATGGCGCACAACCGCCATCTCAGCCAGCTCAGCAAACGCACGAACCGCAACCCAATGGCGAGTCCACGCCGAATCAACCTCAGGACGCACCTCGTTCGCGAAGAGGCCCACGCGGAGGGAGACGAGGAGGTCGGGGTGGAAACACACAGGTCGAGACGAGTCGGCGACCGGGGCGAGGAAGGGGCGCGGATCAAATGGTATCGAACATCGGACGGCGATTCGAGGGACGATTGACGAAATGCGAACGAACCTCCGAGGACGACGGGCCGGACGGCGGCGAAGACCCGAAGGATCTGGAGCTTAGGGCCGATGCGCCTGTCTTCGTGCCGGGGGGACCACAGAACGGAAGTGCAGTGGAAGGACCCCCGTCGAACACTACAAACGCGGCTGGGAAAGTGAAGGGAAAAGCGAAGGCGAAGACCCCGCAACCTCGAACGCCGAAGGTTACGACAAAATCAGTTGCCCCGGACATTGCCACGCGGATTCACGAGGATATTGCGCACAATCTCTACGAGTGTCCTATTTGTACGGCCGAGTTGGGCAAGAGGTCGCGTATCTGGTCCTGTGACTTGTGCTGGACCGTTTTCCATCTGAGTTGCGTCAAGAAGTGGTCCAAGAATGAAGGAGCGGCGGCTCAGGATAATTCCCGTCGCCAGGCTGATGGAGAGTCCAGTGCTCCTCGCGCCTGGCGCTGTCCTGGCTGTAACCTTGCGAAAGAAATCTTCCCCTCAACCTATACTTGCTGGTGTGAAAAAGATGTCGACCCGCGCCCACTTCCCGGTCTCCCTCCACATTCGTGCGGCCAAACCTGTGCGAGGACACGTAAAGGCTGCCCTCACCCGTGTGATGCGACCTGTCATGCTGGGCCTTGCGCCCCGTGTACTGCCATGGGCCCGACTCAAGATTGCTTCTGCGGCAGGAATTCGTCCACCAAGCGTTGCCAGGACACCGATTACGAGAATGGATGGAGCTGCGGCGAGGTCTGTGGGGACTTGCTGCCCTGTGGGGAGCATACCTGTTCTCGTCCGTGCCACGAGGGTCTTTGTGGCACGTGTGAAGTGAAAGTCGAAGCTCGTTGCTACTGTGGAAAGGTCCAGACAGAAATGCTGTGCAGCTCCAGGGACGAGGAAATGGACAGTCAAAAGATACAGGACGGGACCGATGGTCAAGTGGAGGATTGGACTGGTTGTTTCAGCTGTCCCGACCGGTGCAATCGCCCCTTTGACTGCGGTGCTCATTTCTGCCAGAAGGATTGCCACCCTCAAGACGTACGCCCGGCCCACTGTCCAAGGTCGCCCGATGTCGTACACCACTGTCCCTGCGGAAAGACGCCTCTGACCGAAATCTCTGGATACCGGCCCCGGATATCTTGCGAGGATCCTATCATAAATTGCCGAAAGGCTTGTGGTAAGATGCTCCCGTGCGGGCATGGCTGCGATAAGATCTGTCACACCGGGCCCTGCGGATTCTGCAGGCGCAGCGTTCCTATACAGTGCCGGTGCGGACGTAACTCGTTTATGACTGTCTGTCACCAGGGCACAATCGAGCCGCCGCAATGTTTCCGAACCTGCAAGACCGGACTTCACTGCGGACGTCATGCATGTGCAGATAGATGCTGTCCTGGGGAGCAAAAGGCAGTGGAGCGCCAGGCTTTGCGGCGGAAGCTCAAATCTCATCTCCGTCCGAGTGATGAAGATGTGGAGGCCGAACATATTTGCACTCGGATTTGCGGCCGTTTGTTGAAATGCGGACGGCACACCTGCCCTGAGATTTGCCATAAAGGACCATGCAATACTTGCAGGGAGGCGATCTTCGAGGAGATCTCGTGTAACTGCGGTCGATCTGTCTTGCATCCGCCTCTGCCTTGTGGCACGCAACCACCGCCCTGCTCGGCCCCCTGTGAGCGTCCCAAACCCTGTGGTCATCCCCAAACACCCCACAACTGCCACACGGACGACGATGTCTGTCCTAAGTGCCCTTATCTTACGGAGAAGGTGTGTCTTTGTGGCAAGCAGGTGTTGAAGAATCAACCCTGCTGGCTAGCTGATGCACGATGTGGCCGAATTTGCGGCGAAACGCTCAAATGCGGCTCGCATAAGTGCAAAAAGAACTGTCATCGACCAGGCGACTGTGAGGACTCTTTGAAGCCCTGCCAACAGCCTTGTGGGAAGACAAAGGTGTTGTGTGGTCATCCATGCAAGGATCCTTGTCACGCCCCATACCCATGCCCCGAAAAGACGCCTTGCTCGTCCACGGTCACGGTAACATGTGGCTGTGGACGCCTTCGCCAGGAGCGTCGCTGCAATGCAGTGAAAGCAGTGGCCTCGAAAGGGCAACTGCAACAACAGCAGAGACTGCCGGCATTGACCCCACTGACGTGTGACGACGAATGCTCCCGACTCGAGCGGAATCGATCTTTGGCATCGGCGTTGGGCGTCGACATCAACCAATCGACCACCGTAGCACAGAACTTGACGTCCACGAATCTTCCGTATTCATCCGAAACGCTTGATATGTACCTGCAGCTCTCATCCTCATCCCCTCTATCCACTCTCCAGACCTACGAAGCAACGCTCCAGTCCCTCGCGATCGGAACTACGCAACGGTCCGTCCGTTTCCAACCTGCCAAGTCGTCGCTTCGCGCCTTCACCCATTCCCTAGCCACCGACTGGGGCTTTGCCACCGAGAGCTTCGATCCTGAACCCCACCGGCATGTGTTCGTCCTCAAGCCCACGACCTGGACGCCCCCTCCTTTCGGCATGGGCCAGGGCACGGCGATCGGGATCGGCGGCATGAGCGTCGGCGAATGCGTCAAGCTACGCGAACGCCAGCGTCTCAAGGAGCGCGAAGCCCAGCGCCAGGTCGCGGCCGAGGTCAAAGCCCAGCGCGAAGCGGCCAAGGCGCAGGCGAGCTCGACGGGCGAGGGTGGCTGGGCCCAGATTGCTGCGTCCCGGCGCAGCAATAACGGCATGGGCGGTGCGAAGAGCGTCACGCCCGCGGCGCAGAGCGCTCGTTCCGGCTTGACGATGTACGCTGCCCTCGCTGGTGACGATGGCAGTGGCTCCTGGAGAACCGGGGCTGCTTCTCCCAAGAAGGAAAAACTTGTTCTTCGGTCGGGCGTGGGCGCCGGAAAACAGCTGCGGAGTCAGCCCGCTCCGCCCGCTGAGGTCGCCGACAGCTGGGAGGAGGAAGAAGAGAAGGAAGAGGAGGAGGAACGTGCTCGCGAGGCGGACGAGATTCCCGGCGAAGAACAGATCGCGGGACAGGATGATCAGCAAAAGTCCGAATCCGTTCCTGAGCCCGCTCAGGACTCCGAACTGACCCCGGAGCAGGAGCAAAATCAGATTTCAGGCTTTCAGAATGATCTCGCTCAGGAAGTTGAGAACAAACACTCAGAGGTCCTTGATGCACCTCCACATGAATCCTCCCACGAACCGGAAGCGGCCAAGGAAACTCCCATTGCCACCTCTTCCTCTTCGACATAGGATTCCGTGTCTTGGTGAATGGGTGTTTTGAGAGACATCGAGCTTGATTCACAGGGGGCATTGTCAGCTTTTTCAGTGTCTTTTCTATCTATATCTAGCATCGTCGTTTCATCCCTCGAGGATGATAGGTACTATTACCATTGAATTTGCATACGCATTACTTATGGGGGTTGGTTGATTTGTTGGCTGATGATTGATTGAGGATTATTACCTAATTGAGCGAGCATAAGTTTGTTGTGTTTATGATTGCATGGTAGGTGCGCTTGTACTTGTGCTTGTGCTTAGGTATGCATTTTATGGTCAACCAAAAGTTTCGGATATTTTAGATATGGAGTTTGATTTTCTTGTGATTGGGATGTAATGTTCATTGTGGAATTTGATGAATGCAAGTGTTATGCATCCACCATGTCCTTTCTTAGAGCATTTGTAGATATGCGCCGAGCTGACATATACTTCCTGGACGTAGCCCTCTCTCCTTCTCCTTTCTTTCGACCTCTTCATATGTTCCATCCACACTATCTCACGAACACGTACATACAACCAACCCTCTTCTCGCGGGAGAGTTCGAAAATGGGTTTACAATGATATTGAATCACCCTTACTATCTATGCTCAGTCCCAAAACTGCGATACATCCTGCCCCTGCGCCCCCGAGCTCGAGCTCAAACTAGGAGGAAGATCATCCTCGCCCCTCCCCCAATCACTCTCCGTGTCCCCAAGAACCAACTCCAGTGTCATACCCTCCGTAAAGAACTCATGACCGATCCAGTTCTTCTCATACTTTTTCCCATTCAACGTGGCACTCTGGATATAGATCGCTTGGTAAGACGGATCAAAGTTCACGTTCCGGATCGTAGCGGTCTTGTTCGTGATCGGATGGGTGATGCTAACGGCCTCGAAGAACGGCGCGATGATCAGGTACACGTTTTGTCCTGGGTTCGGGAAGAGGCCGAGCATCGAGAAGATGGCGAAGGCGCCCATGGCGCCCGAGTCGTCGTTTCCTGGGAGTCCGGAATGTGTAGCGTTGAAGCGTGAGGGGATGTAGTTGTGTGCGCGGCGCGCTGAGAGCCCGGGTCGCCCCGCGTAGTGGTATTGGTAGACGGTCAGGAAGACGGGCTCGTTGCCCACGTCGGCTAGCCCGGAGGTGTGGAAGAAGTCGAGGCGGGAGACGAAGGTGTCGGGGCCGCCGAGGAGGTCGATTAATGAGGCCATGTCGTGGGGGACGTAGCTGATATGGGATGGTTGTGTTAGAGTAGGTACCGGTGGGAGGCGAAGGTTGAACTGTGGAATGTGGAAAGAGGTGCTGGAGAGATCACTTACAATTGATATTCCCATACACTAGACTCGAATGTCTCGGAGGGGTTGCTTGTAAGGGAGCACCACGACGCAAGCGCGCTGCAGGCAATTGGATCTTGATATCCCCATGTCCCGTTCAAGTACCTTGGCTGGAAGAAGCCGACGAATCCCGTATCGGTGCCATTGATTGAGGAGGTTTGGTCGGACTTGTAGATGTTTTTCCAGTTGCTAGCTCGGCCAAGGTATCTCGTATATTCGTCCTTGTGAAGAGCCTTGCCCACAGTCGACAGACAGAAATCATTGTACGAGTACTCCACCGTCCGGGATATGCTGCGAGAATTGGTGCCAAAACCTAGATAGTCAAAGTCCAAATACGGGATGTAGTTGACGCGCTTCCAGCTCTGTAGACCACCGCGGCCTTCATAGGACCATTCTAGGGGCTCGTTCTCGGCATCGTTAACCATCGCTTCGTATGCTAGGTCCCAATCGATCCCTGTTAGGTTTTTCACAAAAGCGTCTGTTAGGACGACGTCGGCATTCGAGCCACCCTGGGTCCAGCCTTTGCAGAGACTCATACGGCAATCCGGAAGCCAATTTTCATGCTTGTATGTATCAAGAAGGCTCCGTACCATCTTAGATTGCGTATTAGGGTCGATAATTGTGAGAAATGGGTGTTGAGCTCGAAAAGAGTCCCAGATACTTGAAAAAGTCAGCGTGGACCAGAAGCAGGAGATACGAAACGAACCAGTAAAAGGAATCAAAATACGGCTCATCACTGTCCCAGAGAGGGTTCTCCCCTGTCAGATCCTGAGGATCGAGCATTGTTCGGTACACACCACTCCAGAAACTGCTGAGTATGTCTTCATCTGCGCCACCGGACTGTACAGATATCGGACTGAGTTGTTTTCGCCAAGCAGTTTCTGTATCGCGCCGGACCTCTTCAAAGTCTTCCAGCGGATGAGGAATCTCGGTCTGAGCATTCTTGCATGCTTTCTCTGTGCTGATAAAGCTCACACCGACTCGTACATTGACTGTGCCATTCTCGGGTCTCTGTAATCGAAGAAAGCCGCCGGCTTGGAGGTAGAAATTATTGAATCCTCGAGTGACATACAGCTCCGTTCTTTCAGTTCCTGCTCTGTTGTTAACCCAAATTCCACCGTCATGGACCGACGTCCCCACGAAATCCGCACAGAAATAAGACACGTAGGACCCGGCACCGAAGCTAGGCAGGAAAGTGCCATTTGTTTTGATCTGACCCTTCTCCGCATCTACACTGATCGAGGCATTTTGTCGGCTGTCCCACAGATCCGTCAAATCAAGCAGTATCAACGGATGTAGCTGCGATCCATTTGCAGTCGTAGCAGAGGGAAATTCAAACCGATAGAGCGCCGCGTGGTCCGTCGATGTCATCTCAGCCCGAATCCCGCCATCCAAGGACAGGGCGAAGTAGCCCGGACGAGCGACGACCGAGTCGTTCGCATAGTGGGTAGCTCGCGCAGTCTTCAGAAACTGGCAGTTATTGATCTCATCCTCTGGGCAGTATTGGGGAAACAGAGGGAAGTTGCCCAAGGACGGATTGCCTCCTGTCCCCGAGTCATGAAGCGTAGAGAATCCGGTCACCTTGCTTCCATCCGTGGAAAAGCCACCGGTATTTTGCCCATCCACATCGGCCACGGGCTTCGCCATGCCGTACGGGCGACTAGCCCCGGCAAAGACGTTGCCCCCATTGTTGGATCCGATCAGTGGGTCGACTAATTGGAGGATGTCGGGGCTTTCAGCTGCGACGGCCTTAAGGACGTTTCCTGACGAAGAGTTCGCCCATTGTATTGAAAGAAGGGATAGCCACCTTATGAATGACGGCATCTCCAAAATCGCTTGTTTGAAGACTCAACACAGTGGGTTTGTGAGCAAGACGCCAACTGGGACAAGATCCGCATTTGTGTTTGTGGAGAGCATGGCGGATGGAGAGAGCGGGGAGCATTGCGGAGTCGACCAGGACAGGACGGGGGGAGATAAATCAACTAATAATGATGGTTAGTTAAAGGGTGGGATCGACAGTGGCACAAGATTGGACTGATTGTGGGAATGCAAGGGAGAGCGAAAGGGAAAGATTTAGTTTAGTTTAGTTTAGTTTAGTTATATTTTACGGCCGCGGTTCACCGCCTAGGCACGTGACCCGCCATCCCCT